TCATGTGACGGGTGGGCGTGGCTAGCTGGTCATGTGACCGGGTGGCCATGGCTATGCTATAGGGTAAGGTGAACAGATTTTAACATTGGTAAGAAGGACACCAATGTGGGCGTGGCTTATTGTGGGCGTGGCTTGGAGGCCATGTGACTGGGTGGGCGTGGCTACTGGTCATGTTACCGGTGTGCCATGCTATGTGTATAGGGACTACTCAGAGGGCTGAAAAGTCATTTTGCTCCACACTTTTGATGGTCCTCACACTTATGACCATCCTCACATTATGCCCGCGCAGCATTCTTACACCATGTCACTCATTTCACAACTGCTTCTCTCCACCATGTGACAAGATAGGGCAAAAGAAAATTGAGACAGTCGTAAGTTCGAGACTGTCAAAAGTGCGAGACCAGTCAAAAATAACTTTTTCAGCCCTCCGAGTAGTCCATATGCCAAAGGACTAACCAGAGGCTGAAAAAAGTCATTTCTGACAGGTCCTCGCACTTTGAATGGTCCCACACCTATGACCATCCTCATATTTATGCCCATGCAGCATTCTAACAAACATGACACTCATTTCACAACTGCTTCTCTTCACCAGGTGACAAGATAGGCAAAAATGTAAAATGTGAGGACAGTCTAAGTTCGAGGACTGGTCAAAATGTGAGGACCAGTCAAAAATAACTTTTTCACTGCCCTGAGTAGTCCATATGCCAAAAGGACAACCAGAGGGCTGAAAAAAGTCATTTCTGACAGGTCCTCGCACTTTTGACTGCCTACACACCTATGACCATCCTCATATTTATGCCCATGCAGCATTCTTAACACCATGTCACTCATTTACAACTGCTTCTCTCACCATGGTGACAAGATAGGGCAAAAACGTAAAATGTGAGGACAGTCGTAAGTTCGAGACTGGTCAAAAGTGCGAGGACCATCAAAAATAACTTTTTCAGCCTCTGAGTATCCATATGCATTAAAGGATACAGCAATAGAGAGGATGAAGGAAGAGAAATTAGAGTAGGAGTGAGGTAAGAGAGGGAGGAAGAGAGGAGGAGGAGGAGAAAGGAAGAGGAAGTAGGGAGGAGAAAAAGAGGTGGGGAAGAGAAAGTAAGAAGGAAAGAAAAGAGAGAGGTGGTTTAGGTTGAAGAAAGATTGCTGTACAATAAAAAAGATAACGGAAGAAAGCCAAATCCAAACAAATATAAAGATATTAAGATAAAAAATGAATGTTAAACTTTAAAGAATAAAAGAGAACAAATATGAATAAATAGCAGTAATTAAAACACACATACAAACTTACAATGTATATTCTTTGAACAGAAATATTTGGCTGGTTCACAAATTTAAACAGCGTATTAACTCATTCAATTAAATTTACAATTTCTATATTCCTTTTTGCCATATTTATTCCTCATCTATTTTTAAAAAAACCAATATTACTTCATCCCACATCTCTAATCTTAATCAAATTCAATTTTTCCCTTCTATTCTATATTATACCCCTTCCCATTGTCATCTATTTTTATATCCTCCTCACATTGGTTAATTATGTAATTATGTAATACAGTTGTTTAATACAAATTCAACATTTAATATAAATCAATTAGTTATATAACTATCTTTTTGTATATTAATCAATATAACATGAATATTCCAATTATTTCCATGCAATCCAATTTCTTACAAATCAATTAATTATATCTATCAATAATAATAAACCAAATAATTTCCCCCTATATACCTCCAAACCACAACTTAATTGCTGAGTCGCCCGCCCCTCCTCCAATCCGCGCGGCGTCAGCCTACCCTAGCCCAGGGCTGGGCAAATGTGCTCTTTTACAACGTTTGGACTTCAACTCCCGCCGAGCCCATTCTGGAATTGTGGAAATTCTGGAGTTGAAGTCCACACTCTTAAAGCTGCCAAGGTGGGAGACATCAAGCATGAGGCTGGCCAAGTATCCTCCTTGAGAGACAACAGTTGAACATCAGGAGAGCTGTAAGAGGGCAGGGCTACATTTGGAAATTTTCGCATTTTGCAGGTGGTGCATTACGATCTGGTGTCTGCAATGGAGAGTAAAATCCGGCTTCTTCTCTCCGCTGTAAGGCGGCATCAGATTCCACCTTGTATATTTGCAGCACAAGGCAGCCCTCCTCTCCTGTCGCTTGGGACTCGGAGCGGTAAACAGCGTCTGGTTGGGAGCAGCCGGATTTGCTCTCATTGCTCTCTCGGCCCCTGCAAGCTCTCTCTCTCGAGGAACGCTCCCTGAAATGGCGCGGAAACTTGGTTGGGGTTCTCGAGAGATGAGAGCTTGCAGGGACCGAGAGAGCAATGGAGAGCAAAATCCGGCTGCTTCCTGAACCAGATGTTTACCGCTCCGTTCGGCAGGAACGAGGGCTGCCTTGCCCGCAAATATACCAGGTTTTTTTTTTAAAACACTGATCAGCTGTAGGTCGGCCCTTTTGAAGTGTGGCAAGAGTTCAAACAGTTTTTTTTTGGCCATCAGCGGGGCTCAGGAGGCAGAATGAAAAATCGGGACTTTTTGAAACGCCGCGGACGCGGGCAAATTTCAAAAGCGGACTGTCCCGCCAAAAGTGGGACGTTGTGTCACCTTGTTTTTGTAGGTTAAAAAAGGGCAAAGAAGTGACATTGACTTGGCCACGCCCACCCAGTCACCTTACCACCAAGCCCTGCCCACTAATTAAGCCAGGCCTACAGAACAGGTAGCAAAAAAATTTAGATTTCACCCCTGGTAAATTCTCTGATGGCATTTCCCCTTATCCAGCATTTCAATTGGCAATCGCTCTCCAGAACATTATGGCAGGGCAAGTTCAGGTCCAAGCCTTTATAATTGATTTAGCCTTCATGTTTTATTATTTACTGCATGCTGCTTCCGATAGGATCCTCTCAGGAGGCTGATCTATCAGAACAGGCGTCACCAACCTTTTATACCTCAGGGACCACTAAATTCATAATTTTAAATCACATGGACCACTCATATGAACTTTTAAAAAAGATTTAGTGGAATATAAAAAATGCAAATAATTTTTCTGCGGACCACCAAAATTTTCTCACTGGTTGGTGACTACTATATCAGAAGACTGATAGCCTTATGAAATTTTTCAGAGATGCCGCCATGTCATCATCTGGATTATAAACAGGGTGGAATCAAATTTAATAAAATTCCAGTTCCCATCTGCAGTTCAGATAATGGTAGCAAAGAAATCAGGTATGGAAGTCTTTTTATTTATTTTTTTTACATATTCCACTTTCACAAAACCTTTAACTACTTTATACCTCATAATTCGCTGGCAGCTGAAACCTGTTCGATTTAAATAATTGATAAGCTAGTGGCAAAACGTCCGTACAGCCTGGAAAGTGTGACTCACTTTATTCTGTGGGATTGAAATTATGAGCCAATCTAGCGCTAGAAAAGCCAAGCCCTTGCTCATCCCTCCTTCCTCCCCATCGCAGGACTCTCTTTGCAGGTTGATTTGGGATGCTGCTCCCAAGAGCGGAAGGGAATATATTATACATAATAAGGACATCCTATCTGTCCCAAGGGAGGAGAGTTGGGGAATCTCGATTTAATTCAGCTGCCTCTGCTTTGGTGAGAAGGGTACGTGAAGAACCACTGTGAACGAGTCAAGAGGCTCGGATATTTTAACAATATGGGAGAGAGAGGGAGGGGCAGAGTTGGGAGGAGAGGCGGTTCCTCTGCACATGCTCAGAGGCATGCCTTCTTCCCAGCTTTTTCCCCCCCCCCCCTCCACCAAAGGTTAGGATGCCTCCTGACGTAGCGGAAAGATCGGGCTGCAAAGGAGGAAAAGAGGCTCAGGTTGGCTGAGCCGCCGGCCGGCATGCCCTTCCTCCCCCCACCCCCCGCCCCCCAACCCACCCCCCCCTCTGCGCTCCCGCCCCCCCCCCCCCCCAGCGAGACCCGGGCTTGGCGGGGAAAAGGCTTTCTCCCGGCTGGCCCGCTTCACCCTCCTGCCTCCTCCTCTCCTCCACCAATCGCGAGCGCCCTTACTGCTGGGTGGGCTGAGCGGCTCGCCTGCACGCCCAGCTGATCCGAAGCTCAGCCATGGTAATGTCTGCTGCTTTGTTCTCCCCCTCCCCCCCTCCCCCCCCTCCCCCGAAGATCCGGGGCGGAGATCGGGTTCGGGGGCGGAGGGGTGCGTTTGTGGCACGATCCAGGCCTGCGAGGGAGGAGTGGGGGCTGGAGTTCGCGGGGGGGGGGGTTAGGGAAGGCGTGCGCTTTCGTCCGCGGGCCGTTTGTCTCCCGATTCGCTGCCCGGATGGAAAAGCCCTCGTCGTCGTCCCCCCCCCCGCAAAAAAAATCTGCCTCCATTCTGCTCCTTCCGTGCGCAGCCCGGGTCTGTGGCATGGCGCGTATAACGGGGTTTTTTTGGGGGGGAGGGGGGCGGATGGGAGACTCCGGGGTCGGGATGAAGATGGGCAGCGGGGAAAGGCTGCAAGTTCCCGGCTTTGGCAAGCGGATGGAGAGAGAGAGACAGAGAGAGAGATGTGCGCGGTGCGGAGAAATTGCATCCAGCTCGAAACCGAGGCATTCATAAGCAGCCGCGTGCAGCTGTTGGAAAAGGAATAGGTGCACATCCACACGCGAAATGTAGATCCTTTGCTCCCTTTCTTATTCATTCCAAGAGCAGGGATCTGAGTGGGCCACGTCCCTCGGGCGTGAGGATAAACCAGAATGAGTTGAGGCAGCCTTTTTGGTCAAGGCCCGCAAGGATGTCAACTCTCAGTCTACTGCATTTTTGTCCGTTTTCTTCTCTGTTATCTTCAACCACCCGCAGACACCTCAACCCCAGCAGGAGGAGGCACACTGCAAATAAATTAGACACCTGGGAATGTACCCATTTAAAACCGGTCACACAATCAAGACTCTTATGCACCATGGGCAGAGACACCGGCTAAGAGGCATAGCACATAGAATGTGCTTTTTGTGCATTTAAATATGTACGTCAAAGTAGGGCCATATGAAAGAGTGTACTCGATGTGGATGTTGGTTTACTGTCAAAAGAATTTGTAGGTTCAGAGAGAGAGAGAGATGGCTGTTTCTATGTGAACTGTATGTAGAACGTAAACATAGATGCCTGCATTAAAGATGCATGCGTTTAAAGAAGGCCGTTCCTCACAGTGCAATCTAAAAAGCCATGTGAAGGAGTGGACTGAATTTTCCGAACAGCTTTTGGAGAGAGTGAGAGTATTATTAAGATAAGAGAGTTGAAGATGCACGGAAATAAATATCTGCCTGGTGTGTTGTTAAATGTACCATGCAAGATATTTTAAAACCTGTGTGAATCCTAGTCTGGCCTTAGATGAATTTTGAGGGTTGTTCATGAGATTGTTCAGTGGAGAAGCATCTGGTTGCCTGTAGAAAGTGCATTCTCCAAGTAAAGCAGGAAAAATTGATAAATTCACTAAAAGGTCCAAGAATCTAAGCTTCTATAAGGCAGCTTTCTAGGTTTTAATTTCAAGCAAAACAAACAAACAAACAGCCTTTTCCTAATACAGGACCTTGACTTATTCACGGCAGACTTAATTCTATATCCAAATATACAGCTATGATTGTTCATCCCAATATATATATAGCCATACCTTACAACTATCTGTCTACTATAAGCTTTTTTGTTTTGTTTAAGGCAGGGGTTTTCCCGTAACTTACGGTATTTTGAAGGCCAAGAGCTATGCTTGGTCTTTGAGAAATATACAGGAGGTGGTATTTAGTAAGATCTGCAGCTCCAGGAAATATTATTTACTTTAATAGAAGATTTCCTGGAACCTGCTCTTTTGCTCGCTCTCTCTCTACTTTTTAATCTAGTTTGCTTCCAAAATATGATTAGTGCACAACATGTAGAAAAAGGCCACCAATGGGTTAAAATATTTCCAGGGTAAAATGTATTTATGAAAAACCATGTTTATGAACTACAGTAAATGCCCAAGGAGAGGGATAATGGGGGAGGCCTAGACATCTCTTTTCTCATGAAGTAACCTGACCCAGAAATGGGAAATCTGTGGGCCTCTCCCACTCCCAGATGTTGGACTGCAGTGCCTAAGACTAGTCACCAAGGACATTTATTGAGGAGTATGGAATTGCAGCTGAGATATCTGAAGAGCAGAATTGTCAAATGAGATATGAGAACTTGAAATGACTTGCTGGGCACTAGATTTAGGAAAATGGTAGAATGAAGGAATGTGCCCCTAATCTAGATTACAAAGAATGTACTTCTATGAGATATAGAGATACTGGTGTATATGATTTTAGTTGTGTTTAAGAGACGGGGCAGGGAACTGGTGGTGCTTCACAATGTTGAGCTATAATTCTTGTCAACTTCAGTCAATGCAGTGTGTGGGTTGATAGGCACAGAAAAATTGAGGGAGAAAAAGATATACCAGTGGCTGTTACTCATAATAGCTAAGAGATTCTTCAGTAGAAAGGAAGCATGATTGCCAGATACTGAAACCAGGCCAAGAGAGAAGATATGTATGTTTATGAAGCCTTCTTTCAATCACTGAAAGTTGTAGGATACTAGACCAGGTGAAGTTTTGGTCTGACCCAGCATTTAATGATCTATTTGTATTCATTCTTCGCGCTAGAGGACAGCAATTTACAGAGTTTTTTCCTGTTAATTTTCCCCTTTGGCTTCATGGGGTTGATGTTAATTTCTATATTTGGGGAATAAATACCGGAGGAACACAAGTGGGCAAACAACCCTTACCAAACACTACCGTCCATCTTCATTACAAATCTGAACTGGCGCAATTGGACTTTTGAAGTTCTTGTCAATAGAATTCCTAGATGCAGACTTGGAAAAATAATGGTTCAATTCAAAGATTTGGAATACAGCAGTACCTTGGTACTTGGTACTCAATTGCTTAGTACTCAACTGCTTTGAAACTCATCGAATTTGGTACTCAACGCATTTTGATTTGAAAATTTTGTCCCGGTACTCATCATTTGTTTGGTACTCAACACACAACCTAGAACTTGTTGTTGTCAGCTGCCTTATTTCTTGTGGGGAAAATTTTGATTGGTACTCACCATTTTTGGTATTCATTGAGCCTCCCTGAACCAATTAACGATGAGTACTGAGGTACCACTGTGTTTCACTATAGTTTTGCTAAAGCATTTAAGTTTCTTTTTCATTATAAGTGAAATTAGCTTTGGTTTCTCCAACTTGATTTCTTCCAGGCAGCTGAACTACAACTCTCATCATTCTCATCAAGAATGGAATATCTTCCAAGCATCAGTCAACTTCAGGGCTAAATGGAGATTTGCTCTACTCAAACCCAACATCCAATGTTTTACGTCTCAGTTGCCTTTGCCTTTCTTAACTCATTAACTATTCTTCCCTTCCACCTCCACTCATACTTTTATTATGTATTTATGCTTGCAGTCAACTCCAGATTCAGGCAGTCCTGGGCAGCCAGCTCCTTTTCCTTCTGCCCCACGGCCACCACCACCAATTCTACCCCCTCCATTTGTAAGTTCACCATAATACAAGTTGTATTTAACAGTATCCTAAATGTTTTTATGGAAATATGAGAGGTGTCCTTGGTCTATTCTATGTTATGGTTGCAAGGCCTAGAGAAATGGGAGCAAACCTGAAGCATGTTTTGACTGGGTTCCAGTTTGGAGAGTTGAAAGTTCATGGCTTCTGCACCTGAGGTTGGATCAGAAATCACTTCTGCTATGTTTGGAAGCAGCCAAGTCAAATTTTTCTATATTTTCTAGGTGCTGTTATAAAATGAAAATAAGCTTAAAAAAAAGTGAAACATGAAATTACCTCAAGTTACCTCAAAAATAAAATCCAGACCTTAATTGTTACACAAAAACTCATCCTTCCTATGACAATATGGGATTTTGTTTGATTGTTTTATTATTTATTTCTAATGAATTTATTTATTTAATTTAATTTGTGATCTAAATTCATCAGATGGAAAGGAAGCAAAGAAGTTGTGTGTATTTATTGGAGCATTAATTACTGTGGTGCAGTCTACCTCAGTCTGGTCCATTCCATGAATTTAAGTGGCCATAATCTACAGATTAGCTCGTAAAGGTAAATTGTAGATTTGGGATCATTATCTAAGCTGCCAGTTGCACATAATTGAGGTAGGATTATAAAAATGTAATGCTGGGCATACCAGCATCCTTTCCTTCTTGAAGTGTGATGCTGCTGGATTGAGACTTAATCTGTGGTTGGGCCAGAGTATATTCTGCTTTGGGCATAGGTATATGTGTTTCTTTTCTTCTTCCTAGATGCCTCCTCCTGGGATCCCACCACCATTTCCACCCATGGGATTGCCCCCAATGGGACCACGGCCACCTCCCATGCCGCCTATGCCCCCCGGCATGATGCCACCTCCCCCTCTGATTCCACCTATGCCTGGACCACCACCCCTGGGTCAGGTAGTGCTGGTTCAGTTTTTTTCTTTGCCTTTTGCTCCCCCAGTTTGCAATAAGTATAATGGCTTGGTTTTCCCTTTTGTCTCTAGATGCCCACGATGGTGCCACCAATGCTGCCTGGGATGATCATGCCGGGGGTGCCAGCTGGACCTGTTCCTGTTTCTGGAGGAGTGAGTGTCAAAAAAGACAGTGATTTAGGGAATTAGAATAGGATGGGGCACAAGAGCTTGCATACATACTGCAATGACCTTCATAACAGGGTTGCCTCTTTCATTTGGAAACGGATACATGATGCTCTTTAACCATTTGGTTGACCACACCCAGTTGATGGATGATGAAGTGATCAAGGTGTGGAGTTCAGTGCAGAGATGTAAGCATAGCTGATTGGGCTTTAGCATCACTTGAACATGGTAGGAAACAGGCATGCACTAGGATTGTGGTCCTTTAGTTGTTGCAAAACCACAATACCCAAAAGCCCTAGCCTAGACCATGGAGAGAACAATGAAAGATCCCATCTCTGTTTTACAAACTCAGAGACCAAAATCCCCCCCCCCAACCAGCTTGAAGAGAGAATGACGTAATATTTTCTTTGTCATTCATTCGTTCGTTCATTTGTTCATGCATTCATTCCAGTATACCATCCTTCCAGAGGTCTGTTTGATCTCATTCCTGTGCTTTAAAAAAAATCTTGAAAATTTGGCTTTTCAAAACAGTGATAGGCCAAGGTGTGTTTTTGCATTCCCCTTGACTCATGAGGCATTGTTGAAATTGTGGGGTGGGAGTTGTCCTTTCCCCAAATATTTATTTTGTCTATTTGTTTTTATTGTAATTGTAAGCTACTTGAGGTCTCACCTTGCAGTCTGATAAATATATTGTTATTGTTGCTGTAAAAAGCAGGGTGGATAAAAATCAATGATTTTTTTAAAAAAAATCAGATTTTTTTTAATTTAAATCGGATTTTTTTGATTTTTATCAAATTTATTTTAATAAAAAACTGGGGTAAAAATCTATCCTAAGATAGTTTTCTATTTAAGATACATAAATAATTTAGTTTATTCAGCATGAAATGGAGCTTAGTTATGTAGCATGAGGCTGTATATTCTGCAAAACTGGGACTATCTGTGAGTCAACAGTGGGTCAAAGGAGTAGCAGAGATGACAGTTGCTCTTTAAAAATTATGATTTAAATCGAGTTGATTTAAATCAAGCCTTTTTACCACTGATTTAAATCATGATTTAAATTGTGATTTAAATCAACTCGATTTAAATCAAATCCACCCTGGTAAAAAGTATTTGATTCTACTTCTACTATTTAGATTCCTTAACTAGTTAATTCATTTTAATGAAAAAAATAAATTCATTAGTTTTAATATTAGGTGTCTTAATTTTTTTCCAATTATGGTATTATAATTCTGTAATAAATTCTTTCATTTATTTCTGTTGATTTTAAGAAACATCTGTGCATTTTAATTTGTACTTTCTAACATTCTATAATTGCATAAAATGCTGATGAGTGGCCATAACAAAGTTAACGAGTTGTCATAAAGCTTTTAATTTAGTTCTTTAAGGTTAAAATGAATAAAGAAAGCAAAGTGCAATAAGGAAAGATTGATCATGGCCAGCACTAGTATAAGGAAAAAGAAAAAATAAGTTGAAGCTGCTTGATCTGATTTGATTTTTTCTTTGATAGGCAGCTCCTGTTACTGACCCATCCAACAGTGAGTATCTTCAGGGATGTGTTTAAATATAGCTTTGGTGTGACCTAGCTCAAGAGATGCTTATTAAATCTGATGTAGAGAATCATGCCATGTTTCCCCCAGCAATAGAGATTTGGGGCTTTTTATCTTTGCATACTTGACTGAATGTAGGCTGCATCAATTGAGTTTCTCCCCCTTGTACAACTTTTAAAGTTCTGAATGGAGAAGAGTGGTAGGTATTGGCAACACTACATGAGCTGGTTCTTTATTGCAACTGTATTTCTCACTCTAGTTTGTATTTTGTGTTGGTAATTCCTAGATATGGAATTAAGGAATTATGTAAGGAATTAAATGCATCATGGGGTTCCAAGATATATCAACCTCTTCTGTTCCAAGCGAACCATCCTAATTGGCTCTCATACAGTAAGGGCCCAGTGAAACCCTGCTTCCTGGAGGCATCAGCTTGGCTTTTCTGGACCAAAAAGTTGGATTAGACAGGCCATTGGCCTAACCCAACAAATTCATTTTAAGATTTTATTTTTGCCCTATTTGCTGTTCCTGGCACCTGCTGCTTCTCTGCAGGACAGTAGGGTCTCTTCTATGAGTGATCCCTGACCACAACCTCTGTTTCTAACCTCTGTTCTTTTTTCTAGCCACAGTGACTCAAGCACCACCTGTGGTGAGTATCTGGACAAATGCTTTCCTAGATGTGGAGTTAAGGAATTATGTAAGGAATTAAATGCATCATGAGGTTTTCAAAATAATAAATAGCTCTTCAAAGTCTGGAGTAACATCTATATTTTTCTTTCGGAGATGTCAAAGCGTAGTTTGTTTAACTTTGCTTGAAATCGATTGGGTTCACCCAATGCCATAAACCTCACATATTTATTGGCCTCATCTATTCTGTAAAGCTAACCATTGAACAATCTACTTAAAACCGAAAGCAGGGGCAGGTTGAACTGTTTACCTACAATTGAAGATGACAGGAAGGAGGAAAGTCCTAAATTAGTGTTTTTGGTAGAGACACTAGGGATGTGTTGGTACTCTTTGTGGTTTTGATCTATAGCCTTTCTGTCTTTCTCATAATCTAGGCTTTCTTTTCTGTCTTTTGCCACTCCCACTGTCCCAATAGGCATGGCCCTTAGTTGTGGGGGTTGAGAATTAAGAACATGCCAGGTGGAATAGCAGATGTAAAGGTGTTATCAAATTGGGGGAGGATGACTGGTAGGAATATAAGATTAAGCACTAAAAGAGAGTTATCCTGAAGTAAGATGGGTGGCCAATAATTTTCCAAATGAATGAATGAAACAAACAAATGTCTTTTTTTCTCTTTTGTTTTTCCTTTCTCTCCCCTGTATCCAGGGATTTATTTTATTTTATTTTGTCTGTTCTCTTCTGCTTTAAATTTAAATGCCGCTTTAAATTTCAGATCCCCAACCCCCTGGCAGGCGCTATGCAACAAAATGTAATTCTTGGTGGATCTCCTGTGTTGGATACAGGCCGAAAGGTAAAAAGTCTCAGTGAAGAAAAGGCATCAAGTTTCTTGATGTCCTCTCTTTGTGTTCCAGGAAGCAAAACAGGGTTGCATGTTGTCATTCCACTGATCCAAAAATGGTTCACAGAAAGCGCACCAGGGAGCTAAAGAGCTCCATTGTTTTGTGCTGGTGATCATGACCAACACAGATGAACATCTGGAGAGATTCTCCTAAATATGTTAGTGTTTTATCCCAGGAAACAGTGTAGTCTTAATTCTTTGCTTGGTTTCCCTATGCTGCTTCTCTAGTATTTGATGTTCAGAAATAAGTTTTTAAAAAGCTACCCTTCCTCTCCAAGAAAATAAACGAAGTGCCTTACAAGGCCCAGGAGAAAAAGTAAAGGTGTATGTGAGCTCTAGATGATGGCAAAGGACTTCAGTGGATAGAATAAAGGGAAAACTAGAAGAAGCATTTTGCAAATAGAATAATTAGCGAAAAGGGATGGAAAATCCAATGAGTTTTATTTTCTGGATTAAAAGAAATTACGGTAACTAAGAATTCACACCCCAAATCCAATTTACGTATCTTCTGCAGAATCGGCTCAAGAGAATCCCAAGAGTAGAGGATGAGAGCCTATCTCACAGGGTTATTGACAGGGTAAAATTGGAGCGGGGTCTTCTTTGAGTGCCCATAGAAAAGGAAGATCTAGGTCCGTGATAGTGAACCTATGGCACGCATGGCCAAAGTGGCATGTGAAGCCATGTCGCCTGGCACGCACGGCCTTGCCTGTTTGTCTTCCGGGTTTCTGGCACGCATGTGCATGCGACGATCAGCTGTCCTTCACGCTTGCGGCAATGCCGAAAACTGGTGTGCACATGCCTGCCGGCCAGCTGATTGTTGGGCATGCAGAACCCGGAAATTCAGCTTTTCTGGAGCGTGATCTCTTCGCGTGCATGGCAGTGCCAAAAACTGGCCTGTGCATGCGTACCGGCCAGCTGATCTTCGGGTGCACGTGGACGCTAGAACCTGGAAGTTCGGCTTTTCCGGAGCGTGAACACTTCACGCACATGGCAGTTCCAAAAACTGGCCTGCGCATGTGCGCCAGTCAGCTGATCATCATGTTGTGGCTCCGTTGCCTGAGCCTGGGCTATCGACAGATGCAGACTCTGAGACTGAGGGGGAGGAGTTGGCAAGGCCTCCCTCTCCAGGACCCTCCTCTCTGGCAATGCCTCCGGAGGACACCGAAGGCCAAACGATAGGCTCAGAGCCAAACACGTCCCCGCAGCCACAGGTGGACAGCGACGAGGAAGATAAGTGCTGGCTGGACCCTCGACAGAGGCGCAGGGAGAAGCGTGCACAGCAGAGGGGAAAGCGTGCCAGAGATTAGCTGAGTCACTGGACCACACCCCACAGGGTATAAATGTGGGTGTGGTGACCGGTTCAGTTTGTGACGAGCAAAAACTGGAAATACTCCATGATCTCTGCGTTACTGGACTTTGCCTGCTTTATCGGACTGTATTTGGACTAATCCTTGTATTATTGACACTCTGCCTGTTCTGTCGGAACGCTGCAGTCTAATCTTTGTTTTGTGTGAGTAAAGTCTGAATTGGCAGCTAGCCACTGGGTTGCTGCCAGCTTTATCATCAAAGAGTTTTATTGTGTGGCTATTAACTCCGGGCCGTCTGTGGGGGTGTGTGCGTGGTACGGGGACAGAACATATCAGGCGCACATGTGCTAGAACCTGGAAGTTCAACTTTTCCAGAGTGTGGCCCTGGTGAGCGCACGCACATGTGCTCAACGTTTCCGCACAACCTTTAAGGCACTAGGTGCCGAAAAGGTTCGCCATCACTGATCATTTTTCTGCCTCTTCTAGGAAGATCCAGATGCTGACTTTTCCATCTTTGTACTTTAACAGTGGGAAACGTTTCTTATTAACCTTCCCTAAATAGCCCCTCCCCCACCAGATTTGCTTTAGATGTTGCTCACACAACTTCATAAAAGCTACAAAGCTGCCTTTTTGTTTTTGTGCTTTCGTTGGAAGTAAACATAGTGGTTTCTCTTCTCTGAATCAGTGTCTGTTTGGGATGCGTGTGTGTGAATTATGGATATTTGCCCAACTGGATCTCAGCTTGATTTGGTTCAGTTTGAATTTTCTTCACAGAAGCCAGCATGGAGTGATCATAAAGCCCCTGACGGGCGGATCTATTATTATAATGCTGAAACCAAACAATCAAGTTGGGAAAAGCCAGATGAACTCAAGTCTAAGGCAGAGGTGAGAGTTGTTGCTATGCTTGGTTGCTGGAGCAACTTAGACACTGATTTTTTTCCCTCTTGTATTGGATCTCTGATAAGTGAAAGTCAGCCATCTCAGGCAGCAGTCCCATCTGGTGTTTCTCCTAAAAAGTAGGGTTGCAGTCATAATCCTAAGAATTCCTGGAATATAAACACAGGAGATGATCAGGCCGATAAGGAACTGTAAAACAGGCACTCAGAGGAAGAGTGGACAGCATGGAGAAGATTTAGGGATATGGGATACAAATGATTAAACGGGTTTGTTGCCTGTTCCAGAAGACGGGGCCAGAACCAGCAGCTAGAATTTACAAGGGGGCTGATTTCAACCAATGTTTGGGGGAAATTTTCTACCAGCAAAGAGTTGCTTCTGCATGACACAGTCTCCATGGATCATGATGGATTCTACTTCGTTGTGGGTAGCTAATTGGAACCTGGACAACCATCTGTCAGGGAGGTTGCGATTCCGACATTCCTGCATTCAGCAATTGATAGGGTTGGAATCTCTTTCAAGTCTAACCATGTCCATCAAATTCTCTCAGATTATTCTGTGGAATCTGGGAGAATTTGTTGACTACAGGACTTGCTCCCATTGGTTGGATGTGAACCAGATAGATGCTTTAGAACAGGGGTGTCAAACTTACGTCATCACAGTGGCGGCACGTGACAAATCAGGACTTTTTCCTCCTTCGCTAAATTGGGCGTGGGCGTGGCCAGCGGGTGATGCAACTGGCCCACAAGACGGGAGTTTGACAGCCCTGCTTTAAGAGGGCACCAGGAGCCTTACCTCCAAGTGAGGAAAGAATTGTTGAATTATTAAATGAAAAAAAGAATCACATGGCCATTAGCAAAATAACTCCTTAGTAAGTATAATTTGTAAATAACCCTTTAATAAGAAACCAAACTGGTTCTCACTCAAAATTCAGTTTCTCAAGCAGAAAACGAAATGCTTTTTAAGACACAGGATATAACTGTTGCTCTTGGCTTCAAAACCAAGTCAGGGCTAATAGAAAAGAAGGCTTTTGTGGTTAAACATTTTGGGCATTTGGTTAATGTTATGATTTCAGGGTATTGTATGAATGCAGAAAAGGAATCAGTTCATTAACTAAGACAGGCAAGCTTGATTATAGATACGGATTGGCCCATCAGTGCATAAGTTTTCAGAAAAGGATAAAAGGTTCTGGATCTTTACCCCACAACACACACACACACACACTCTCACTCACTCACTCACTCACTCACTCTACACTTGCTAAGACTCTTTTTTTGCTTCTGCAGATCTTGCTGTCACGCTGTCCTTGGCGTGAGTATCGCTCAGAAACTGGGAAATCCTATTACTACAACACTCAGAGCAAGGAGTCACGTTGGACCAGGCCACGAGAGCTAGATGATATTGAAGGTGAGGGTCTCCAGGATCAAATCTAGGGTGGGGTCCTGCTTCCCACAATCTTCGTCTGAGAACCTTTTCCTGTTTTTGTCCTTCAGCATTGATCAAGGAGGAAGAGGAGGAAGCAGAGTAAGTTCCCGGAAGCAGATTGCATCAAGAAGAGCTCAAAGAGCGGGCTGGGCAGGAGAAAAGGCAGACCTACCCAGCAGGGTTTGTCCCATGAGACATGGGCATGGAGTGAGCACTGGCAGGGCTGAGGGCTTCCTTTTTCTTCCAAGCCTCCCCTAGAGGTTGATTCATCTCTCTGGAAGATCTGCTGAACCTGGCATCTGGGTCACAGAACCGTCAGAAAACTTGAGCTTTGCCATTTTGCTTGGAAATAAAATTTCTATTTCTAATTCTGCTTGATGGTGGCAAGGAACTGAAAAACGCTCAGCATCCCCATGGAAACGCAGAACCCAAAAAGGGGCTGAGTGGAGTTTGGACTGATTGAGACTGGTCTTATGTCTCTTCTCTCATTTTCCTGCGTTGATGAGATAGAGTGGGCTGGAATCCATTGTGTGGAAAGTTCTCTAAACTGTGCAATCAGGCTTGTATTGTTCTGCTGCAAAATATTCATAGCTGCCATCTTCTTCCTTCCCAGAAGGCAACAGCTACCTCAGCAACCGGAGCCGCCATTGTCGGGCCCTGCCAGTCCCACCCCGTCTTCCGCAGCCACCTCAGACACGGAAGGCACCGGGGGTGTTGAAGAGACCCCAGGGACTGAGGGAGTCCCGACTGCTGTTGAGGAGGAGGTCACCAGCAGGTAATTCAAGAGGAGGGGACAGTAAAGGGAAGATGTTGATCTATAGCCAGCTTTCCAACACAATGTTTCCCAATCTTAGCCACTCTTTAAGATTTGTGGACTTCAACTCCCAGAATTATCCAGCCTGCATGGGGAATTCTGGGAGTTTTTTTCTTTATTTGTGTCAGAAGCACCTTCAAGTTATAGACATATAACATTCAACACTGAGCAAGTTAAAAAGATATACAATAGGTCCTAGAACAGTGGTCGGCAAACCATGGCTTGCGAGCCACATGCGGCTCTTTGGCCCCTTGAGTGTGGCTCTTCCACACTTGTGATGCCCTGGCCAGCTGTGGCTGAGCCGGGAGCGTGCGCACGTGCAGGGAAACCCTCCTCAAGCGAGCGCCGAAGCTCAGGAAAGGTACGCGCAGGGTGAGCAGCGGCTTGCTTAAGGAGGGTCTCCCCACGTGCGCGCATGCTCCCGGCTCAGCCACAGCCGGCCAGGGCATCACGAGAGTGGGAGGAGGAGGAGAGTGCAGGAGAGAAGCTGCCTTCGCGCCACATTTGCACGTAAGGCAGCCTTTGCTTCCTGCCGCTTCAGGCTGGAGTTCGCACCCTCCGCACTCAGCCGAAGAGCTGCTGGGGGTGGGGGATGAAACAGCAAGGCGATGGCCAGAGGAGCGGGAAGAGGACAGTCACCCGAAGGGAGGGGGAGAGACAGAGAGAGAGATGGGGGAGAGAGAGAGAGACATAGAGACACATAGAGTGATACATAGAGAGGGGTGAGAGGGGAAGAGAGGGAGAGATACAGAGGGAGAGAGACATGGGGGGAGAGAGGGGGAGATAGGAAGAGGGGGAGAGAGAGAGAGAATGGTTTTGTGGCTGGGTAGGCGTGGCTAGGGGGGTCATGTGACTGGATGAGTGAGTGACATCGAGTTGGCCACGCCCACCCAGGTTTTGTGGCTCTGGTGTGTTTTTTTTTCTATGGGAAACGGGTCCAAGTGGCTCTTTTGAGTGTATAAGTTTGCCAAACCCAGTCCTAGAACTACAGGTAGTCCTCGACTTACAACAGTTCATTTAGTGACCATTCAAAAAATTGAAAAAAGCAATTTATGACCATTTTTCACACTTCTGGCCATTGCAGCATCCCCATGGTCATTGATCAAAATTCAGACGCTTGTCAACTGACTCATATTTATGACCGTTGCAGCGTCCCAGGGTCATGTGATCCCCTTTTGCAAACCTTCCAATAAGCAAAGTCAACCGAGAAGCCAGATTCATTTAACAGCCATGTGACTAACTTAACAATGGCAGTGATTCACTTAACTGTGGCAGGAAAGGTCGTAAAATGGTGTAAAACTCACTCAGATGTCTCACTTAACAACATAAATTTTGGGCTCGGTTGTGGTCGTAAGTCGAGGACTCCCTGTATATCACATGTAAAAAAAGTATGTAAAATAAATAGGTTTCTGGAAGTTGAAGTCCACATATCTTAGAGCTGCCAAGGTTGAGAGGTACTGGTCTAGCAGATAGTGGGATCTCTCTACTCCAACCCATCAGGAAAGCATCAGATCGAGGAATACCAGATTAAGCCTGCCTAGATTTTCAAACTGTGGGCTGCAGGACAAAAAAGAGTGGTAGAGAAGGCAGAGGGATGGAACTCCCCTCCATTTGTCTGCCGGTTTATCTGTATGGAAGGCTGCACTGTCCACCTGGAATTCCTAGCAGCAATCCGTTGAATTGTTAAGCCTCAATCGATGCTTGACTTCACGTTTTGTCCAAATGCTTTGCTTTTCCTTGGGCAGTTGTGATCCCCTCCGGAGAGATGAAGAAGATCGTGGCAGTGGCAGTGCCTGGAGCAACAAAGAGGAAGCTAAACAAGCTTTTAAGGAGCTGCTCAAAGACAAGGTAATAATTGGAGAAGGGAAAGGAGGACAGGAATTAAAGAGCCTTCCTAGGAATCGGAGCCAGTTTGTCAGTGATAACATTTCTTTATGCCCGTCGCTTAGCCTGCCAGGAAAATGGTGGGAAGTTTTGTGTCCTGAGTGCTTTTTGCATTGAGAGTGAAAAGGACCTGTTCTCCTTGCCATAACAGAACAATGTCAGGGAACCTCTCCCTCTGGCAGGCTGATCTGTCTGTCTGTCTTCTATCTATCTATCTATCTATCTATCTATCTATCTATCTATCTATCTTATCTATCTATCTATCTCTATCTATCTATCTCTCTATCTATCTATCTCTCTATCTATCTATCTATCTATCTATCTCTATCTTCTATATCTATCTCATCTATCTTCTATCTATCTATCTATCTATCTATCTATCTATCTATCTCTATCTTCTATCTCTATCTATCTCATCTATCTTCTATCTATCTATCTATCTATCTATCTATATCTTCTATCTCTATCTATCTATCTATCTATCTATCTATCTATCTATCTATCTATCTATCTATCTATCTATCTATCTATCTATCTCTGTCTACCTACCTACTATCAATCATTTATTTTGCCAGACAGCAGGGAGGAGAGGAAAATATTTTGCCTGAAAGTTCAAGCAGAAGAAAATCAAAACAGCAAACTTGTTATACCCCGACTCTTGTATTTGTAAAAAAAAAAAAAAAAGTGAGGGGTTAAAAGAAGGAGCCTGCCAAATTAAGGCAGTGCAGGCCTAATTGGTGCAGTCCAAGAGGAGGAGGAGATGGTACAACTTGATTGAAAATACCCCATTTTCTGGCTTTAGGGTGTTCCAGCTAGTGCATCCTGGGAACAGGCCATGAAGCTTATTAGCAGTGACCTCCGTTTCAGGTATGATCTTGGGTGGACGCATTCTAGTTCCCTCCCTCCCTTGTCAGACAATGAGTCCAAGTTGCAGATCTGTATGCTGAAAGCCCTACAGAGAGAGCTCAGTTGGAGCGCCCTGCCCATCCACCTCATTTACTCATTCAGGGAACTAGAACTTTGGGTCTCCTGTTTTTCTTTGCCTGTTGCTCATGTGAGCCAGCTCTTGACCTCCGGCTTCTGTGTGTCCCAGTGCTTTGCCCAAGGTGAGTGAGAAGAAGCAGGCATTCAATGCCTACAAGGCTCAACGGGACAAGGAAGAAAAGGAAGAGGCCCGGCTGCGGGCAAAGGAGGCAAAGGAAGAACTGCAACGCTTCTTGGAAGAACACAGCAAAATGAATTCTACCACCCGCTACAGGTACACGAGGATCGGGATGCTTGGTGGAACAACAACCCAGCTGGGGAAGGTTGGGAGCCTGGATGGTTCTCTCAAGACCGTTTTAGAGATTGCTAAGAGAAGTGGTGTCTTCCTGGCTAGGTCTTGAAGGAGCCTTCGAAGGAAATAGGTTAGGTGTGGCTGGCCCAGTTCCTTGAATAACATCAACTGTGATGGATGAATAATTTTGCAAGGTTGTATGTCTGAACCTGACAGAGACTTAGCACTTTGGGAAACAGGGAGCTGCATTTTCCAGTAGTGAACCTAGAATTTATTGCTGGATTTCCTGTGGGCCAGAATGAGAGATGTAAATGCTGAACGGGTTGCAGCTTGAAGACCAGGAAAGAGATGTTACCTTGGCTATGCTAAGCAGTCCAGTTTTCCCTGTTTAGACATGAAACAGGTGGTTTCTGTTACAGGTATCCCTCTTATTTTTTTTTCTGTTGCCACAACTCTGTCCTCACCAGATCAAAGTAGAGGGACTGTTGCTTGGTTCTTCCAAGCATGGATGTCCTCGAGCAACTCACTTTGCCTGCTTCATAGACTAAGATGTCCTTGGATCTTTATTTGTCCTCCCTTGAAGGTTGTCACCCAACCCTCCATCTCCAACTTTCTTTTCTCTTTCCCTCCTCAGGAAAGCTGAGCAAATGTTTGGTGAGCTGGAAGTGTGGGCCATGGTGCCTGAAAGGGATCGCAAGGAGATCTATGATGACGTTCTTTTTTTTCTGGCCAAGAAAGAGAAGGTAAGTCAAGGACGGGTCAAGGGTGGGAGCTCTTGATAGGAGTTAAAAAAAAAAAAAAAGTCCAGGCATCATCCTTCCCCCATAGCCTTCCTTCCTGAGTAACAGCAGAAAAACTAATCCTGATACTTGCTCCCAGAAATTGAGGGCAGGAATCCAAGATTCCTAAGATAGATACTGGCCACCAACATCCACAGAGTCCAATCCACGGTTTCATCTGAATTACAAAGTTGTTTTGACAAAAGCCCCTCCCCTTACATATATGTGTGTGACCTGACTTACAAAAAGATTGCGGTTTGCACTGTGACATCCTGGCAGTTTCGTCCCTTGCCCTGCGCCTCCAAGCAGAAACCCACAGTCCTAGCATTAACTCTGCCCCTTCCGTCCCACCCAGGAGCATGCCAAGCAGCTCCGCAAAAGGAACATTCAAGCTCTGAAGAGTATCCTGGACAGCATGAGCCGTGTCAGCTTCCAGACCACTTGGTCTGAGGCCCAGCAGTACCTAATGGACAACCCCAGCTTTGCCGAAGACGAAGACTTGCAAAGTGAGTCATCTTCCACCACCTCATTGCCCTGGGTTTCTCCTACCTTCATCTTTCTAACTCCTGTCTTCCCATGCTATGAGAACTATATATATTCACATTAAGCCATAATGTAGGTGTCAGCACTTCAACCTGCATTTACTCTAGTGCTGATATAATTTTATTTATTTATTTATTTTATATTGGATTTCTATACCGCCCTTCTCCCTGAGGACTCAGGGCGGTGTACAGCCAGATTAAAAAACATGCAGAACAAATATTAAAAACAATTAAAAGATATATAAATTTGGCCCAATTAAAACTCATTTACCAATTAAAAACGTTTAAAACATTTAAAAACAGTTAAAAATTTCATCTTAAGCCAGCCCGGCTTGTTTAAATAAATGGGTTTTAAGGGCGCGACGGAAGGCACTGAGGTCTTGGATTCTCCTTATCTCTGGGGGGAGCTGATTCCAGAGGGTGGGAGCCCCCACAGAGAAGGCTCTCCCCCTGGGGGTCACCAGCCTACATTGTCTGGCTGATGGCACCCCGAGGAGGCCCTCTCTGTGGGAGCGCACGGGTCGATGGGAGGTCGTTGGTAGCAGCAGGCGGTCTCGAAGATAGCTAGGCCCTATGCCATGGAGCGCTTTAAAGGTGATAACCAACACCTTGAAGCGCACCCGGAAGACAACTGGGAGCCAGTGCAGCTCGCGCAGGAGCGGTGTTACATGGGAGCGCCATGCTGCTCCCGTCACTACCCGCGCTGCTGCGTTCTGGACCAGCTGGAGCCTCCGGGTGCTCCTCAAGGGGAGCCCCATGTAGAGAGCATTGCAATAGTCAAGGCGAGAGGTGACGAGGGCGTGAGTGACTGTGCACAGGGAATCCCGATCAAGAAAGGGCCGCAACTGGCGAATCAGGCGAACCTGACAAAAGGTCCCCCTGGTTACAGCCGTCAGATGTTCCTCCAAGGACAGCTGCATATCCAGGAGGACTCCCAGATTGCGAGCCCTCTCTGTGGGGGCCAATGACTCGCCCCCAATAGTCAGTGATGGAGTCAACTGACTATATCGGGATGCCGGGAGCCACAGCCACTCAGTCTTGGAAGGGTTGAGCTTGAGCCTGTTCCTCCCCATCCAGATCCGTACAGCCTCCAGGCACTGGGACATCACTTCAAGGGCATCGTTGGGGTGGCCTGGGGTGGAGATGTACAGCTGGGTGTCATCAGCGTACTGGTGGTATCTCACCCCAAAGCCACGGATGATCTCACCCAGCGGCTTCACATAAATGTTGAACAGGAGAGGCGAGAGGACCGATCCCTGCGGCACTCCACAAATGAGAGGCCTCGAGGTCGACCTCTGCCCCCCTGCCAACACAAACTGCGACCGGTCGGAGAGAAAGGAGGAGAACCACCGCAACACGGTGCCTCCCACCCCCAACTCTTCCAGCCGGTGCAGCATGATACCATGGTCGATGGTATCAAAAGCCGCTGAGAGGTCTAACAGGACCAGAACAGAGGAACAACCCCTGTCCCGAGCCCTCCAGAGATCATCAACCAACGCGACCAATGCCGTTTCTGTGCTGTGCCCAGACCTGAAACCCGACTGGAACGGATCTAGATAAGATGTTTCCTCCAGGAATTGCGGAAACTGTCGTGCGACCACACTCTCAACAACCTTCGCCATAAAGCGAAGGTTGGAGACAGGACGATAGTTGGCCAATATTGCCGGATCCAGGGACGGCTTCTTGAGGAGAGGCCTCACCACCGCCTCTTTCAAGGCGGTGGGGAAGTAACCCTCACTCAACGAAGCGTTGATAACACCCTGGAGCCAGCCTCGTGTAACCTCCCGGGAAGCCAGTACCAACCAGGAGGGACACGGGTCCAGTAAACATGTGGCCGCACTAAGTCTCCCCAAAATCCTGTCCACATCATCAGGAGTCACAGCATCAAACTCCTCCCAGATAACATTCTCAAGACTATTCCTCGTCACCCTGCCCTGATCTACCCAGTCAGAGTCCAAATCCCCCCGGATCTGGGCGATTTTGTCATACAGGTATTGTCCGAAATCCTCCGCCCTGCCTTCTAAGGGATCCTCCCGCACTCCCGGATGGAGCAGGGCGCGGGTCACCCTAAACAGGGCGGCCGGACGATTCCCTGATGACGCAATAGAGGCGGAAAAGTAGTTAGACTTTGCCGTCTCTATCGCCACTAGGTAGGCCTTAATATGCGACCTTACCAGTGTTCGATCAGATTCAGCGAGACTGGCCCTCCAACCGCTCTCCAGGCGTCTTTTCCGGCGCTTCATTTCCCTCAGCTCCTCAGTAAACCAAGGAGCCGCACGGGATCGGCATCGGGTCAGGGGCCACAAAGGCACAACTCGGTCCAAGGCCCCACCAGCTGCCCGATCCCAGGCGGCTACCAGGTCCTCGGCCGAGTCATGTGCTAGATCCTCAGGAAATGGCCCAAGCTCCGTCTGGAACCTATCAGGATCCATCAGGCGCTTGGGGCGGATCCATCTAATTGGATCCGCCTCCCTGCGGCGAGGGGTCGCGGTTCGAAGATCTAGGCGAAGGAGTGAGTGGTCAGACTGTCCATAAGAACAGTCAGACTGTCTATAAGAAGGAGAAGAGGGGGCAGCTGGCAAGAGGATGCTTGACTTTTCACTTACTTATTTTCCCTGAAGATAATATCCCCTAGGAGATGGGATGGGAGGGGGGACATTCCTGGGAGCTGAAGTAGTAGATATGGGGAGAGTGATTTGGAAGATGGCCAATGAGACGTAGAGAATTGGGAAACGGAAAGGGTAGGTTTGGGGTCAGGAAGTCAGTGTTGGCTACAACATAATCGGGGACAGATTGTTGTGCTTAATAAATGAAAGATTTCATCAAAGACTATTTGTTTGGAAATGCAATTTATTTGAGACGACATCGAAACCTGACAGTAGGTTATTTGGGTAGTGTATCTAATTGCTACCTTCTAGAAGTCACGAAAGCTTAATTCTAGAAATGTAACAGGCTGTCCTACCCAAGGGTGGGCTTCAAAAACTTTAGCAAGGGGTTCTTTGCCTGGTTCCTGGGTGGGCATGGCCTAGTCGGCCTCCTGCCCCACGATGGGGGGAAGGGGGGCGTTTTTGCCCTCTCTGGGCTCCAGAGGCTTTCCTTGAGTCTCCGGGAGGGCGAAAACAGCCTCCTCAGGCTCCAGAGGCCCTCTGGAGGATGGTAGGCCCATTTTTTGCCCTCCCCGAACCTCCGTGCGCGCCCTGCACTTAACTGCATCCAAAACGGGCCGCGTGGGGACTCCTGGGAGGGGTGGGGTGAGGTGGGGCCAGCCAGGAGTGGGATTTGGGGGTTCTCTGAACTGCACAGAATCTTAGCTAGAGGTTCTCCCGAACCCCTGCGAATCCCCAGCAGCCCACCCTTGTCGTAACGTTTTGAACGCTGGGCCTGTCTGCTGCCCTGCTGACAGGGTGGGCCACAACTTCCCATTTTAGGTAGGACAACTCTCCATGCTTAGAACCTTCATTCACAGGGGACTGTCTTATGCTCTCTTCCCCGTTGTCTGTGCCTGAATCCCTGACACGTCTCATTACAGAATAAACTTGTACTTTTCCTCCCGGGTCACCATGATTTTATCTCTTAGCTTAGTCTGGCCTGCTCCCAACTTTTCCTCTTTCAGACATGGATAAGGAGGATGCCTTAATCTGCTTTGAGGAACACATCCGGACGTTGGAGAGGGAGGAGGAGGAGGAACGTGAACGGGGTCGATTACGGGAGAGGCGTCAGCAGCGGAAGAACAGGGAAGCCTTCCAGGTATTTGCAATCGCAGCCCATGAGCCAAGGAGGGGGATTCTTTGGAAAGAAGAGTGTGGTTTGTCTCTCAAAGCAAGAACAGTGGCAAGGATTCCATGCCTTGTAGATTTTGGTCATCAGCACTTGAAAGAATTAGAGGCAATCCTCCAATTAGAGGATCCAAAGGTGGTGTCAACCTGCAGAATTCTCAGCAATAACCATATTAATTGAGAGATTCCAGGATTTGAATCTGGGCATCAGAAGGGCAACCAAATTGGGAAAATTTAATTAAAAGAGGTAACAAAGGAAAATCCAGGAAAACAGGAAAATCCTTTTATTGCTGTCACAGTCCATAGTAGGCTAAATGGTAAATGGACTACTGATTCAGTCTTTTTCATTCTAGCGTTTGCTAGATATTTTAGGAATAAAACTTCAGACTTCCCAACAGCCATGGTAGTTGGGAATCCTAGTACCTGTCCTCCAACACATTTGAAGAGCATTACATTGAACAAGGCTGCTCGGATGAAGATTAATCTAGAATGATCTTCATTTAGTGTTTCTATTGTCCATCACCTGAAGATAAATAGATCAAGATTTTCACAAACCAGGAAAGAAAAAAAATCATTTTTTATAGCACTGGAATATTACTTGTCACTAGTTTGTTTTGGCCAGCTAGCTAATTATTTGATTATGATTCCAGAAAAGGACTGAATATACTAGAATTCAGCTTCCTAACAATGTTGGCGGTCCTTAGTTTTTGAATAATAGTGAGAGAAGATGCTCTCAGAGAGAGGGCTCGTATAATTGCCAGTTATTGCTTTTCTATCATAAGGTAAAAGTAAAGGTTCCCCTCGCACATATGTGCTAGTCATTCCCAACTCTAGGGGGCGGTGCTCATCTCCGTTTCAAAGCCGAAGAGCCAGTGCTGTCCGAAGACATCTCCGTGGTCATGTTGCCGGCATAGCTAAATGCCAAAGATGCATGAAACACTGTTATCTTCCCACCAAAGTTGTCCCTATTTTTCTACTTGCATTTTTTACGTGCTTTCAAACTGCAAGGCTGGCAGAAACTGGGACAAGTAATGGGAGCTCACCCTGTTATGCAGCACTAGGGATCTGAACTGCCGACCTTTCGATCGACAAGCTCAGCGTCTTAGCCACTGAGCCACCGCATCCCTTTTCTGTCATAGCTAAAAGGAATTCCCATTGACTTTCAACCCTTCAAAGCAGTGTTTCCTAACCGTGGGAACTTTAAAGAAGTGGTGGACTTCAACTCCTAGGATTCCCCAGCCAGCAATGACTGCTTGGAGAATTCCGGCTGTTGGAAGTCCATATTTTTTAAAAGTTCCCAAGTTAAGGAACACTGCTTCAGAAAATCTCAGTTTTTTGTTTATGGATCTTCCCACAGATTAGCAGCACAACCAGGGGTATCGCTTTCTCTTCCCCTGTGCTGACCTTTTACAATAATTGCAGATTCTCCTGCCTCCCAAATTGCAAACTGTGTTTTGTATATGTTTTGGTTTTTTTATTTATTGGCCAATACAGGTAGTCCTTGACTTACGACCACAATGGAGCCTAAAATTCCTGTTGCTAAGTGAAACATTTGTTAAATGAAATTTTCCCTATTTTACAACCCTTTTTGCTAACAGTTGTTAAATGAATCATTGTAGTTGTTAATGACAAGGAAACTGGCTTCCCCATTGACTTTGCTTATCAGAAGGTTGCAAAAGGTGAGCCCATGATCCCCAGGACACTGCATCTGTCATAAATATGAGTCAATTGTCGTGTCTGGATTTTGATCACATGACTATGAGGATGCTGCAACTGTCGTAAGTGTGAAAAATGATCATAACTCACTTTTTTTCAGTGCTGATATAACTTTGAATAGTCACAAAATGAACTGTTGTAAATTGAGGATTACCTGGGGAGTGCTTTCTTGCTTCTGATAAACAGTTAAGATGGAGCCATAAATCCTGATCTCCATTTTGTACTCCTTATATGAAACTTTCTTGCATTTTCCTAATCAGTTTCAGAGAACTGAACTGTTACTGCAGAATGCCCCTATTCCTTTCTCCCAATATTTGCAGAGTCTCTTTTGATCCAAACCCCCCCCCCCATTGTTTTCTTCAAAAGAGAAAAAAAGGCACCGGAGAAATTGAGAAAACATGTTGCTTTTATTTAAGGGAGGAGGAACAAAAGTAGCCCAGATAGGCTCCAGTGTGAGGATTACTTGGCTTTTGGAAGAACATGAAAGCCCCAAAAGAGTTTGATCCTAGGTAGAGGCAGATATTTTTTTCTCTGGGCACACTGGGAATATATTGGTTGAAAAAAACTCTGCATTGGTGACAGGAAGGGGATCCGGCCAGTAAACACTCAGCTCCATTCCGTTGCCCAGACTCCACCCTGTAAGGGATTATGGGATCTTTAAAAGAGGATGATGATGATGATAAAAGCCCCAATAGAGCATGATAAATGATACAATAAAGGGGAACAAGTATGACCATGTAAATCGGGTAGGCAATTAATTTTTCCGAGGAACTGGGAGTGCTCCTGAGGGCTGAACCAATAGGCTGAACTGAATTTTGCTCAATATTAATTATATTATTTTATAAAAAGCACCAAATTTTATGGTTTGAGTTAGCTGCTACTGGTAAGAATTTACATGTTATGATAAGACTGTGAAAATGTGGAGTCGCATAGCGTATCCTTATTTACATTTGATTTCTAATTTCCGATCGACCTCACGTGGGCTGGACAGGGACACCCAAGGGCCATATATGGCCTGGGGGCCGTAAAATGCCCATGTCTGCTCTAGATACCCCTGAACAACAACTTTTAGTACTCCTTATTGTTGGCCACACTGGTTGAGTGTTGCTGTGGTAGAGAAAAGAGTCACTTCATCCTCATCCGTGATGATCATTCCAGTACACCTCATCAGTCCTATTTTCTCACATTTTTTGTGCCTCCTGCAATGCTGCATGATGGTTTTCTCTTACTGTCATTTTTTTTAATCGCAGGTAGTCCTCACTTAACAAACCTTCATTTTGTGAGTGTATGAATTTACTGAACACAGCACTGAAAATGGCACTTACGACTGTTTTTCACACTTGACCATTGTAGCAACCCCATGGTCACATGATCAAAATGTGGACGCTTGGCAACTGGTTCATATTTATGACAGTTGGAGTGTCCCAGGATCATGTGTTCGCTTTTTGTGACCTTCTGACAAGCAAAGTCAAAAGGGAAGCCAGATTCACTTTAACAACAGCACTACTAACTTAACAATTGCAGTGATCCACTTAATAACTATGGCAAGAAAGATCTTAAAATGGGGGCAAAACTCACTTAACAAATTTGGGCCTTAATTGTGGAGCACTACCTGTACTTAAAATGAGAGTAGAGCACGGCAGATGTATCAGTGAAAATATGGGTTCTGTGCTCACGGCATTGCCTGGACACTCTGGAAAATGGCAAACTGTAAGGCAAATTGCACAATAATTGTCCAGACATCTCCAGGGAAGTATGATAAAGAAGCTGGAACACAGGAGTGTAAGTTTTCCAGGAACTGGGGGCAAAATTCTGACACTAGCTTTTTTAAAACTTGTACTTCTCAAGTCAAATTTTGCAGTTCATCCCAGTGTCTTTGCTTCTTGCTTTTTTCTTCCTTCCTTCATACTGTATATGGAGTGTTCTATGGCAGGGGTCTCCAACCTTGGCAACTTGTGGACTTCAACTCCCAGAATTCCTCAGCCAGCTTTCCTTTGCTGGCTGAGGAATTCTGGGAGTTGAAGTCCACAAGTCTTAAAGTTGCCAAGGTTGGAGACCCCTGCTCTATGGTATCTGAAATGTTTGAGTTTCCAGATGGGCGTTGGAAGGGTAGATGGAAGGAAGTCTTTGAGGAAACCTCTGTGTCAGGGCAGAGGGAGGTGGGCTTCAGGGCCTGCTTTGGGGCACATGGCCTCCCTGGCAGGGCCTGTGACTGGGGGAGGGGCTGACTCCCTGATCTCTCTCACTCTATCGTAGAATAACCAGGCTGCTTCTTGCTCAGGCCTTCTTGGACGAGCTTCACGAAAGCGGACGCCTTCACTCCATGTCCACTTGGATGGAGCTGTATCCCTCCCTCAGCACCGACCGACGCTTTGCCAACATGTTGGGCCAACCTGGTAAGCAGCCTCAGGCAGGAATCTCACCCTCCCTTCTTGCCTCTCTCCAGAAAAGGTCTTCCCCAAATTATGGGCATGGATCCATCTCCCTGGGTGGTGTTTGGGATGACTTGAAATGTTGCACTTGGGTTTGCAAATATTTGTTTATTAGATTTGAGATCTTCCCATTGAAAAAGCTGAGGACTGGACCCAAGTCCAGGGATTAAACTCCATGAACCAAGAAGGCTGGTTGAGTCAGGGGCTTCACTAAGTGGCATCTCCTGCCTTACTTCAAGATTTTTCATGCATCCTGCCTTAAGAGAAATGTTTTCTATTTTGATTTGCCTTCTAAGCAAGCCCTCAGATGTGTCCTTGAATTATAAATATATGCATCATAAGGAGTTTTTTAATTTATGCTTATTAAGAGTTTTTCCATACAATAAAGGCAAATTGAAAAAAAGGAAAGGGAACGGGAGAAAGGAAAGGAAAGGAAAAACAAAAAAGTGCAAGAAGCAAAAAGAGAAAAGAACTACAGTTAAGACATATGACTTCCAACCTTGTTTTCAGTAGGTAGTTACAATTTTGTAATCCTTCTTCCCTCTTAGCTTCTAATTTTATCCAAGTTTCTCTTAATCTTCAAACCCATAAATCATCTTTTTTTCTTTCAGCAAAAAGTCCATGTAAGGTTTTTAGTCTCAAAAAAAGGTTTTGTTTTTTCTCTGATCAACAGGCCAGTTTTCCAGTTCTGACTTTTTTTCACAATCCATACTTGTACTGTGGGGATTTCATTGTTCTTCCATTATTGTCTGTGCGGTAACCCATCATAAGGAATTTCTGAGCATGTTCTCTTGCCTCAAGGACGTTAAGGGCCATATATCCACCATTGGACTTTCATGCCACCTATTCTGACCTAAGTAAAAAGAGCATCAGAGGACACACTGCGGTGTGTGTTTCTGGTTGCTGACTTTCCAAGGGGGATAAGTAATAAATAGGAGGCGTGGACAATTTATTTTGTTTCAGACAGAATTGTTGATCATCTATTGCTCGTTTATTCTACTTCATATCCTGCTTTCTATCCTGTAACTTAAAACTGATGGACACGATGAGGTAATTTTCCAAATTACGATGAGGTAATTTTCTAAGCACGGACCATGCTTAGTTTCAGTGAAATGTTGGCCTTATATGCCCTTGGGCCCTAAATCTAAGAAGCTGCTTGGAAACTTGGTTAGGCGGATCCTCTGCGCCCAGCGCTAATAATGCATGCATGGGCTACTTCCTGCTGCTCTTCTGTTCACAGGCTCCACCCCACTCGACCTCTTTAAATTCTACGTTGAAGATCTGAAGGCCCGGTTCCATGATGAAAAAAAGATCATCAAAGATATTCTCAAGGTGTGGCTGGAAGGTTAACAACAGAATATGGGCTAGAAATACTTTCGGGAAGCTATTTCCCTTGAGGGAATTATGTCTCTCTCTGTGATTCCAGTTAGCTGGGGCCCTTTTTAGGCAACACCATCATCAGTTTTACGACAACCATAAGACAGTCCCTTTGAAGCATCCTTCTTTGTACAGGGCAGAGGTCTGTCACGTTCTGATGCTTGTATTTGCTTTAAAATGAAAGCAGGCAAGGGGAACGAGCTGATCTGCAATTCCAACCACTACCTGATCCAGAGAAAAAATCTTTTCAGAAAACCCTTAAAAAAATTGAAATCTATAGTGGATTTACTTTAGTATTCTTTGATTCCTAATGTTTTAGAAGTAAACACCAGGGTTCTGAGGGAAGGAAAGTTTAACCATGGTCTTTTCACGCCTCTCTCCTTTTCCCTTTCTTTTCTCCTTGGTAGGACCGGAGCTTCAGTGTGGAAGTAAATACAACCTTTGAGGACTTTGCTCATGTCATCAGTTTTGACAAACGTGCTGCCACGCTGGATGCTGGCAACATAAAGTTAACTTTCAACAGTGTGAGTGGGGCAGGGTGGGATCCTATGCTTCTTCACCTTGGTGACTATCCCGTCATGTCTCAAAGGTGGTTTTTCAAGAGGCAACTGGACTTCCTTGTTTTTCTTCAAAGACGTTTCGCTTCTGGAGAAGCTTCTTGGAGGAGAAGCGAAACGTCTTCAAAGAAAAACAAGGAAGTCCAGTTGCCTCTTGAAAAAGCCCTTTTGGGATAACCGTGACCTGGGTGACTGAGAATCTCCATAGACATATAATATCCCCTATCATATTGAAATAAATGTATGTTTGTTGGGAGCGTCTCTCTTCTCTGTCTAATAATGCTGGGGCTGAGGAGTCACCCAGTGTGGCAGCTGGGCATTAGGGGGTCAGTCCAGTTGGAAGAAAGGTCATCTTTACAAATAAGCAAGCTGCAGACAGAAAAGGTGATGGCTGCTTTTGCAAAAGTTGGTCAGGCAAATCTAGGAAGGGGCAGGTTTATGAACAAGAGCCAGTTTGGTGTAGTAGTGCCTAAGACACCAGGCTAGAAACCAGAAACCAGGAGACACTGAGTTCTAGTCCCACCTTAGTGATGAAAACCAGCTGGGTGACCTTGGGCCAGTCATTCATTCTCCGCTTAACTCACCTCACAGGGTTGTTGTTGTTGTGGGGAAAATAGGAGGAGGAAGGTGTGTCGGATCTGTTCACTACATTGCATCATTTGTAAAATTAATAAAAGGTGGGATCTAAATAAATAAAACGAAGAGGCAGTTAAACCACGAGGAGATATTTTAGTGATAGGAATGTTCTGTGGTGACCGTTCTCTGCCTTCCCACCCCACCCCCACCCCCCAGCTGCTGGAAAAGGCTGAGGCACGGGAGCGTGAACGGGAAAAGGAGGAAACCCGGAAGATGCGGCGGAAGGAGGCCGCCTTCAAGAGCATGTTGCGTCAGGCAGCTCCTCCCCTGGAGCCCAATACCCCCTGGGATGAGGTGAGATCTTCTGCTCCTTGCAGGGCAGGTTTTCCAGTCGAGTGTCAAATGGATGCTAAAGGAAGAGGATGGCAGATTACATCTAAATAATAATAGAACAATCGGTCCAACTGTTGAATGTATCTTTTGGCATTGGACATGTGCATTTCCCACCCTTGGAGAAACCCACCCCTCTGTTTCTGAATGCCTCCTTAGTGGAGGAAGGCCAGCCTAAGAAGGAAAGATTCCTACAAGGATGCACTTGGAAGCCTTATTTTTGGAGCAGGTTGATCTATAACTTTGTCTCAAAACAATGGATGCTTCTGTCCAAACCAACTTAAGAGAAATTGGAAATCTCCTCCCACGGTTGAGTGAGAAAGTAGCAAAACAGTGGCTTAGGCCCAAAGGCGTCAACTTTTTTTGCCATGGGCTCAAAGAAATTTTAACTTCTTCTAGCAGCATCCGAGCTCTGTCACCAATTAGTTATCCCTTGAAATGTTTAGTGTCTGAATACAGTGGTGGGGCTTCCTGCCATCAGTAAGATTGGAAATCCCATGAACCCCCCCCCCCCCCCCAATCTTGCATATTCCAGGAAAGGATGTGATATGTGCTTCTTATTCTTGGTCAGGTCAGAGAGCGGTTTGTCAACAATATTGCCTTTGAGCAGATCACACTTGAATCAGAACGGATCCGCCTCTTTCGTGAATTCCTGCAGTTGCTGGAGGTGAGCAGCACCTGTTTGGGCCTGGCAGAGCAGTTGAATCCCAGCCAGGGATCTGCTTGAAACCCCATGGGACCAGTAAGTAGAGTTGCGCTGAAGGAGGATAGAGAAGACAGTTTGCGATGGTGGCTGTAGCTCTGGTGTAGGATGAGGGTGGAGGTTCGTTCTCTGAGCTTGTGGGTTGGATTCCAAACGTTTTGTTACCAGGCTAGGTCACATCTTCAGCAGAGTTTAGGGGAAGAGAAGACAGTGGCTGGGAAGGCCACGTTCCAAAGGGGCCCAAGTAACCCAGCCCTCCTTTTTCCCCAGAGTGAGTGCCAGCATTTCCACACCAAGGCCAAGAAGCATGCCAAGAAGCCAAAGAAACACCATCGCAAGCACTCTGCCTCGGTGAGATTTGGGGAGGACAGACTCAACGGAGTGCGCAAATACAAAAATGTTGGCCAAGGGCATCTGGATTCTCCTGGAATCCAGATGTCATCTCTTGAACTAAGCCACTGTCAGGCTCAATCCCAGAGACGAGAGCAAAATCCAATCAAGCCCAGTCCTTAATTTGCTTACACCAAATCTTGCCAAACTAAACCCTGACAGAATCTTGCTGAACTAAAGCAGTAACTTCTATGCTACTAGATATATCCCGAGAGCTTCTAGGCCAGGGTCTGTGAGGAACCTCTTCCCTCCCTCCAGTTTAGGACTGCACAGTCTCTTAATCCAGGCCTCTCTCTGGGAAAGCTCTTGAGTTGGCCAGATCCTTGCCCCTCTGTTGCTGCAGGTGCACATTTCCATCACATCCACTTGGAATTTGAAGCACCTTGTCTCAGATGCAAGTCAGGCTAATTTAGAGCGTTTTGAAAGTATCTTGAACCGGAAACAGCTCTGCTCCGAGTGAGATGCAGTCTGTTGTGAGCTTAAAGCACTTCTGAAATGCTCAAAACAACCTATTTCATATGCAAAAAGGGGCATTTTGCACTTTGAGCTTTTCAGTTTTGGGAATGGCATTTCAGCTTCAATTGGAAACTACATTTATTCCTACCCCCTTCCCCCAAAGATTTCCAGCCTGTTCACCGCTCTTAAGCCAGATGACCCCTCTGCGCCAGAAAAACTCAAAGGTTGGGGGGGTGGGGTGGGAATGCAGTAGGATAAGGGGCTAGAAGCCAGAGGTGCCACCTTAGACCTCAGGAGGGCTCATCTCTTACTTGGCAAGGGTTGGTAAGCTTGATCAGGACCTGTTTAGCTTTAAATTAAGGCACCTTGCTGGGGGACTTACAAAGAGTTGGAGGAAATTAGCTTTAGGAAAAGCTGTTCTAATGAGAAGGTTGGCTGGTGTGGGGATGATATCTGCAAACTGGCCACTGTTGTACAGGATGGATAATGATAAGTTGGTTCAAGATCTAGGATTGTGCTGCTTAGTAACTTAAAAATGCAGCAGCTTGGCCTGATCCTTTCCTGCTCCTCTTCCTCCTTGATACCTTTGATCTTCACTTTGGCTTATTTCTTCTTCCACTCTTCCTCTGGCAGAGGCTGTCTGGTGAGTCCTTCTTTTTCTCCTGCAGGGCTCAGAATCTGGTTCAGATCACCCCCACCGAGCAGCCAAGCGCAAGAAACGAAACCACTCAGAATCCGCAGGTTCAGGGGCCTCATCTTCCCCTGACTCGGGTAAGGCTTGGAGTGGATGAGAAACTGCCTAGCTCCATAGAAAAGAAGTCCTTATGGGAAACTTAGGCAGCAGTCTTTGTATTTGGAAAAAAACATGTAAATCCTATAAAACAAATCCATAGGCATCGGCTTGTTTAGGACAGGCAACGTTATTGTTGCCAGTGGTTGCATTTTCTGTTTTTGAAGTATACCTTTTTCAGCCTTCAAGGGGCACAGCACCATGTTGTGGATGAAGAGAAAATTTACTCAGGGAGTAAATTTTGGGGATGTGTTTTCACATTTTGCACAACAGTTGCTGAAAGTTAAGACATGAAGGGGCATGACAGGCTTAGGAAAGTTGTCTGTGGCTCCTGTCGTTTTTGTCCAAATGACAAAAGCTTTGTGGTGTCAGACTGTAAGCTCTATCCGTTTGGAACATCTGCACAATGTCAAGATGATGTTCAAATGGGACAGCAGGGCCCACAATACATTATTTTCATCAGGTTCTCCCATTTGACAACCACCCCACCCCAGGCAACACTACTGGAGTCACATACCTATTTTAACTTGTTTTAAAACTCACAAAAAATGATGGGCTGAAATCCTTTTCACCAATACAAGTTTCAGTACAATTCAATTCTTTGGCGGCTCTTGGCACTCTAAAAATGAGGAAACCCCCACAGCATGCAAACTGCTCTTCCTTAATTTGATTGGAAAAATCCCTTGATAGGTAGCATCTGCATCACCCCATCCCCCAATATTCGGCCACCTTCCCAGAACGTCTGTGTGATCCTTGGCCTGCTGCCGTGGAATCACTGCTGGGAGATGGCTGAGGTCATCCCAGGGGAAGGCTGGGACGGCCCGTCTCCCCGTCTGCACACAACTTCCTGTTTTCCTGCAGAGCACAGCCCCAGGCGTGCCAAGAGGCCGAAGAAGAAGAGCAAGAAGAAACGGCACAAGTCGGTGAGTAGGCGGTGACAGCAGAAGGGAGGCAAGGGGAGAGACCCAGATGGAAAAGGACCAATTGCATAAAACCAAGCTCCTTGGAAAAAAGGAGTCGTTCTCCTGGCAGCTCCCTCCGCATGGGTCTCAACCCACAGAGTAGGAGCAGGTAACCACTATCTGGGGATTCAAGGGAGCAGCCAGGATTGAAGGTACACATGTTCTGAGGCACTGCCAAACCCACCTGGCAGAGTTTGGTACTTTGCAACTGTTTTATCGCAACATGTGCATTGCTGGTTTACAATCTTTGGGGCTCACTTGCCTTCTTGGTTGTGCTAGCCTTCTGTCACCAAATGGGCCGGTCACCCAGGCCCACTCCTCCCAGGCCCCTCCCACCCCGCAAACCGTTTCTTTTACAGAACAGCCCTGAAAGCGAAGCTGAGCACAAGAAGGAGCCAAGCCGGGCAGAAGAGTGGGAGCGAGGGAAGGCGCCTCTGCGACCTGAGGGGAGGGGCCACTCCCCTCCCCGGGGCACTCGGAGGGAGCGGGTGAGACTTTGGGAGGGGTAGGGGGGGCACAAGCAGAATCCCAACCCAGAAGTGTGGGGAACTATAGCGCCTTTATGACTCATGCACTTCAACTCCCAGAATTCCTGAGCTAGCATGGAACTCTGGGAGTTGAAGTCCACAAGTCATAAAAGGACCATAGTTCCCCAACCCTGTCTTAACCCTTATGGGTGGGGAATTGAAGACCACAAATAGGTGGGGCGATTAGGGCGGAATTTGGGGAGAGATATGGCTACAATATTTTTTTTAAATATAGTGATATGTCTGTTTTAGGAGATTTCATCCTCAAAATGGCAAGAACTGCTCTCTGTTTTCAGCAGTCTCGATCTCTTGGGGCTCTAGGGGCCATATAAAGGGAATTGCTCATCCCTGCTTTAGGACATGGAGGATGGAGGAAGATAGAAAAAAAGGAAGGCTTGGAGGGAAGGCTGGATGAGGGGTTCTTACCTGCCTTCTTTCTGCTGTCAGAGTGGTTGGGACACCTCAGAGAGCGAGGAGCTGAGCGAAGGGGAGCTGGAACGTCGGCGGCGGACTCTGCTGCAGCAACTGGGTGACCAGTAATTGACCCCTGCCTCTTTTGAGGCACCCCCAACACGGTTGTATGAAAAGCATTCAGTCCTTGTTCCTGTGGCAACTCTGCCTTGTTTTAGCCTTGGTGGCATCAAAGCCAAGTGTATGCACTGCTCTTGCTGGACCCCGCACGTTGGGTCACAGTCTTCTTCATTACGTTCACCTGCTTCTAAGACGGGAGCGGCTGCTCCTGCCCGTTGGCAGCAGTCATCTCCAGCGACACCACCAGTCTACATCAAGCATCAGGACAGGGAGGAAAGTTCAGGTGTCCCTTGTGGATCTGGAGGGCATCACCAAAATTGAAACCCGGCTCTTGGATCATCCAGCAGAGGATTGGGGGAATTGCATCTGAGCACCAGAATGAATGATGTCTGTCTCCACTCAGACTTCACCAGGGCCACACTATCCCAGAGCCTCCTTTGGCCTAGATGCAAAATGGCGGCAGGAAACAGCTGAGATACAGCATCAGTCTTGTCAAATCTGGAGACAAGAATGGGCTACATGATCTTCTGGAAGGTTATCACTGTGACTGGATCCTTTTCCCTGGTTGCAGTATCCCCTTGTGAGTTAAGGGTTTAATGGAATTTTTAAAACAATATTTATAATAAATCTGGACTGAAAATACCAATCTATGGCCTCCTGTAGAAAATTAGTTTATATTGGTTCCAAATGATTTTAGGGAAAAAAAACTTCAAAGGAGTATTTTCATAACCTATTGGACTGGATCTATGTTTGCCACTATAATCCCCAAAAATAACAGGACTTGAAGGTATGCTGGCAAGTATAGATCTAAAAAAGGGAAGAGAGGATATGCAAATATCCTAAATTGGTACGTGTGGCAAAATAGCCATGCTGGGTGTATATAAAGTGAGTATGAGATTCATCCATAACCATTGTGTGAATAAACAAGCTACAAATGCTGATCAGGTTGCTGATTTCCACATTTTTAACTGATGGATGCCATGCTTCCGTATTTATATCCTTGTACTAGAATTTATTTCCACAACTTGTTCCCTGAAGATTTCTTTTTCATAAACCAGCTTTTTCTCAAAAGTTGACCTCCCAATTGACTAGATTATGGCTGCCATCTCTGGTTCGGAGAAGGTGATCTTAAGTAAAAGTGACAGAGTTTAGAGAATTTCAGAGCTGTTTTCAAAGTATACTTAGGAATCCCAAATTCAAAACATATTCAGAGATGGGGGGACTGGTGTTGGGGACTGGGTCTGACACTTTTAGTAGCTTTCTCAAGGCAAAGAGACATGTTCCATTCAGCATCTCTCAAATGAGCAACTAAGTTGGGGGGAGGGGGAGAATCGCACAAACCAGGGAGGTGAAAAGACACATTCATTGGCAATAAATGCAAAGGTGTATAGCCTTTGGTTCTGTTTTATTTTTCCCCCCTTCTCCCATTAGTAGAAATTCTGTACAGTTCAAGAGGAAGGAAGGCATTGGCTTACAGTATAATCAATAATAATTTTCACATGTACAAAAAAGTTACATCTAGCTACACAGGAGGACTATGCTGAAGTGATTATGCTGTAAACTGTCCAGAAGTAACACCAAAAATACTCTGCCTGCTTGGGAATTAGCATTGCCATGAACAGAGTCAGAAACCTCTTGAGAGAAAGCAGAGTGGAGAATTGGTCCCATTTGGTATATTGGAGGACAATATTAGTGTTTGCTTCAGAAATCGAAGTGGCTACAACCCTAACTTTCTCCCTTGGTTTTCTATATAGCATTGAAATAAGTGTCAAATTCATTCTTATTTCTAAGGGTGCTTTCACATTTGAAATTTTTCATGAGTGTTTTCATTTTACGAGCTGGATCTTAAGTTCCCATCCTGGAAAAGGCAAACATTCTGAATGGCAGAATGTCTTTTGTCCTTTGGCTGTACTGCAGCAGGAAGGTTTGATGTCTGGCCCTTGTGCCAGACGAAAAGCAAACTAGCCACTACATGTCCTCAGGACAATTGTGCATGCATTGCTTTTATTGATTGTTTGCACAATGCCAATGCTCTCTGAAGAGGACCAATGTGTGCTGACCTTCCCAGGGAGGCATTCATCATCTTGTTGCTAAGTGCAGCCATCCAGATGTGTCTTGGAAGCACAGGAAAAAAGGCATAAGTTGCCCTGCTGGGTGTCTCCGATAATTGCATACATACAGGACACTATCCTGAGCCCCTTGGATATAGAAACAACATAAGGTTCCTGCTGTCATTCTGTAAGGAATAAGCCATGGTGCTATTACAGTTAAGACATGTTGGTCATGAAAGAAAAAGCATATGCATGCTTTTCATGACCAATGTGTGTGAGTTCATGCCACAAATGTATAGCTTTAAGCCATCAACATTTGAGATGATGTGTTATATTAGCATTCACCATGCAGTTCTAGGCCAGGCAGCTTCAGAATTGACATCATTGTGTTCAGGGTCCTTTATCTCCAAGTGAATATGTGAAAGCAGCCTACAAATATGCCCGATGGTATCGAACATCAAGATAGAAAAGAATCCTTGATTTCTGGGTCTCTTTGCAAGCTAAGTAGTTAAGAGAATAAACAAGATTGAACAAACCCTGAATCAAATTAGCTGCCTAGATGATGATGTTATGAGCCTGATAATTCTGCCTTGGGTGCTATGCTAAAACAACAGTCTTTATAGGAGTTACCTAGAGATAATGCTGACCCCCCTCCCCCCAAACTTTTACAATGCTACTTGCAATTTGCTCCTGCCCTTTATCCAAGGGCTCGAGTAAGAGAACCTTTCTTAAGCTTGAGGGTTGCATTACTCACTTTCTGGCCTTTACCAAGACATTACCCAGCAATCGTTCAAGTTCAGTGTTTTTGGCACACATTCAGAAGCTTGCCTAATTGTGGTTCCCCACTATCTCGCCATTGTTTTAACTTACTCTTCTCAAGTCATTCCTGTACGCTATTGCCCTGTCTCAATCACATACGGTACATACAGCTGTTTGTACTTCAATTCTTTTCATTGCCTGGTCTTGGATGGAATGTGGGCATCTGAGACAACATTTTATTAGTTACAAGGCTTGATTAAGTGATTATAAATATAGAGCCATGAACTCTTGAAGCACAAAATGAAACATCTTGATGACAACTGGGAACAGCATTCTGTGTTTTTAACCAGTAAGCCAAGTCTCAATGTAGTTTGCTTAGTGGAGCAGGGATACAACTACATAGAAACTACTAAAGTTCGGACAAGGAGCTATCCATTCTGAATTTATCACATCAACAAGAACAGGTGGAAATGGGATAGCTAGTTCCCTTGGCATGTTTATTTTCCTCTTTGCAACAAAGACACACACAGAAGAGAACCAGAGGGGCCAGGGATAGAGTTACACATTAATCAAAGGATAATCATCACTTTAGGGGCTTGGATACATGCCCCCTTCTTTAAGCAAGTAAGTGTGACTGATTTCAGTGGAGGTGTCCCTAAGCCAGTGGTTTTCATATGTATAAACACGGTAGTGGATGAAGAGGTAAGGATATTTTATCAATAGTGATGCTAGTTACAATTTGCCAGGTTTAAGAGGCAGATGACATCTTTGATTGAGAGAAGCCAAAGAGATTTATAACGTAGCATAACCTTCTCCCTGCCCCACCTGAACCCCGAAGCAGAGATGGTCGATTCGTATGTGGCTGGTGGGAGATATTGTTAATTCCCCCCTCCCCACCGGCAAACAATACTAGAATTTTGAATACTGTGTTTAATGTTAGAAGAGTTTGCTCAAATGAATTTTTATATTAAGGGGCCAGAAATAAAAGGCACCACCCCTTTTCCATATACTGTCACGGAAGGAATGGAATGAGGAAGTCTTAACAGGAAGGAGAGGAAGGGAGGAAGGATCAAGAGTTCTATTCCATAAAGTGCCAACACTATATGATCCATTCACCTTTGTAGTGCCCTGTTCTAAACCTGGGGTGGGGAGTCTGAATATCACGCTAAGGCTACAGTCCTGTGCCTCCCACTAAGTGGCTTTCCCTATGCAGACAAGTATCATAAAGTCAGACCATTGGCCTATCATCCAGCAGCACAGTTTTTGCAGCAGCTCTCCAGGTATATCACAGGAAAAAAGTGACTTCTCCCAGCCGTCTTGAGATCACTCTAAAACTAGAATTTTCACTGATGCAAACCATGCACTTGGCACAGCCATTGATTTCCCTTGAAATTCAAAGCCATCTCCTAAACCACAGGCCTTAAGAGCAAAATTCAGATCCGTAAGCAGAAATCTTATCAAGCATGCTAAACCTAACACCTTTTTTCTGGCATTGTGGCCCTGAGAGCTGCATTCAGGAGATGGATGAGGGCCATATCTAGACAACTATATCTACCTCTCTGCACTTGACCATGAAGCCTCCCTTCTCAGCAATCTCGATGGGACTGAAACTGCTGAGGAGTTCAGAAGTTCTCTACTTCCTGGATAAGAGTACAACCCATGTCCCTGATGTTCCTAGCAGACCTAGCAACCACGGAACAGAGGACTCTGAAGAATAAGCAGCTGTTACAACGTAAGAAAGAAAGGCAGGCTCAAGGGGAAGCTGGCTGTATTCATAGAGGGCTGCACCAAAGGCCCTAGAGAGGCCAATGGAGCCAAACTTCCATTTTCCGCATAAGGCACTGGATTGGTTGCAGGAACCACTGTAATTCTTTGGCACAGTTTAATACAGGGACTTTATACAAAGGATACTTTGGGCAAAATAAATGCTCTATAGCTTCAGGTGTGCCTGATCCAAGAGACCTTTTGTGTAATTGACCAGGACATCACAGCTGTTTAATAACCCCAATTATCTTCCTGTCTTATGCGGGCAATTTCATATTGGGGCAATCTGTTAGGCAAATATACTTCCGTGAAGTTAAAATCATAGTTCATAAACGTCCATAAGACAAGCATAGTAAGTGATCCCTCTAGATTAAGGCTTCAGAAGAAGAGACAGCTTCATAATACTAGAGTGGAGACAATTTCATCAAAAGATCTATTTGGTGAATTAAACTCTGTATCAACTTTGCCAACTTTATAGTCTCCAAATAAATTAGCCATGCTGACTCCATCAAAAAGGGAAGTCCCACATGCCTGGATGCAGGGGTGAAATCCAATTTTTTTTCCCTACCAGTTCTGTGGGTTCTTGGTGGGTTTGGCAGGGGAAGGATATTGCAAAATCTCCATTCCCACCCTACTCTAGGGGAAGGATATTGCAAAATCTCCATTCCCACCCCACTTTGGGGCCAGCCAGAGGTGGTATTTGCTGGTTCTCCGAACTACTCAAAATTTCCGCTACCGGTTCTCCAGAACCTGTTAGAACCTACTGGATCTCACCCCTGCCTGGATGGTACCAAGTTGAAGAAAACTGATCTACGGAAGCATCTTTAGCTTTATTGATTTCCTAGCTGCAAAAAGTGCTGTAAAACAAAAGGAGTCAAGTTGGTTCTCTGAATTAAAAACAGTTGAAGAACCTAACCATTGTCAAGTGGCTTTATCCTAAACTGTTCATACCTCAAAATCTTTGGTCAGAAGTTATCAGGCAAGTTAAGAGAAGTTAAAGCAAGACCTGATTATCTCAAAGCATCCAGGCTGAAACAACAAGCCTTGTTTCAAACATCAGCACAACAATTATTGCAAATGCATGTTGAGTTAGAGACGGTTCCAACCTAGACAACCTTAAAGGAACAGGTGTGGGGGAGATAAATGAATTCTATTTCTTGGCTCACATAATATTCATAAACAACTTAGTTCAAGATCCAATGGCTATATTTGCATAAATTGCTAAGTATGGTTGGCCTTCATGTCAATTATGGTTTGTTTGTGGTTTAGTGAGCTAGTAATCTTATCCCATAGTGTCTGGTTCAACATATTATGAAAACCCAGAAATTGTTTACTTCAGTAACCAGGTTGAATCAATCCAGCCATGAGGTAATATTTATAGATAAGTTCTTCAGTGCAGGATCTCCTGAAACTATGAGGAATTCCATTTTAAAAAGGCTTACTCCAAAGTAGTTCAGGGAATTCTGCCCATTTCTTCTTCTTCTTGATGATGATAGGAAATCATGCCATTTATCCTTCATCAATGAATTAAAAAGCAGTCCCCATCTCATTCATGAATTAAAATGACTTGGCCAAATTCATCAAGAATAACCTTCATGCATAACTTAATTTCTACTTATTTTGAAAGCTTCAATAAGCATAATAGGCAGTGCTACATTTTGTTTGGTCCACCAAGTATATAAAAAAAAAACAACTGAATAGAACATGCCACATACAAATAGGAAGCAGATTTTCATCCTTTCGAAAAATAGCAAAGAGTTTCTTTAAAAAAAATGAGATAGTCTGTAACCTACCCAGGATTTTTCAAGGGTTGGCTAGCCACTATCACTTTTCCCTGCTGTATCAACACAGTTACTTTTGTGCAGTTAAGACATGAGACTTTGGTCTTATTTTTTTTCCCTTTGGAAGAAAGTTTCCAGTGGTTTTCCAAGGCCACCAAGGCCTAGCTTTCAAACTCCCGAGTCAGCTCTCACAGCCTGTTCTAAGAAAACCACACAATTGCAAAAGACTGCTCCTGAACAACAACAACAACAACAACAACAACAACAACAACAAAAGCTTTTCCACAAGACCTGATCTGTATACAAAGGCCTACTACCAGAGACTGATTCTTCCCTGTTGCAATACATCAGGGCCTAGCAACGATAGTGCTCATTGTCTCCATCCATTAAAGACAAGTTGAATGGTCAAAGTGCAATTCTGGTTTGGATGCTTGAGGCTTGAGGCGCTCGAGGAGGGTGCCAGCCTCCTGCTGCCCAGGGCCCTTCTCAAAAGCCAGAACAGTCTCATCTGTCCAAGTTGACTTACTGATGGGCTGCAGGAGCAAGGGACCGGTAGGAAGGAACATGTTATGTACAGATTAAAAAAATACATCTTAAATTATAAAAGAGTAAGAATAATACTGTTGCGGGAAGGCACTTTTTAAATGTCCCTTGGATCCTTCAGTTGAAAGTCTTTGAAAGAACGGAAGTTGCTTCTTTGGCAAAAAAGAACAAGGTCGGGCCCACCGGAGTGCAGCATTCGCCAGTTGGAAAGGCAGGGCATGTAAGAATCTACAGGAGAAAGGAAAATGTTGTCAGAAAGGAAGCAGGGCATCCCCAGGGAGTCCACGAATGAGGGATAGCTAGGGATGCTGTTAAGATATTTAAATTTAGTAGCTGGAACAATGGGGTTGTATAATGAACCAAATATATTATACAGTTAGAGTTGATTGGAGAGTGCTGGCTCTTGTGTGAGGCAATCTGCACTGTGTTGGGTTGCTATGGGTGGTGGTGGGGAGTTTCCTTCCACCCCACACACCTTTTTTCTTCTGTGTGCCCTGTGTGCTCTGAGATTTACCTCATGATGCCCCTGTTTGCCTATTTTGTTTGATATGTGTGTGTGTCTGTGTGTATCTATATATCTACAGTATCTATCTACATCTACATCATCTATATATCTATATCTATATCTATCTATCATCTATCATCTATCATCTATCAATCTTCTATCATCTATCTATCTATCTATCTATCTATCTATCTATCTATCTATCTATCTATCTATCTATCTATCTATCTATCTATATCTATCATCTATCTATTTATCATCTGTCTGTCTGTCTGTCTGTCTGTCTATCTATCTATCTATCTATCTATCTATCTATCTATCTATCTATCTATCTATCTATCTAAAACTACCGTGTTTCCCCGAAAATAAGACCCTGTCTTAAATTTTTTCGAACCCTGAAATAAGCACTTGGCCTTATTTTCGGGGAGGTCTTATTATTTTGGGGTGCAGGGAGGAAACCAGAGGAAATGGCAGGGACCAGCTGCACATGTGTTTAAATATTTTTGGGGAGGGCTTATTTTCAGGGGAGGGCTTATTTTAGTGCATGCGCTCAAAAGCCCGATTGGGCTTATTATCAGGGGATGTCTTCTTTTAGGGGAAACAGGGTACAAGTTCATGTCAGCGTCCCTGACTTCCATTTGGACACCTGCTGCGCAATTCCCTGACAGACGCTCTGAAATTAGTTCATTTTGCTGCCAGATGAGGTGGAAGAAGGCAGATGACAAAGCCACTATTTGTGTCCCTGGAGGACTTTTCACAACCCATCAAGTCTACACCCTTCTAGCCCCTAATGAAGCATTTTGCAGTACAACATTTTCCCCTTAGAGGTGCTTTCCTTTGTCTATAAAAAGGACTTCCACCTTCCTCCAGCAGAAAGAGTTGGTGGTTAGCAAAACATCAGTTGGGGATAAACAACTGCCAAGGCTACTTATTCACTTTGGTGCCCAAGTGCAAATCTTTGGTTGTTGGTACCCCATGTAGGCAGCAAAGCCAAAATTAGGCTCCAGGATTCCAGAGAGCTGTGTTTCCTTACTCCTGTAGATGAACTGAGGGGGAACTAGAGGCAAATGGTTCTTGCTGCTATGGAAACAATTAGAACAAAAATTCTTAGACAATTCTTTAAACAAAGAGCAAGGCAACAGGAAAGAGAAGGGAAGCTATTTTCTATCCATGCAAGACAATTTAGGAGTACATAAAGATTGGAAAAATACTGCCCATTTAGCCTTATGGGAGCCCTGGTGGCACAGTGGTTAGAATGCAGTACTGCAGGCAAACTCTGCCCATAGTTTAGAGTTCAATCCTGACCAGCTCAAGGTTGACTCAGCCTTCCATCCTTCCGAGGTCGGTAAAATGAGGACCCAGATTGTGGGGGGCAATAAAGCACTATGAAGTGGTATATAAATCTAAGTGCTACTGCTATTGCCTCTTGCTGGATTGTGACAATTTGAAAAGTCACTCAGAATTATCTCCCCTCCTGCAGCAGACACTGAGGTAGAAAGAGGCCCATTTGCATAAGGCCAGGTCCTAAACTGTGTGGCTAAATCTGAAATGCAGATGTTTTCCTAGCTGTTCATAAAAACCATATTGCATGCTGTTTAGTAGAAATGCAAGCCTAGTTCACTAGCCCAGGCTATCATCTCAAAGTGAGGAAGGCCTTTCCAATCAGCTATGACCTGGAATTTCCATTTCCCACTTTTGAATGAAACACTAGCATGCTTAACTTTCTGCCCACTTTGCATAGTCTATCCTTTTATGGAAAAAGACAGAGTTCTGAAAAGGTTCCTTCAGAAACTAGAAACATTTTTCTGCTTCTTTTGACTCAAAAACAGGCTCAGCCAAAAGATGACTCAACAGGTGGTCTGGAAGATCTATGGATCTATGGCATGCATCTTTCCAGTTTCTACTCCTCTTTCTCCAAAACACGTACTTAGATTACAATTCATTTCTCAATTTTCTGGGAGTGAACTGCCCTGACTCAAAGGGAATAATTTAGACATGACTAAAATTGCTTTCCTTCTCTTCTTTCTATTCAAGACAACCTTGGGAGCTGGATGATTGAAAAGGGAAAGAAAATGTTTCTCTCCTCCAAAAGGGTATTGGATTTGTGTATTTCTGTATTTCTATGGAGGGTGTCAAAAACCAGAGCTTTTCATCCCTTCTCTGCCACCTGGTTCACCTTGAACTAATCTGTCCCTTTGGCTAGGAACACTTAATTATATAGTTGCATCAAGAAGAAATAGGAGATTAACTGTGGCGTCCTTGGTGCTCTTTGAGCTTGGTGAGTGATATGAGTTTAAACCTAATTAAGCCTAATTTCAGATTATCACAATCCAGCAAATAGCAATACAATAGCAATAGTACTTATACAGGTAGTCCTCGACTTACAACAGTTTGTTTAGTGCCTGTACAAAGTTACAAAGGCACTGAAAAATGTGACTTATGACCATTTTTCACAGTTATGGCCTTGGAAGTATTCCCGTGATCATCTGATCAAAATTCAGACGCTTGACAACTGGTTCATATTAATGACCATAGCCGTGTCCCAAGGTCATGTGATCACCTTTTGTGACCTTCTGATAAGCAAAGTCAATGGGGACACCAGATGCACTTTACAACCGGGTTACTAGCTGTTCAACTGCTGTGATTCACTTAACAACTGTGGCAGGAAAAGTCGTAAAATGGAGCAAAACTCACATAATGAAATGTCTCACTTAACAACATAAATTTCGGACTCGATTGTGGTTGTAAATCAAGGACTACCTGTATATCGCCCCATATTGCTTTTTAGCATTCTCTGGGTGGTTTACAATGTCTGCATTGTACAGGAATAGCAGCAGCCAGGACTCAGGCAAAGGCCAGTTTCCCATTGGTAAAACTAAAAACTAGAAAGTCACAGCCAATGCTTCAACTTAGTCACCAAAGCACACTCTTTTTCTTCACCCCAGGATGTTTAGGTGAGTACTTAAAGCATACAGACCCCACATCTATAGTCTAAACTGATGCAGTCTAACTTTAGCAAAACAATGTGCCACTTGCACACTTTGGCCTCCAGAAGAAGACCAGCAAAATCTGATACTGGGGACAGGATTGTGATGGTTTTCTTGATTATGCACTTAGCAGATACCATTGCCATCCCCAACGAGTGTTTCAGCAGCATCAATGAACCAGCTACCCAACCCCAACCCCATCCCCCTAAATCAAGGGTGGATTTAGTAAGCTAGTATACTGTATTAGTGTGATAAGGTGGATCCTGGGAACGGAGGACAGACTGAAACATGCAATCAGGAGAGGATATCCGTGATAATTTTGTCATGCCAACCATGCAGGGATAAGAAAAACAGGTTGAGTCAATGCAGGGATTCTCAACAGTGAAGGGCAAGGGGGCATCAACATTTTTTAGGAGGGCTCAGTGGTTCTTTTTAAAGTTGTTATTATTTAGCATTTTCTTTCGAAAATTCCAGAAAGTTAGCGGGGGGGGGGAATCTGAAAATGAGTATTTTTGAAAAACAATGCTCTGGTCTGAGCCAATGCCTAAGGGGAAATGGAATGTTTTTTTAGAAGGGATTGGGTAGGGGGGGACACAGGGATTCTGGCAAGGCCATTATGCCGGGAGATGGTCAAGCCAACCCTGCTGAAGCCCCCTCCACCTCTTTTGTTCAACCTCTGACATCGAAGGCAGAACAGTCTCCAAGGATATCAGCTGCTGTTGAGATTTCTAGGCAACGTTGCCAATTACACAGGACGATTCTGTTCCTGCACCGGGGGGTTGGGGGGAGAGCAGGAGCAGATCGAGGGGAAGGAGTTGAGAAGCCCTGAACTCATGGGAGAAGGCGGGAAGGCATGCGAGAAGGAATTCTCGGGGGTCCGTGGCAGAGAAGGAGTCGCATGCAGAAGAGGTGGCAACTGACGATCCAGGGTGGATACCTTTGATGGGGGAGGTGAGTGGAGCTAACAGTTGGGCTCCTCGTGGTGAGACGGCTCGCAGAAAAAGCGAGAGCCCCTCTTCGCCGTACGGGCAGTGAAGGGGACACTCTTCAATACTGTGGGATGGGAAGGGATGGATGGACAGAGACATAGAGACATCAGATTGTTCAATATGCAGTGCACAGCTTAAGATAAAACTGTGTGTAATGGCACTCAAAAGATATGCACCATGGTCCATAAGGCTACAGCCAGTAGTGAAATGTTACCGGTTCACACCAGTTCAGGCGAACCGGTAGTGATAAAAACTACCGGTTCGGGCGAACTGGTAGTAAAAAAAAGCTACCAGTTCCTCTGAACCACTTTTCCAAATATCAGCTGTGCCGCACGAATTAAAATCGCTAGAAAGCAGGAAATCCTGCTTTCTAGTGAGTCTAAATTGCGCGTTACAGTGTTCCCCCCCCTGCTGTTCTACTTCCCCTCCCAAGCCTAATTTTTTTGCGCAAAGCACGCATTTGGCACGTACTGCACGTGCACATGTATGCAGCGTCCATATGCTGCACACTGTGCATGAGTTGAGTAGCGTGCATGCACGAGCAGCGAACTGGTGGCAAACCGGGAAAGATTTCACCACTGGCTACAACCACCAACAATGATGCACCCAATGCTGGAAAGCTGGATTTCTATTCTTTACAGGGCAAGTGGCCCAAAGCCAAGACTCCATCACATCAGAGCCGGCTTGGAAGAAATCCTCTGCACAGGAAAATTGGATCATTTCACTAGCCTTTAGGTTTCCAATGAACCTAAAGGCTAGGGTGGGGGGGAAGCAACGTTTTCTCTCTGCCTTGTTTTTTTCCTGCCCTAATAAGCAGGATTATGGCTACTCAAAGCATGAAAAGACAGGCTGAGTTTAACACCTTTCAGGTGGGTGGTTAGGAGACATTAAATTCACACCATTTTATTCTCACTGTCTTTCTCTCATGCACAAACATGGATTACTCGCACCCAGGATAGGAGAGGGTGACCTTCACAATCAGGACTGCTGCCACCAGCACCTTCCTTACCCCAACTCCTGGTTTGAGAAGACTCCAAATCAGACTTTCTGAGGAGCACCTACTTGATGACAATGACTTGTCAGATCTGGGTGACAGCTGTCTGGCAGTTCAGATCAATCAGTCTTCTCACAACATGGGCTCATTATCTCAAGGCCTAAAATTTTACTGATGTGGAAGCAGCAGAATAAGATGGGTGGTAAGAAGAGAGAGCTATGGGCACCAGGGGGATCCCAGAAGGCAGGCTTTTAAGGCCACAGGCTACCAGGGATTGACAACTGATCAGGCCTTCTAGAGCTCAGCTTCAAAAATCCAGGCACCCACTAGGCCGGGAGTCTCCCACCTTGGCAACTTTAAGACTTGTGGACTTCAACTCCCAGAATTCCTCAGCCAGCAAAGCTGAGGAATTCTGGGAATTGAATTCCACAAGTCTTAAAGTTGCCAAGGTGGGAGACCGCTGCATTAGATGATGTCAGGATTTTTGCTTCTGTCTGATGGTTGGGCATATTTCTGTAGCCCAGACGTAGCAGCCCAACAGCTGATTCATGGGGGGGGGACATCTATTGATCCCCAAAGAGTAACAAAAAGTGCCAAAGGAAGCAAAATTCCTGGAACTTTTCTGAAAATTTAAGCAAGGGAAGCAGTTTTGTCAGTCAGGGCTGGGAAAGCTGCCTGAGCAAGAATAATCTTGCCTTTGAAATAGTTGCTACAGAAGCCTCAGCTATGGTTTTACTGCTCTCTCTTGGGCTTTTTGATATGATTCAATCACGCTTCAGTTCAAGATGGGTGCTTTCTGAAATACATCTTAAAACGATGTCATCCCCTATTAATCTGGGAACGGCATGATGTTGAAGCCTGATTTCCTGTGAAAGAGGGTAATGAGGATCAGAAAGGCCCTGGGATAAGGTTAAGAGGACCCAATACCCAAATATGATGCAAGTAGCAGATCTCCTTTTTCCTTTTCTGGCATCACAGTAAAGTTTTCCCTGGAAGAACATGAAAGCCCAGGAAATTAGAATGGCAGGATCAGGAGTTACCTGTAATGATATCCTCAATGGTCCCATCTTTGCCTTCATAAACAGGCCGGTGGTCCTTGGCTTGGCGTCGCCTCAGCTCAGCAATTAACTCTTGCTGCTGCCATTTGTTGCGCTGCAAAGACAACGGGGGATGGTCAAGGAGAAAAAAAGCAACAGACACTGCCCAGCCTGACCACTACACATCCTGCTCTGCAGCCCGGTTCGGACTGGTTCGCAAGAACCAGTAATAAAACCGGTGGGAGGCTCCACCCAGATGTCATCATAAGTGATCTGCGCATGCGGACACAATGCGAACCGGTAGTAAAGGTAAGTAGAACCCACCCCTGCTGCTCTGTGACCGATCCAAAAGAAGGTTGAGAAATCCAAATTGGGGTTTATCTCATGTCCATTCAACCTGGTTTCCTTTCATTCACAATACAATGCACTACATGAGTCAGATAACACGTCCAACTCAAACTGACAATATGTGTTGCAATGGCAAATACACACTAACATCAGACTAAGACTCTGCTTGAGTTCCTCCACTAGATGTTTTATCACCAAGAAAGGTTCATATCTGTCCCTGGAGTCAGAAGGTCAAGAATTTCCCTGGGAACAGATTTGTAGATAAGTAGGCAGCCCAGGCTGAAATATCTATATTTGTGATTATTTCTACCCTAACGTGGATAGAAAACCATGGGAAAGCTAAGATCTCTTTAACGAGGAACCAATGAACATGTCAGAATACAGAGAAGCAGAGACCTAGCCGGATGCCCATTCTAAAAGCAGGTGCAGATGGCATAGGCTGCACCTTTTCTGGTAAAGCATCCCATGCTTTGGTAGACGCCCTTCCATTCTCTAATGAGATACCATCCAAGAGTAGCAGCTAATACTATAATGATATAATAAAATATATTACAAGCAAGTTGAAGCTCTACCAAAGCCCATGAGACATAATGATGAAACAATTCTCCTGCGAGTTGACACACACAACACACAGACAGCGGCTTCTCGAATTGTTGCCAACCACACAACATGATGTCCTGGAGCATCTCTTACCTTCTCTAGCCTCTTAGCTTCTTGGGCCAATGCCTGTTCCCTTTGGGCCTGTTCCTGCTTCTTGCGCAGTTCATTCTCTTGCTCTGCATCCTGAAAGAGAAAGAACAGTGCAAAAGTAGGGTAAAGAAGCACTGGTCAATGGCCAGGTAGGTAGAATGGATGTAAAGATGGAATCTAGGTCAACTAGACCGGTTGGTTAGTAGGTTCTCCAAGGTCTCAGACTGGACAGTTTTATTCCAGCCCAAGTGCTATCTCAGATTGTTTTATCCGGAGATGCTAAGACTGAGCCTGAGATTTTTTGTCTACAGAGCAGGTAACTTTATTCCTATTGTGTTTTCTGTTTAAAAAAAAACACCACTTTGTATCTGTCTCCATATGGTTAATACCACTTATACAGGCAAATAATGGCAGCAGACAAAGAGAGTGTGATCCAGATTTTGGAAAGCAAAGTTCCCCTATGAAATACACCTGGTAGATTTTGCCTGCACTTCAATGGGCGATTGTAGGAAAGGGTTATTCTGGCCAGGACTGATGGTTATTCTGGCTAAGACATGAAGATGCCTAGATGAATAAAGTTAAGGAAATTCACGGCAGACATTTCTCTTGTTTTTTTTCTTGGAAAGCTCAGAAGACCTAATGTCTTCTTTTTTCTATTCCTTAGTGAAGAAATTATTCTTATAATTTAGCTTCGATCTATTTCCCCTATAAGGTAGACTTTTTAAAATGAATCACTGACCCCATTTCTGACAAATGCAGATCTGATTACCTAGTACAGTTGCTTTGTTGCATTTGGGATGAAGCAAGAAAGAACTTGCCATAATAAATGTATTAATGAATTTTGAAAGGGCAGGTGCCTCCCTTAAGGGCCTCAGCCTGCAGCAAAGCCTATGTAAATACATCAGGCCCCAATTCTCTGTTCCATTGGGAACCCCGCTCAGAAAAACAACTGTGAACAGCTCAAGCTGGGATATTAATACCACTGACCAACACAGGTAGTCCTCTACTTATGACCGTTCCTTAGCGGCTGCTTGAAGTTAGAATGGACCCACCTGGTGGCTACTTACAACCTGGATTTGAAGTTTTAATGGTTGCCCCTCCCCTGGTCATGTAACTAAATTTTAGATGCTCAGCAACTGGGCTGCCTTTACGCTTGTTTGCAATGTCCCACATCTTGTGACCACGTTTTACAACAGATTTGCTGAAAACAGGCATTTATTTCCAGTTTTCTGCACCCACAGCGAACCAATGGTTCATGTAACACCCATGCGGTTTGCTTAACGACTATGGTGCCTGCTTTACAACTGCCAGTGACCGAACTTTATGACCGACAGTCATTTTATGACTGTCATGACTTATAACTGTCATAAGCCAAGGACTACCCATACTTTGAAATCCAGGGCTGTAAGAGAGTAGTTCTATGAGCCGGGGTGGCGCAGTGGTTAGAGTGCGGTACTGCAGGCTACTTCTGCTGATCACCATCTGCCAGCAGTTTGGCAGATCGAATCTCACCAGGCTCAAGGTTGACTCAGCCTTCCATCCTTCCGAGGTAGATAAAATGAGGACCCAGAATGTTGGGGGCAATAGGCTGACTCTGTAAACTGCTTAGAGAGGGCTGTTAAACACTGTGAAGCAGTATATAAGTCTAAGTGCTATTGCTATTGATATGCCACTGCTAACCATAAAGACACCAGGTTATTGCACTCCCTGATTATAAGTGCTTTTTCGCTGAAAGAAACCATCTCTCTCTTTTTCCATCTGGTTGTTTCCCTGCCAGCTGGCCTACCATTCTCTTCCTCTGTCTGGGCTGTGCTTGTCAGCTCTGATCCTAGATCTGTGATGGCTTCTCCCAACAATGAAAAAAAAGTCTGTAATTAACACACGTGATGGTTGCTCTGGAAGATGCTCTGGGGAGGCTAACATTTTGGAAAGCTGCTTGGCTGAGATGAGTGGCCTGGCACAGGAGATCTTCATTCAGGAGATCTTCATTCTAGCCCACCCAGGAAGAACATTCTAATTCCCTTATTCATTGGCCATGCCTAGTCCCAGCCAAAGCTGCTTTCTCTAGGAGTGTGTCCAGCAGAGCTTAATGATAGACATTTACGACTGGGCCAGTGGTGGGTTGCTCCCGGTTCTTGTGAACCAGTAGTAAAAGTGGCGGGAGGCTCCTCCCACCCACCTGGACGTCATCATGGACGATCTGCGCATGTGCAGAAGCTTCTGTGCATGCACAGAATTGCGCGCGCGCACAAGCGAAGCAAGCACACACGCTCCCATTGCGAACCGGTAGTAAAGGTAAGTAGAACACACCCCTGGACTGGGCTCCCAAATTCATACAAGATCAAGCATGCAGTTCTGTTGCTTCTAAAGTAGCCAGCTAGAACAGTGTTTTTCAATGTTGGCAACTAAAGTTGAAAAATACCGATCTCGAATCTCCACTTCCCAACCCTCACCTTGTAGGCTCTGATAAAACGTGCAAAGACTGGAAAGAAAACCGAGGGCGGTGTCGTCTTGGGGCTCTCGCCAAAATAGCGCACGACCGTGTTGTAGGCTTCCTGTCACAAAAGATAAGCAAAATGAACGAAACAGTAGCTTCTGCAGACCGTCAGGCTTGCTGTAGACAGAGGCTTCCAAGCTTAACTGCCAGTACTTTTAGGCTTGAGTGTTGAAACAACCATGCAGTGCATTAAGCACTGCAAACCCAGAAATCCGATCTACACAGCAGAACAGCGTTTTCCAACAGCTGTAAAGAAAAGGCATCCACACAATCTTTCTGCACAAGAATATGAGCAGGAACAAGCACTCTCTGACGTCAGTCACACATCTCTGCTGTTGAATAAATATGGATTAGTCAAATCTGGCACTAAATATATCTGCAAAATCACACACAGCAGGATGTTCATACATGGTCCAGGGTGCACTCAGTATATGGCGTTCATATATCAGCTTCATGCACTTGAATGCTTCAGCACCAGAGAGGAACGAAGTTTTGGTTGCAAGCTCTTCTCTATTAATCCTTGTCATCCAGTTGCCCCTCCGCTCACCTCCGCTGTCTTAGCATCTTTCTGGAGTCGGTCCAACTTCCCCTCATTGGCGATCAAGAAGTTACGCAGGATACTGTGTTCATGCAAACTGCACTCCCGCCGAATCAGGTCCATTCCACGCCCCAGTTCCTTCACGTCCAGCAGCACATTCTCCAGGGACACTGCGGAGTAAGGGAAGTCACCAAGTGGGTCTCGGGACAACTTGGGTTGAAGAATTTCAAAAGAGTTTATAGGCTCACAGGGGGCTAGGAGAGCATTTGGGTTTCTGTGCCAGAGACGGGCAGAAGGTGCATCAGGATCTATAGGCAGATCTTTGGGGAAATAAAATGAAACCCCTCCATCCCCAGCCCAAATTTGATGGACATACAGAATGTTTTGAATAACTTAGTGCAACATTCAAGCACAAGGTCAATTGTGTTCTGATACTGAAAAAAAATCCTAGGATTAAAACGTGCTCAGAGGTACCTGGTACTTTAGGTACAAGTCATGCCTTTAGCATTTAATTCTGGTTGATGACTCCCAGGTTTGTGTTTAAGATGCTCTGTTGTACACTGCTACACTAATTTATTAACAATATATCCTGCTGCTCAAAGAACTGGATTCCATTATACTAGCTTTCACAAAGCCACAACTCAACATAATTTGAGAAAACTGTCTTTTAAGTATTCGGCTTAATCCTTTAGTTCTTCTACTTGACTCCTTGATAATATCATTTCTTGTCCTCACCTCTTCCCATCTCTCTCTCCCTCTTCCACACTCAATATTCAATCTTCTCAAGAGCAGTGATCTTCTCTAAAGTTACTCAGCAAAGAATTCTGTCCATCAACAAATAGCCACACGCTAATTAAAAACAAGCGGTGGATTCTGTATACAGTCTGTTCCCCAATCATCTCTCACTCCAGCTTATATAAACATGGCCTCTCTCACCCTGATGCCTTCAAATGTACATTTCCCAGAACTCCCAATTGGGGTACTGAGGCTTTCATGGGATTGCCATGGACTGGCTCCAACCACTTGCCAAATTGCACAGAAAGTTTGTCAGAAGAAGGGGGAAGGCAATTAGGAATTCCACACAAACTTTTGTTATGAACCATGTTGTGCTGGAGCCAGCTTATACTGTATCAGCTCACCAGAGCCAATTCTTAAATTTCCTGGAATTTTACAGATCGGTTTAGGACAGAGCTGAGCTGCAGTGCCTAGCAGGTCAATCAGCTGTTTGGTGGCTAGCAATGAGCTGTGGCCATGAAGCCAAGTTGGTTGTTGTTATACATTTATCAACATGCCACTTGTTATAAACCATTCAGAGACATCAAGTAAAAAGATTGAGAAGTAAAACTTCAGATCTTAGGGGCCTCCTGAAATGAGCTGGGTTCACAAAAATTGGACACTGAAAGATCAAGCACATTGTGTAAAGCCTATATTTTCACAGCAGAGTCAGGAACCTGGTTGGTTTTGAGCCACTTATCCCAGATAGTTTATGTTAAGCAAACTCAGAAGAGAAGGCCAAAATGCTTCCTTTCAATCACTTGCACAGCAGCCCTGCGCAAGAGGTGGCCACTCTCTTGTCACTCTGTTACTCTCTCCTTTGAATTGCATCCCTTCTGTTCCAGCTGTATTAGCTGTAAAAAGGCATCTCCAACCTCACCAAAATTATTTACGTTATCAGTTTCCTAGAGCTGCAAAAGAACAGCAACAGCTTAACATGCTGCACAACAAAGTCTGGGACAATGGCCAAGAAGGCAGCTGCCTTTATCATTGTGACAGCTTCAGATTAATTTGAATGCCGCTGGATCACTCAATAAGCTATTTGTACAGGAGGAGGGGCAGACTGCTTCTGTGTCAATTGGATCATCTGAATCCAGCAAATCAGTGGAAGCCTGTTTGAATCCTAAGAAAGAAACCCAAAGAGCTGTCTCTGTACATTAGCACAGCTGATCTCCAGGACAGAAAGCTGTGGTTTACCGCAGCCATCCTCAAGCTGATAGAGTGGCAGCTGTCAGGAGAACCCCCTGACAGGATTGACCTGTCCCTATTCAGCAGGGGCAGGGAGATCCTTAACCCTCCAGATGTGAGTGTTGGATACCAATTGCCATCAGCTCCAGGAACACTGCAAAAAAATATTGTTGCCCAACATCTCTGGAGGGCCCCATTCTCTAAGTTGTTAGAAGCTTAGGTGTGTGGTCTCAAGTCCACTTTTTAGTCTGAGAAGCTTAGCAACAGGAAATTCCGTTCCCAATTATATTTCATGTATTTATATACCAGCACACCTATCAGTCTTCTTAGTGCTTGCCTTGTTTCACCACTACCCTTTCTGGAAACAATCTGCATACTAAGTGAAATGCAGCAATATTTGTTTCATACATTATGCCATATATTATATATCAGATTGCAGGTAGTTTCCCTCTACAAGTCAGATCATGTTCCTTCCAGTACTCTAAGACAAAGCCAGAGGCTTCTACATATCCAGAAAATGTTGCCTTCGAATTCCATACCATCTCCAGATAGATAGCAAAAAAAATTGCTGATTTTTTATATGAAGGAGAATCTGGAAATGAAGCAACTAATGGGGTCCTCACTAAGACCAGGATGAAACAAAGATGGCATTTATGGTTGTCACGGTTGAAGGGACCATCTACCTGCTGCTGCTTTTTCCACAAAGTGCAGTTCCTGCCAGAAGGTGCTCAGCTCAGGATATTTCTCCTTCACCATCATGGCAATGAAATGTAGAAGAGTCAGCTTCCGGTCAGTTGACTTGGTGTCCAACAGCTTTCAGGATAGAAATGAGGAAGAACAGATTATCAACACATCAGCATCAGTGTGTGCAAACATTAGACCAGCAGGGAGTCTACGATACACGCATGTGAACACAGACAATCCCATCTGTTCAGTTAACATGCATGGACATTGACATGGAATGCCCTGTGGGGAAATGCATTCACTCATTAGAATTCAGAAGCACGGGTAGTGTGAAAAAGTGCACAGTGCTGTACGTTGTGATAGGACATTAATTACTAACTTCTTTCTTCTTAGGATACCTCTAACAAATCCAATTGGCTACTCTCTACAGGTATATGGATCATAACTATATGACCCTCTTCCATGACTCTTTCCTTACCAAGTCCAGACTCTGCAGCTTGAAGCCATAAACCGAGCCACGCTTGCTGCTGTTCATGTAGTTGCCAAGGGCCAGGATGATCTGTAGGGAGAGAAGAGGAGAAGTCGATCCAGGGTACAAGGAGCAAGAGAAAACTCCAGCCAGTGAAACCCAGGGCACGAGTACCTGGGATGAATTTTCTCTGCCTCTGCAGAAACCACATTCCAACTTAGAGTCTACAGCTCCTGAACGAATAGTAATTGAAAGTAAACCTTTCTTTGTTGTTATAGAAATGGCTAGTACATATTAAGTATGAAAAAGTACAAAGTTGAGGCTGTAATTTTATTATGTTATTTTATTGTGCTAAAAAGAGACAGAAGTCAATGCTTTTCTTTTTCTTGTCCCCTTTACCCTACACTTTTTGCTTTCCCTCCCCTCTTTTTCCCACTATTTTCATTTATATTTTTATACTTCGGTGAGTTTAATAAAATTGCAATTTTAAAAAAGGAAAGTAAGGCCTTTCACAGGCTCAGTGTATGAGGAGTAAATGGTGGTGGTTGTGCTCCAACTTTCCATTGTTAACTACGTTAATGCCAGCTGACTGACCTACCTCTAGCATTCGCTTGAGTTTCTGTGACGATTTGACGGACGCTGAGGCAGCGATAATGGCACTGAGTTGCTATAAGAGACAGAAACCAAAAGAGCATTACAGTATTATTGCTGGTTTAGCCCCTGAACACTTAAAGAAAATGATCATTTGGGAACTTAGGTAGAATCACATCACAGTGGAACAAGATCTCTGAGTGCATCAAGAAACATAGACTGAGTGAGTAGAATCAGTGGGACACCTACCCAGTGCAGATGCTTTCTTCATCCCTAACAACTATTCTGTTGGATCTCAGGGATAAAGATTTCCTCGGCCTTTCCTAAATCTGGAGTTAGTGGAAGATGCACCTGAGGCAATCAAAAAATGTAATCTACTCTAGGGCTATGAGCTTTGGTAGCGCAGTGGTTAGAGTGCAGTACAGCAGGTAGGCTGCAGTACTGCACTCTAACAACTGCGCCACCAAACTGCCTGAAATTTGGCAGTTCGAATCTCACTAGGCTCAAGGTTGACTCAGCCTTCCATCCTTCCGAGTTGAAAATGAGGACCCAAATTGTTGGGGGCAATAGGCTGACTCTGTAAACCGCTTAGAGAGGGCTGTAAAAAGCACTGTAAAGCGGTATATAAGTCTAAGGGCTATTGCTATATTTGCTTGCTTACATCACCCATTTTGCCAGGCAGCCCAACTAGTAAAGTAAAGATTTTCAAAAGGATAATATAATTGTCATTCTATGAAATTCTACATCATAAATATATGTCCTAGTGTCATTGTAGACACACAACTGGCTTCCTGGAGCAGAAGAAATAGAAAGATCATCCTCGAGCACATCCTTTCCTGTCCTATACTGTATGCATATTTACTCAGAAAAGAGTCCCCTCAAACTTAGTACCGCTTAAGGCCACATCACTGCAATTGTACCAGCTCCAAAAAGAACTTGTGTTACCGGCATGAGCATCTGGATGTTTTCACTGAAGTTGCCCAGGAATGCCATAATGGACATGCGCTGGGTCAGACGTTCGACTTTGCTGAAGTGCAGCATGAAGCGGTCCTCATCTGACAATTCCTCCACCGGCTTCCTCTCCTTCTCATACTGGCGCAGTAGCTTGACCTCATTCTCCGTTGGCAGAAAGCGCATCAGGCACTCCACAAAGTCCACTGGTAAGGTCTTCAGGTCAAACCTAAAAGAGAGCCCAATGAAGACATTCATCTCTATCAGAGATGGAAGATCTGGCTGCTGATGGGCAAAGGATGCACAGGGAGGTACTCTCTTAGCATTCCGTGATCCTCTCATCTAGGAATCTTCAACTTTGAGTCTCATAAAGCTTGTGGGCCTAACTCCAAGTGACCTGAAACTTAAGCCCTAGTTAGGAAAAAGTGATCTGCCTTTATCTTGACTGTCAGCTGTGTGAGGAAGAAGGGAAGAAAGTGGTTGATAAGGAAAAAAAGAGTGTTTCAGAAAGACAAGAGCACCCCACCTATAATTTGCTCTGCCTCCTGCTATTATTTGCATATGTCATGGCCCCTTCTCGATTGTGCCTGCAGAAATACAATCCCAGACATAGACAAAGGTTGCCTGGGCAAGAAGAAAAATCACAGGCTGGTGGATGGGAAAAGGCACATGTAGGGAGACTCACGTGTAGATGGCTTTGCAGATCTCCTCCGTGGTCCTGCCTGCCTTACGCAACGTGATGGCCAGGTTCTTCGCTCGGTTGGCCTCCAGCAGGGTCACTTTGTTGACCAATTTGTGCGATGCCTTGTTTTTAGAGCAAAGGAGATCGATGGCAGGACCCTGTGCTTTAGTCTTAAAGAGCTCCTCAAACTTGTCCAGATCAAGATCCTTGGGGGGGAAAAGGAAAGAGTGAGTTACCTCATGAACTGGGGACTAGTAATTACAACTGCTAACAGCTTATTTTTTTACTTCTTGGTATTTTGCTGTTCTGGGTGCATGCATACCACATATTAAAACCATACAGTACATCTTGGAAACCAAGGGCTCCAATAATACACTAGGATAGGGTAGTAGAACTGGGTTCCATGTGCGTTCAAAGGTTGCTGTGAGTTTCAGTGGAAGAATCTTATTATCTGCTCTATTTGCCGGCAGAATTGTGGCAAATAAATGTGAATGTTCAATATAATTCAAATCAAATGGCATCTGTCTTTACTGCTCCATTATTGCTACTAGCACCGACTTTCTGCCAATAATACTTTTTCCCTATTTTCAACCAATCTACCTTTCTTCCTTTCTTCCTTTCCTTCCTTCCTTCCCTTCCTTCCCCCATTTCACAAAAGTGACTCTAGGCTACTTACAACAATAATAGTCATTTTCTGTCCTTCCAGGTTCCTAACAAACAGGAAGCAGCAGGTGAAGTTAAGCAGAATCACATCAGATACCTGTACAATTAGCACAGGGGCCCCCCAAGGCTGGGTGCTCTCCCCACTTCTCTTCTCTCTGTATACCAATGACTGCAGCTCTAACGATCCATCTGTTAAACTACTGAAGTTCACAGATGACACAATAGTGATCGGTCTCATTCGAGACAATGATGAATCCATATACAGATGGGAGGTTGAACAACTAGCCTCGTGGACGCCATCACTCTGCTAAACAAATAATTCCCTCAACATTGTCCAACTATTTACTAAGTCTGTACTAGTATTAATCTTCTCGTTCCCACCACCCATCTCCTTCCACTTATGACTGTATGACTGTAACTTTGTTGCTTGTATCCTTACAATTTATATTGATATTGTTTCCTGATTGCTTATTTGTACCCTATGACTATCATTAAGTGTTGTCCCTTATGATTCTTGATGAACGTATCTTTTCTTTTATGTACACTGAGAGCATATGCACCAAAGACAAATTCCTTGTGTGTCCAATCACACTTGGCCAATAAAAAATTCTATTCTATTCTATTATTCTTGTTCTATTCTTCATATGTGTTATCTTCCCAATTCTACTGCCAGTCAAACTGACTTTTCCTTCTCTCACTCAAACTGAACAGCAGACTATTTTTTAAAAAATCAGCATTAGAGCTCCAGCTCCATGACACCGTAATAGGCAAAACAACAACTAAGAAAGAAAATCATTTTGGGAATTATGCATTTAAAATCTCAACTCATGCCAGCACTCACTTCTCTGTTTTGCTCACCTCCAAGATCTTTTCATCGTCCAGTTCACTGAAGACCGTCCCACTGATCTGGTTGGGCTTCAATGCTGTCCAGTTAAAAACTGGCAAGCGGAACTTGGTCTTGATGGGTTTCTTAATCCGGATTGCTTGGTGCAGAACAGAGAGAATAAAGCATGATTAGATCATATGGAAAAGAGAAAATATTCTCAGCCTATTCTCAACAAGTCAGTTGGAGGAAGAGGCTTTTATTTTGGCAATTTTCTGATGAGTTTTGGTTAACTTTTGTTAGTTTCTCTTATGCCATAGAAGAATAGTATCTATGTGATTTGGACATGTCCTCAAATCCTTTCCCTCTTCTGTATGCAAGCACTGAGGAAATCATTCATTGATCTGTTAATAGGCATACCATATTTGGACTGCCTTTGATTGTGTGGATCACAGAAACTGTGGCAAGTTCTTAAAGAGATGGGAGTACCAGACCATCTTATTTGTCTCTTGAGAAACCTATATGCGGGTCAAGAAGCAACAGTGAGAACTGGACATGGAACCACTGATTGGTTCAAAATTGGGAAAGGAGTCCGGCAAGGCTGTATACTGTCGCCCTGCCTATTTAACTTATATGCAGAGCACATCATGAGAAAGGCGGGGCTCGATGAATCAAAAGTTGGAATTAAGATTGCCGGGAGAAATATCAACAACCTCAAATATGCAGATGATACCACTCTAATGGCAGAAAGCGAAGCGGAACTAAAGAGCCTCTTGATGTGGGTGAAGAAGGAGAGTGCAAAAATTGGCTTGAAACTCAACATTAAGAAAACTAAGATCACAGCATCCGGCCCTCTCAATTCCTGGCAAATAGATGGGGAAGAAATAGAGGTAGTGTCAGATTTTATTTTCTTGGGCTCCAAAATCACTGCAGATGGGGACTGCACTGCAGCCAAGAAATTAAAAGACGCTTGCAACTGGGGAGGAAAGCTATGGCAAATCTAGACAGTGTACTAAAAAGCAGAGACATCACCCTGCCAACAAAAGTGCATATAGTCAAGGCTATGGTTTTCTCAGTTGCAATGTATGGCTGTGAAAGTTGGACCATAAGAAAGGCTGAGCGCCAAAGAATTGAGGCCTTTGAACTATGGTGCTGGAGAAGACTCCTGCGAGTCCCTTGGACTGCAAAGCAAACAAACAAAGTCAGTCCTAGAGATCAACCCTGACTGCTCCTTAGAAGGCCAGATCCTGAAGATGAAACTGAAATACTTTGGCCACTTAATGAGAAGGAAGGATTCACTGGAGAAGAACCTAATGCTGGGAAAGATTGAGGGCAAAAGAAGAACGGGACGACAGAGAATGAGGTGGCTGGATGGAGTCACTGAAGCAGTCGGCGTGAGCTTAAATGGACTCCAGAGGATGATCGAGGACAGGAAGGCCTGGAGGAACATTGTCCATGGGGTCGCGATGGGTCAGACATGACTTTGCAACTAACAACAACAATCTGGACTGCAAAACTCCAGACAACTCCAACATGGCACCAAAGAATTACAGTGTACCACTGTCATTTATTTTTGCAGCTCAGATATGACATGCCAGATCTGTGTTTAAAAGAAACAGATGAATTTTCCTGAAGAGGATGGGGCTTGTTTCCAAAAAAAAGAGTCTGTATTTCAAACTGTATATCTGAAGCCAGAACCAAAATTAAATTATCTATTTTTAATGGAAACAAATTATTTTAGTTTTTGCTATTCTAGTCCAATAGAGTATGTCATTTCCCCAAGGACACTCAAACTATTAAAAATTCAAGGTCACAACAATGAAATGTGGTGTCAAGAAAAATCATCCATACAAATGACATAAATTGCATTTTGGGGAAAGCATACATTTTCTCAACTATATTGCATAATTTACTCTGCAACAGTTTCTAGTTGCTTAATTCAGTTTTATCAATTGGGTTTTTTTGTTTTTTGCTTTCTGGCATTTTCCTCAGACTTTCCAGTCTAAATTTATACCCATAAGAGCTAGAAACATATATCGTTTCTAGTGGAATCTACATTATTACTTACATTATTTATCTTCAAACCCTTTCCCATTCAACTAGCATCAAGTATACAGCAACCCCCATGCTATCTTACTACTCAGGTCTATTTGGGGGAACAGATGCTAAGCCGGTGATGGCACAGTGGTTAGAATGCAGAATTGCAAGCTAATTCCGCCCACTGCCAGCAGTTAGATCTTGACCCACTCAAGGTTGACTCAGCCTTCCACCTTTCCAAGGTCGGTAAAATGAGGACCCAAATTGTTGGGGGCAATATGCTGACATTTGTAAGTCACCCAGAGAATGCTGTAAAGCACTATGAAGCAGTATATAAGTCTAAGTGCTATTGCTATCTACCTGATAAGCCCATTGTGAGAATCACCGAAGGGGATGTGCCAGGAAGAGGTGGAGCTGGTGGACACTTATCTATGAGGAAAGAAACAATAGATAAATAAATAAAATAAGGCACACCCACCCACCCACACACACACACACACACCCATGGCAAGATGTTGGCTTGTTAGCTCCAGAACAGAAGCCTACCTGGTAATGGAGGAGGAGGTGGCGGAAGAGGTGGTGGAGGAGGTGGCGGAGGAGGGGCAGCCTCCACAGGAGGCAGGACAGGCAGGCAGAGTTCATCCTCAGAGATGTCGCAGAAATTTATCTCTGTCTCTGGAGGTGGTGGCAGCGGCAAGTGGTCACTCCCCATTGGATGTGAAGTATAGTGATGCCGGAAGGCTTCCTCCTTCTCCTTGATAATTCTGCGCAATGTATGAACTTGGTGGCTGGCACTTTCGTACGTCTCCTGTCCCAGATACAGAGATACAGTAGAGTCTTTCTTACTTCTAGAAACTGTTCCCTGCTTATCATCTCAGGCAAGCCTAATCACAAAGGACTAATCACATCAGACCTTCCCCAATTCAGGGACCTCCAGGTGAATTGGAGGTTTGAGTGTTGCAATCCAACCCAGCTGGCAGATACAGACTGGGGAAGGTTGCAAGGGTCATTGTATCCTGAACTGTAAAATCACAAGCATCTCCAACCATACCATTTCTGAGAATAAGAACAAGTTACATAATTTAATTTCCTTTGTAAGAAGAAAATACCTGTTTATATGGAAAACAGTATGTGGAGAATGTCTATGGAGATTCTCAGTCATCCAGGTCATGGTTGTCCCAAAGGTGCTTTTTTCAAGAGGCAACTGGACTTTCTGGTTTATCTTTGAAGCCGTTTCACTTCTCATCCAAGAAGCTTCTTCAGTTGAAGAACTGAAGAAGCTTCTTGGATAAGAAACAAAACATTTTCAAAGGAAAAAGACTGACAAAAATCCAGTTTCAAAAAGCACCTTTGGGACAACCATGACCTGGATGGATGATTGAATATTTCCATAGACATTTGACCTGTTGGATGATACGATCATCTCATGATAACACCCATAAAAACTGATGTTTCCATGGATGCACATTATTCTCCCCTTTGGTTAGAAAGATCCATGGGGATGAACAAGTTATCTTTCCCCACAGTACCTTATCAACTACCTTCTCCAGGAAAATCTAGATGAAACCATTAGTCACACCTCCATGCTCTGGAAAGCCCCTTCAATTCCCTTTTTTTGATCCACATACCTTGACAATCTCCAATTCCTTTTCCCGCTGTAACAGTTGTTTCTCCAACTCAGCTACCCGCATTATGTTCTCATTCTCCAGATCCAGCAGCTTTTCTGTCAACTAAATAACACAGAACAGCAATCACCAATTTGTCTTTCCTTTGAGTCAAGACAGCTCGGTTTTTATTGCTTGATAACTATATCTTCAACAACTCACTTGTGAAGAAGACTCTGATCAATGAGGTAGTGAGACTGTCACATGTGCCCCGCCCCTTACGCATGCGCAGCAGACCCAAAAATCAGCTGACTGATGGGAGGTGCACACGCATACGTGGTGGAATTAAGCTGGGGTGACGGCTCATGTGCCCACAGAGAGGGCTTTGCGTGCAACCTGTGGCACGCGTGCCATAGGTTTGCCATCACGACCATAGGCAAAATGGGTTCCAGGATTAGCTGCCCATCCAATAAGGCTTTTCCATGCTAAAGAAAAGGCTATACACTTACATGCGATAAGTGCTCTTCCAGTTCTTCTACTTTCTCCAAAGCCACATTCTTGGTCTCAGCATCTTCTAGCAACCCACCTACATCAAACACATTGTCCAGGTAGGCCTGAATTTGCACTTGCAGTTTTTCACTTTCTGTGTGTCTTGACTTCTGCTGGAGAGAAGGAAACAGTCTTAAAGGCCTGAGGCTCCTACAGGTTCTCCTGGATGCCACCAGGTCCCCAGCAAGGCCAAAATAGAGCCCCTCTGAGCTACTCATGACTTCCTCAAAGGCGCATCCTACAGACATGTTCTATCTCAGCAGTCCATCTCAGAGGCCCAAACTGGAGATACAAGAAACAGCTCTACAAGTAATGAAAGTATTGTACAAAAATAAAGCACTAAAGTATTCCATGATAAATATCAGGGCATTTGTGGAAAAAAAATTTATGTTAACTTCATCATGATTTCCTCTCACTCTCATCCTCATTCCTACAGAATTTTGCATCCGATCATTTGATGAGATGATGGGTGTTTTCTTAGCAGTCTTTAAACCCCATTGGAGAACTATAATTTTCAGGGATTCCTGGAAAGAAGGTTTGATTATTAATCAGCTTTGTTTCTGTGAATATACACGTTTTGGAAATATGCTAGATTTTCATACAAAAATAACTTGTTTGAAATTGGCAGAACAGAAATGTTGTCATAAAGATATAATAAACCTATGTGACACTTTATCACCAATGGTTCCCATGACAGAGACTTCCTTGCAAGAGCACTTCAGTGTGTACTGGAGGACTTCTCCATGCCTCTGTGGTTCCTCTGTTGTTTCAGGGTCTGATTCAGAGATGGGTTTCAGCAGGTTCTGACTAGTTCTGGAGAACCGGTAGCGGAAATTTTGAGTAGTTTGGAGAACCGGTAGTAAAAATTCTGACTGCCCCCACCCCCCATCTATTCTCTGTCTCCTGAGTCCTAGCTGATTGGGAGGAAATGGGGATTTTACAGTATCCTTCCCCTGGAGTGGGGAGGGAATGGTGATTTTACAGTATCCTTCCCTTGCCACGCCCACCAAGCCACGCCCACAGAACCGGTAATAAAAAAAATTGAATCCCATCACTAGTCTGATTCTCTCAATAGGCACTTAACTTTGAGAACAAAACTGAAAACCTGCCTTTCATGGAAGGACACTTCGATTCCCACCATGGACGAATGGTTGCAGAAGCTGATGGGAGTTGGCAGAAATGGCTAAATTGACTATTTTGATTAAAGAAAAGAATATAAGTACCTTTGTTTCCACATGGAGACTGCTTCTGAACTTTGTGCTTGAGGTGGAAAAAAATGAAACTCTGATTTTGGGTTTTACCGATTAGATTGATAAATGCTTATAGAAATGGCTAGTGTATATTATTATGAAAAAGCAAAAAAGTTGTGGTTTGATGTTAATGCCTTATTTTACTACAACAGAGGGAATTGGAAGTCAATGCTTTTTTTTCTTTTTCCCAACCCTTCCTCACTTCTCTTACCCCCACCCCCCTTTCCCCCCATTGCTTTCCTATCTACTTTTGTATTTTGTATCTTATAACCTAATAAAATGTTTAAAAACTCAAAAAAACCCCACCCCTGCCTTTCTGTAGAATATCTTCCTTCATTTCCAATTATGGAAATGCACCTATTTTCATTTCTTAAAAAATGTAGTTACTTCTTAGTTTCATATGCCCTTCACCATCAAAATTAGTGGGGAGTTCAGGGGTGGGCTTGAAAAGCATTTAAGAGGGGTATTGTTTCCAATAGAATACACATACTTTTCTCTCTTTTTTTTCCATTTTTTATTTTTATTATATAAAATAGAAAGAAGAAAAGAAAATAGGAAATTAAGGGAAGGAAAGGGAACAGGGGAGAGGGGGTGTGAGATACAAGGGGGAAGAAAAAAAAAGAAAGAAAAGGGGGCATTGACTTCCAACTCTTCCTAGCACAGTACAAGATAAACACACTCTAACTTTTTGCTTTTACACATTCATACATAACTAGCCATTTCTATAACACCAAATCTTTCTAATCAACAAAACCAAGATCAAAGTTCCATTTTTTTTCTTCACAAGCACAAATTCCAGAAGCGATATCCAAATAAGAACATATTTTCCTCTTTAAATAAAGCAATCAGGTTAACCATTCCTGCTTTATCTTCCTTGCTATGAAAATAATGGGTATTTCTATTTGCACCTAGTAATCTTTGTGAGCTTTGACCATATTTATTTACAACATTTATTGTATTCTTTCAAATTCTTTGGCCTTACTGAAAGAAAAAACACATACCTATTGCTTTGAATCAAGCAAATTCTGCAGATTTTGAAAGCACACAAAAGCCCAGCTATATAGCAAAAGATGCTGCTGGTCTTGTGTATGAAGGAAAGGCTGGAGATAAAGCAATTAATAGGGTCGTCACTAAGACCAGGATGAAACAAAAATGGCATTTATGGTTGTCATGGCCCATATTGAGGAGACCATCTACTTGCAGCTGCTTTTTCCACAATTAATTAATTAATTTTAATTAAAATTAAAAAGTTAACAGATACACATTATAAGCAGATCTTTTTTTAAAAAAAAACCTGCCTCCTTTTAGAATCTGGACTCATAGTACACAACTGGTTAAACGCAGAAAACCAGGTTTGTAGACTGAGGTAAATATCCTTCTTTATGGAGAAGTGCTATTAGCAAAAGAAGGACTGTTTTGTTTTTTAAGAGAGAGTTCTTTACTTTGCAGTCATTTGATGAGCTTCGAGACATTTCCCATATTTTCATTTGCCACATAAATTTAAGCCACAATATATGAGTTAAAGTTAAGAGCCCTCTATCTAGAACCAGGCAAGGTTGCTTGAAGCAAACATTGTGCAACATTCAAATGAGTCTCTCCTGTGTAGATGTCTTGAACAATGTGTAAAAATAGTGGGGTCAAAAAAAACCACCACACAATATAGATGATCGGTCTAATTTTGTTGTACCTAATTATCTTTCTCATATAAGCACTAGTCTTATATGTGGGAAAGAGATTAAACATTATCAAATTTTAATATCACTTGAGGTTTACTTTGTGATGGGACAAAATGTTACCTGTAAGAACTCTTCCAAACCCAGCTTGGTGAACTCGTATTGTAAGTGCACTCGGAAGTTCATGTCCTCTACTGAATGGACTACAATGTTGATGAATTGCATACAGGCTACCTATAAAACAGAGAAAAGGCAGCTGGAATTATGATACACAGATTCAGTTATTATATTCCCCTTTAGCTTCTAGAACTCTTTTTTAAAAAAAAACTGAAGAGAACTTAATTTTTAAAATGCAACGCATGCTATAGAATATAATTTCTCTTCTTCCATGCAGACAACCATGGATTAATCTTATGCTGGAGAAGGAGAAGGGGGAAGAGGAAGAGGAAGTTTCAGGCTTCATTTACTGGGACCATCTAACCCATGTTCTTTTAGAGATTCCTTGGAGTAAATTGTTCCTTGGGTTGATAAAGATTCCTTACTCCTACATTTTCACTGATAGATTTTATATAGAAGCCTTTCCCAATCTTGCCTAAAATGACCAATGACTTTTGAATCCAAGCATATGCTCCACCATTGACTGATGGTCTCTTGCATGGGTGAATCCATGATAGCAAGTTAAGCATAGTTGGGGACAGCCGACGTCCTACGTTATCCATGGAATACAGTTAGTCCTCAACTTACAACCACAATAGGGCTCAGAAAATTTATCATTAAGGTGTGTGGTCATTAAGTGAGACATCATGTGTGACCACAACTTGCAACCTTCCCCATTGACTTTGCTTGGGAAGTCACAAATGGTGACCATGTGACTGCAGGATATTGCAACCATTGTACATGGATGACGGTTGCCAGAATCACGATTATGTGAGTGGAAATACCGCAACGTTGTAAGTGAGAGGACCAGTTGTGAGTCACTTTTGCAGGGGCATCAAAAGTTTGATCAGTCGCTAAATGAATGGTTGTAAGTCAAGGACCTCCTGTATATTGGTTGACTATCAAGACAGGGAGCATGCATAAGCGCACCAGTGTGCCTACTGTCCCTATCCTACTATCCCCATTTATTTGTATTAATTTCCTTCGTTCATGTCCATGTTCATATTCATACCTGCTATCTTGTACATGTTTGACAAACTAATAAATAAATAAATAAAACATGCATCCAGTCTGTCACTTTTTTCCCCTCATCATTGGGCCAAATGAGCAACTGGCATACACAATTATAAAACAAATAGTGCATATTTTTTTTCTAACACTTTTTTTTTAAAATACCTACCATGAAGTCAATATTGCTATCCTCATTACGGAAATATTCCATCAGTTTCTCAAAGCGATGCTGCTCTTTGCATACCTAAGAAAAGAAAACACGCCCGGATCATAAACAAGTTGTAGTCCTGATGGGCCTGCCAAATACATTTCATTCCATTGATGCTGACACATTTCCATAAGTGCTCCTCCACATAGCTGTGCAGTGGTTACTTTCATGCACATTCCCAGAGTAATTTCTTTCTCTGGTCACATACCCGGAGAAAGAGAGTTTTATTATCAGCAGGTGGTACAGGAGGGCAAGTACTGTGTTTGAATTATCTCCACAAAAACATCCTTTAAGTTACCCCTTGAGGGCCTGCTGGTTTTCCTTCAACCGCCTCAGGCTTTATTCATTTTAGCTTTTTCTTTATTAGATCAAGCTTCTGAGTATTTTGAGAGGATTGACAGCCAAATGGAACACCTAATAAACACACGATCCACATAAAAATCCTTCAGGAGTCATTCAAAGAATGCACAACAAGAGAGAGAAGATATTTTCAGAAACATATCAGGCTCTTTGAGAAGCTACTGATGAAAAGATCCTGCGGCTAAGAGTCACTGACTTGAACTTCTGAAAATGAGACACTTAAGAAAGTTATCCGGAGAATATCTTGATTGCAAGTGAGCAGCAGCAGGTATATGAGTATATAAAGAAAATAAGGTGGCATGCAGGCCGGGCCAAATCATAGATTCAGGGTTGGTGTTATCTGCTTATTTCTGCTCAGAGACTCAAGGCAATACCAAAAAGACAGGGCAGGTTGCATTGTTCAAAAACTTTGCCCAAAGTAATATTAGACACTTGAATAGATTTGTCTTGGGTTCTCACTTGGCAAAATAAAAGAAATTAATGGTCACTATCCATCACATCTCTATTTTCCTCCCTCCTCATATGCATCTATCTCTGGGTTGTGACCAAAGTCCTTCCATCTAACCATCGTTTCCATCTGCTTCCTTATATTTGCATACCCTTCCTCAATCTAGTGTTCCAGATGCATTGGATTTCAAAACCCACAATCCTGTGGATCTTGAGAGTTTGATACCTATGTTTTCAAATATAAGAAATAAAAGCAATCTCACCTCCTTGAAGTTCTCAAAGGCAGCCAAAATGATCTCATGGCCGCCTCGCACAAGACACACAGCTGCCAGCAGTTCTAATACCAGGGCTTTTGTCCTGGGGAGAAAAAGGAGAGACACAAAACTAATGGACAAGCAACTAGGGGAAAAAGATCATGGAACCCACAATGGGGTTCCATGGTTGGTGAGGATGATAGAACTTGTGGAGATGGCTAAATTAACCTCTTTGATTAGAGAAAAAAACAATATCCTCATTTATGGTTGACTGGAAACCCCTACCAGACTTTTCGCATAAAAGAGAAAAATGCACTTATAATTAGTGATTTCAATTGTTATAATAAAAAAAAAGATAATAGAAAGAGTTCTCTTTTTTAAACATAGTGTAAGAGATAACTTTGTACTTGTGCTTATGTTTACTGCAAATATTTACTTCTTTCTATTTCTTTTGATTCTTTCTTTTATCTTCCTTAATGGCTTTTACTCTTTATTAATTTGTATTAATTTTTTTGGTAAAAATTTCAATAAAAATTTACAAGGAAGGAAGGAAGGCAGGCAGGCAGGAAGGAAGAAAGGTTGGCTCATCTGAAAAGAGTAGTGCAGGTAGTCCTCAACTTACGACCACAATTGAGTCCAACATTTCTGTTGCTGAGTGAAACATTTGTTAAGTGAATTTTGCCTCCTTTTACGATCTTTCTTGCCACCATTGTTAAGTGAATCACTGCCGTTGTTAAGTTAGTATCATGGCTGTTAAGTGAATCTGACTTCTCCATTGACTTTGCTTGTAAGAAGGTCAGAAAAGGTTATCACCTCACACTGCAACAGTCATAAATATGAATCAGTTGCCAAGTGTCCGAATTTTAATCACATGGGGATGCTGCAATTGTGAACGTGTGAAAAATGGTCATAAATCACTTTTTTCCAGTGCTGTTGTAACTTTGAACGGTCACTAAATGAACTGTTGTAAGTCGAGGACTATCTGTATTTTTATTCTGACTATACACACAGCACTAACCCTAATGTGGAACTAATTAGGCCTTTCCTGTCAGCTTTGTGGGTCCTGGGAATATCGCAACATGAAGGTAGACTCCATCTGTTGCTCAGCGTTTGATAGTTCCTATTTAAAAATAAAATACCTTCCCCATTTGCAATTAGGGTACGGCGGAAGGTGCGTAAATCCGGGATCCTCCGTATCTCCGGGGGGGGGAGCTCATTCCAGATAGCAGGTGCCCCCACAGAGAAGGCTCTCCCCCTGGGGGTTGCCAGTCGACAATGGATGGGTTTAGCCTGAGTCTGTTTCTCCCCATCCAGCTCCGCACGGCCTCCAGGCACCGGGACATCACTTCAAGCGCATCATTGGGGTGGTCCGGGGTGGAGATGTACAGCTGAGTGTCATCAGCGTACTGATGGTACTTCACCCCGAAACCACGGATGATCTCACCCAGCGGCTTCACATAAATGTTGAACAGAAGGGGCGAGAGGACCGACCCCTGTGGCACCCCACATATAAGACGCCTCGGGGTCGACCTCTGCCCCCCTGCCAACACAAACGGCGACCGGTCAGAGAGAAAGGAGGAGAACCACCGCAACACAGTGCCTCCCACCCCCAACTCTTCCAACCGGTGCAGCATGATACCATGGTCGATGGTATCAAAAGCCGCTGAGAGATTTAATAGGACCAGGACAGAGGAACAACCCCTGTCCTGAGCCCTCCATAGATCATCAACCAATGTGACCAATGCCGTTTCCGTGCTGTACCCAGGCCTGGAACGGATCCAGATAAACCGTTTCACCCAGGTACTGGGGAAGCTGTCGCGCGACCACACTCTCAACAACCTTCGCCACAAAGCGAAGGTTGGAGCCTGGACGATAGTTTGCTAACACTGCCGGGTCCAGGGAAGGCTTTTGAGGAGAGGCCTCACCGCCATGACAGAAAAAGCTCATTTCCTGGGTCCCCAATGTGACACTCCTTAAGTGACAGGAACCATGTCTCCTACCAGATCTAATGGGATGGGTAGAAGTGTTTGGGGGGAAGGGGGTCCCAACAAATAAACCAGTCCCATACCATGCTTTTATTTCTAAGGATCAAGAGAGGAATTAATTACAAGATACAAAACCGTGTCATCTGTGCAGAAAGAAAGAAAAAAGACCCCAAGCTGTAGAGAAACTATAGTTATGGTTATCATCATAAATATTATTTTATAGAACATATCAAAAGATGCCAAAGACACGACTTGCTCACATGCCTGCTGTTCTCCATATGTGCCTCCAACCATCATTTAATGCCAAGTGTTAAGGAATATTGCTGAACTGATTTAAGATACGATCAAGTAACTTTGCTGGAGAGTTTAGGTAACCAATGAATTTACATTAACAACACAGCTAAGCAGTATTTCTGGATGTATACAGAGCTTTTAGTAAGACCAAACAATACTGACAAACTGCAAAACAAATGCACATCTGCTTTACAAATTAACATGTGTTTGAAATCAGATTTACTAGCTGGAGATAGGCCACATTACAGTATTGTTTAGTTTTTTCAGAGTTGAAGGCAGCTTGAAATGTACCACTGCTGAAAAGGAAAAAAAATCATCATACTGTTACTCTTGCTATAAAGGTATTACAAGCGATTGTGATATTTCACAAACCTGCTCACTCTGCCTGATTTAGCAGGAATAGTAAATCAAAAGAAAGATTTGTTTGGCCTCATACCATGGGACGCAACACTTCTAAGTCACTTTCAACTCATTCAGAAAATACTTATTTGCCTTTTTTTAAAAAAACCCAGAAGACTGCACTTCTAGTAGAGTTCGGAAGATTGTGCTTTCTAAACTTATCAGAAAACTTGGATTTCCATGATTCCCATGATATTGGAAACACAAAATTAATGAAATAATCTTAAAATTGGGCTCATGTTTCAATATTAATATAGTACATGTAAACCGCACTATATAAGCTTTAGTACACCATTTCAAAAAATAAACAACAATCTTCATTTTCATGAGGTTCATTGCGTATAAAGTTGTCTTACCTGGGGTTTTTATTGTTCAAACTGAGAGCAATCTCATTAACAGCGTGAGGATGTGACATGACCAAATTGAATCCATACTGAAAGGGAAAGGAATTTATATAAATATTAGAAGTTATAAGAAACAGTCAACTAAACAGATAGCCTTATTTAAGATGTAAGTAACACACATATCTAGAGTCCCAAAGGTGCTTTTTCAAAAGGCAACTGTTTTTCCTTGAAATAGTTTCACTTCTCATCCAAGAAGCTTCTTCAGTTCTGACTGTCAGAACTGAAGAAGCTTCTTGGATGAGAAGTGAAACATCTTCAATGAAAAACAAAGTCCAGTTGCCTTTTGAAAAAGCCCCTTTCGGACAACCATGACCTGGATGACTGAGAATCTCTATAGACACGTATGTATATAGAGAGAGATAGTTAAAGAAAGAAAGAAGTGAGAAATGTAAACAACAGATAACAGTATATGAAGCACTGTGCAAATGTGTTGGAAACAAGGATAGTTTGCAACAATTAAAAGGTATGGAGAAATACAGAGAAAGGTGTTTACGTAAAGTAGATGTAAACAGTTTCCTTTTTTTGCCCCTCATGACATTATTATTATTATTATTATTGGCTTCCTTTAAATAAATATATTTCTGTACTCTGCATTAAGCTAATTACCTTGAAAAGGGATGTCACGATGAGTAGGCAGGCATATATATATTTTTTAAAAAGACATTTTATATAAATAAATAAATTATTAAGTCCTCTAAACTGTCACATATAGCATACCTTTGTTACACATAAACCTGATGCATAGTTAGATAGGTACAAATTATCATACAGAATATTCAGATAATAGGGAGGGAGAAGTAAAAGAAAAGGATATTAATTTAACAAAGAGTAGTTATGTCAACTCACCACCCCAGATATACCTTTTGGAAATACTCTATTTAGTGGTGGTGTCCCCCATCTTCTGACACTACATTTTTAAGTAAATTCTTTTTAGACAGAACAAAACTTTTAAGGCATAGCTAAGTGAAATTCTTCACTGGTACTGACATTAGAGGATGCTACATTGCTTGGAGAGCCAAAGCCAACTGAGGTTAAGTGGGGGGAAAGCTTGGGAAGAAGAAAAAATGACCAGCAGGAGGTGCTGTGCCAGCAGAAGTAACAATAGGCCTGAATTCCCACCCTATTTTCTCTTCCTGCCCCCCCAAAAAATCTCTCAGGTGTTGGAGCCAAAAGTTCTCCTGAGGCAAAGCCAAATTATAAATGTAATAAAATGCACACACACATTTCAAATCATTGATTCTAAGAGGGCAAAGTCCAATTTTCCTAAAAATTCACCACAGCCAAGCACCCACCCCCCACAAGACCCCTATCCCAGTTCAAAGCCAGCGATACCTGATAATTCATGATGGCTCGTAAACACAAGATGCACACGTGGACGTCATCTTTTTGGCTCACCAGCCTTGAGTTCTTCAGAGCTTTTCTGCTGGGAAGGGTGGTGTATCTGGCAAAGAGAAGAGAGCCCTACATTTAGCAAAAAGCAGTAACCTCTCCAGAAGAATGCTGTCACTTGCCAAGGATGAGGTCACAGCCACAGCTAAGAAGGAACACTGAAATTAGAACCACCGGCTTCTGTCAGGAGATTTCCCCAAGATGCATGTTTTCCTTTGGGATCAGAAAAGGCTGGGTGGCCTCAGTACCTTCATTGCAATCTGATAGCAGTTGTTCTAAAGACAGAAGGCTCCTAGAATTGCCAATCAAAAGGCATCCTGCAGCTATCCCCTCTTTTCCTATTTTGCAGATCTTGGTAGACAGAGAGGTTTGGGGCATGAGGGAAATTAAATAAACGATAGAGAATTTTTTTTTTTCCCTTGGAAGAAACTTCAAGCCATTTAGGGGATTTTCCCCGTGCTTTATTTCCCTAGTATTATTATCTGTTTCTATTAAGGGGGGGGACCTTAAAACATCCCAGAATATTACTTTAGCAAGATGAAGGCACATGGTGTGTTTTTTTTTATCAGCCCAAATCAGGAAAACCCAAACCAAAGCAATTAAGCAAAGCAATTATAATTTTTTTAAAAAAACCAAGAAAGCAAATTAGATTTTTGTTGCTGGAAAATGATCCAAATTTGGAAGAAAATAATGTCTTCCACGAGGAATAGAGAAACTAGTTACCTTAGTTCTCAAAAATGTGGCATGTAACCTAAACATCTGAGTGGCAGAGAGAAACTAGAGGTGAAAGCTTTAGATGTCATCGCTAGACAAGAATGTTCAGCTGAGAGAGGACATCCGCAGAAGTTATCATGATAAATTCGCACTGTTTTAATTCAGGCCAAAGTATATAATTCTTTTAATTAATTTTAAATTTTGTATTGTTATGTATTTTAGTTCTGGCTGTGCACCGCCGAGTCCACTAGGAGAAGGGTGGTATATAAATTGAATAAATAAAATAAATAATAAAGTTTACTTTTTCTCCTCAAATATTCAATTTTATTCCTTTCTCTTCTCGTAAAGGAAGATGATCCAACCTGTAGTCTTGACTGAGATGCAGGAAGACACTGGACCTTTCAGAGCTAGTATGCTTATTATCCAATATGGCATTCTAATGCCTACCTTATATTTTGAATTGTGGTCCCCACAATCCCTTGCTCATCATGCTTGGTTGGGATAGATGAGAGTTGAAGACCAAAATGTTTGGACTGCATCTACAGTATTTGCCTATCCTGCGTATTATCATTGCAGCAACAGTTTACCTGTTGACTTTCTCTCTGAGGGTACCAGTGCCATCACAGCAGATGGCTAGACTCTGTTTTTTAAGGTGCCCCTTCAAGCAAGAATAAACCAGGGGTGAAATCCAGCAGGTTCTGACAGGCTCTGGAGAAGTGGTAGCAGAAAATTTTCGGAGAACTGGCAAATGCCATGTCTGGCTGGCCCCCGAGTGGGGTGGGAATGGAGATTTTGCAATATCCTTCCCCCAGGAGTGGGGTGGGAATGGAGATTTTTCAGTATCCTTCCCCTGCCATGCCCACCAAGCCACACCACACCCACCAAGCCAGGCCCACAGAACCAATAGTAAAAACAATTTGGATTTCACCACTGGAATAAACTCCCATGTGGGTTTGATCTTGTAAAAGCAGCTGATTTTCTTTGGGCTTTTTTAGCCTGAGCAAGTTGGCTTTCAGGCACAAGTTAAACCTGTCTCTCAATCCTTATGTGCCTCCTCAACTACTCACTTGCCTTTAAGCCAAAAAGCTCTGCCATGGATTACTACAGAGGCTCTTGTCCTCGTGCCCACACATTATATCTGCATGCACACAGGCCAGTATCCGGCCTGAGATGTACATCACTGTATGCTGCACATGGCACCCAATTCAAGAATACTTACCAAGGTAAAAAGGACAGAAAAAAGAGAGAGAACAGGAGACCCAGCAAAGACAGGCAAACAGAGCAGGGCAAAGGACAAGGCCTGGAGCAGAGAGGAGACCTGGCCAGCTACCCACAGAGGAACATCAAGGGGGAAGAGTGGGAGTGGGAAGAAGAAATCAGCACACGGCATCCCCTGGAGGGCAGAAAGCAGGGCAGGTTTATTACTGTATAAGTAGCACCGCTGAATAGGATAACAAACTGGAGGTTGGTGGCAAGACAAAGGTACATACCGGAGAGCAGACTGGCGCGCAGAGCGAGCAAGACTGTTGGCGTAGGGTGCAGACAGGGTGCTGGGGTGCTGCAGATCCTCTATGGACCTGCTCCAAGATTTCAGCTTCTCTAGCGCTCCATCCTCGCTATTTTCCAGACCCTCAAAATCAAACCTGGAGGGCAGACAGGGAACATACACCATACACACAGGGAAGCTTTAGGGCAAAAGCTGGCACGGAGGGGTCAAAAGCTCTGGATTCCCCAAAGGATGGATGTTTCTGCAAGCCACAAGCCAGCAACACGGAACATGACAAAGGTGCGAATCAAATGTCCTCTCTGTAAGTAAAATCTCAGTATGCAGAAATCACTGCTGCACACAGAAATTCCCAGGGCAATTTTACAGTATGGTTACCCCAATACAGAAGCAACAGTAAAAGTATATTCCCCACCACGGAGGGTGAATTTGTATTAAATATAGTCTTTTCTGGCATCACCTTGTGCTATTTGGCCTGCAGTCAGTTGTCCTTCATAGACTATGATGTTTGCATTAGGATACGACTAAACAGCTCGATTTCAGGCATATATCTTGGGAACAGCTGGTTCCATTTGTGCTGAATTCTGGATGGAGTTACTGTTTTATAATAGATTTCTGGAGCAGCTGAGGCTGAAGGAAGTTCCTTGTTAAAGGGAGGAATAATTTTCCCAATGGGATGCTTTTTCGTAAGTCGTTTTTATGATGTTCTTTAAATCTGTGAACAGTATTAAGTCAATACTGGCTCCTGGTCTATTTAAAAGACCAATTCAAAAAAAATGAACTTTGCAGTTCTAAACAACCTGGGATGAAGTTATATGAAAAATCCTCTTGTCTCAGACTATTTCTGAGGGTGAAGATCTACAAATCCTTTCTAGATTTCTGTCTTTTTCCAGTCACAGCATTCTGACTTTAGGGCTTTCTCATAGAGCAGTTCTGTAAATCCTTGTATTTTGATGAAGTTCAATAATCCCCCTAAATCACACTTTTTCTAGTACAATTCAAATCCAAATACAAGCTATTTGCACAATGGTGTGTTCAATTAGATCCGCTCAATTCTTTTATATTTCAAGAATGTAAGAGCTAAGAATGCAAGTTTCAGCTACCTACTTTTTTACTTTTTGGCTAGATCACTGATTTAAAAAATGAAGATACTGGACAATCGGAAGAAAAACAATCAATCTCTGAAAAAGAATGCTTTTCACTTACCTCTGATACCTCCCAATATCTGAGGTTTTGTCCTTAGTCAGGGCCCCCAAAAATGTCTATCTGACTAGGTCAAACTATACTTGCTCAGACCATTCTCTCTGTCATGAAATCTGCTTTTGTTATAAAACACAAGATCCTATTCAAGCATGTAATATGTGACTACCTTAGTTCTATTTATATTTCTAAAATGATTTATATTATGGGCATGATTGTTATCTTCCCTTGCTTCTTCTGTCTTCTTTTCCCAAATTAATTTCTTCTTACATATGGACATCTCGCTGTACTGTTTTAAAAGATGAGCTTTGGAATAGAACACCCAAAAGCTGATTTTCCTTTTAACTTGCCCTAGACCTGGATTGACAGGAATTGGTGAATTTAAGGGAGAACCTTGAGGATGCAGTTACAAAGACTGCAACAGATTCCAAACATGTGAAGGTATGTATGTATGTATGTATGTATGTATGTATGTATGTATGTATGTATGTGTAGGTGGGGGGGAATAGGGGTGGTTGGGTAGATGGATGGATGGATGGATGGATGGATGGATGGATGGATGAGAAAAGAGAGAAGGGGTCCACCTCACCATTAAAGCCAGTCTATAAGAGTGATGGCAAAACTATGGCATGTGTGTCAAAGGTGACATGCTACAATGTTTTGGGTGACATGCCAGAGTTCACCAACACTTGACAACTGTTCTTGAAAGCATGCCCCATTCTCACACAATTTTCAGAGGCTACAGACAGAGGCCATGTAAGAATGAGATGTGCTCTCGTGCAAACTCTCAAAATCACGCAAGAACGGGGATGTGCTTTTGCACGGTTTATGGAGACTGCAGAGGACAGAGAAAAGCATTCCCAGAAGCTGCTTCGAAAATGAAGGCCTTGTGCAACCTGGACCAGTCTTAGATAGGCCGCACAGGCCTGTCAACAGAAAGAGAACATCACTTGAAGAGAAGTGGCATGGCAGAGCCTGAGAAGCGCTAGGCCACGGGAGCAGTTGTGATGTTCCCCAAGGCTCCCACCTTGGGAAACATCATGAGTTAGCCTATTTTGAGTAGCAGCAGTGGCAGTTGGGGCTGAAGTCAAGGTCTGGCCTCTACTTCTGGTCCAGTCTTGGCATCCTACTGAGTGCTGCTCTTCCTCTGGCTGGGGAATTCTGGGATTTGAAGTCCGCCAGGCTTAAAATTGCCAAGTTTGGAGACCCCTGTTCTAGTCCAACCCCATGCTCAAGCAGGAGACCCTGTACTAGAGATGACCTGTAAGCAGAGTCAAGTTACACATTTTCCAAATGTTTGACAGTCTGAGCCCCAAAGTTGCAATAATCACTGATCTAAAATTATCTGGCTAAACCACTGCTGACAGGTTGAGATCTCTTTGGCCTAAAAGCTTAGCATTCCTCAATTGGATAATAAATTTATTGTATGATATATGGATTAAGGGGTTAAAAAGGGTTAAAAAGGATGGGGAAAGAGTAAGATGGCAATTACTCAATAGAAAGAAGGGCTAAAATCATAGTACTATGTTTTCTTTCTGTTTTGCTTCTTTTTTTCCTACCTTTTTCCTTTGTTTTTCCTGTAAATGTGTATTTGCATATAGATTCAGACACATAGAAAGAAAGCAAATAAGAAAGCCATCACTATGAAAAGCTCAGGAACATGAGCTGATGGGAATACAGATTTAAGAAAACTCATCTAGTATCAAAAATCAAAAATCACAAATGTACAAGTTACCCTGAATTTCTTCTGTTTGCCTTTTTCCTGCTGTTTTAATACAGTTTTATTCCGGCTTGACCTACTCCCTATTTTATATTTTTGGGTTGTTTAAAATAATTCACTCCAAGATCCCTGCTTCCTGAGAGTGGGATAATTTGGGGGGGGGGATGAAATAAACAAGCTGCCAAGGCAGAAAGATCAAGATAAGAATTTATGAGGATAAGGAGACAACTTCAAGAAAATTCACCTTCCAGTCAGAACTAGCTTAGGAGAGAAAATGGCATCTTTGCAGATTGCCTCATGCTCCACCATTCCTGATCACGAGACACGCTACATGTACATACCATGAGCTCCTTTGTCTGCTCAGCCCTTGGGACTTAACTAGCAAAGATATTTGGGCAAATTTAAGGTGAAAGTATCCCAACAGAAGCAAGAACAGAGCCAGTTAGGTCTCCTCAAAACAACTGTCAGGAATTTTTTTCCCTCTTGTTTTGATATCCTTTGGTCTTTCTTTTCATGTTTCTGTTAGGACACCTAAATATTATTGCAAAATGGAATTTTATGGCCTTTCCAACTAATTCTCGAGGACTCTGGGGACCAACTTAGGCCATCTGTTGGAGGCTTCATGAACAGTGGGATCAAAGCAATATGCAGTTTATTATTGTAACGGCACAGCATCTCCCCAAACCCCTTTTTAAACCATCTTTCTTACATTCTCTTGTCTCTCAACCAAGCAGCAGAGGACGGAAGAAGAAAAGGTTTACATAAGCCTTGAAATGAAGCCTCAGAGCCACACATATTGTCCTACATCTTCAAGCTGCCATCCCTAGTCTATGCCATCCTGTGTGGATCGTGCTTAATAGAACTCCAGATCCTTTTTTTTTTTAAGCAACAAAAAGAAAGGTAGACAACAATATCTTTCACTTGCTGCACTTTTGGTTAGTATTTCCAGTTTCAGCTCAGAAAAGTGGAACATAATTATAATGTAATTAATTAACTAATGAAATGCCAGACAATTAGCCAATTCTCATTTATTTGTACCTGGCATTTTTATTTATGTTGTTAGTCTACCAAGACATACCAAGCCAAGCAGCCAGCAAATTTTTTCTCGTAAGTACTTCTAATGCAACCTACATCTGCAAGTGCTAGCTAGCTAGGGCAGGGGTCTCCAACCTTGGCAACTTTAACTTTTGCTGGCTGAGGAATTCTGGGAGTTGAAGTCCACAAGTCTTAAAGTTGCCAAGGTTGGAGTCCCCTGAGCTAGGGAGACCTCCATAAGGAACAGAAAGCTTGGCACGGAAAGTGCTAAAAGCAACATGTAAATTCTTCTCTATCTGGGAATCTGAATGAGATTAAGGGCCCCACATATAAAGCCAAAATGTCACTATCCACTCGGTATGCAAACCTCATGATGTCTTCTTATAACTGGCACTTTTAAGAATCTATACGATACCAACATGAAATAGCTATATAAGTAGGGGATATTGTGAAGAAGGAAGAAGAACCAGGGCATCTTGACAATAACACAATTACTTACATCACTGCACATTGAGCGAACGAGAGGTAGTCCACCAGCACATCCAGGCCTTTGTTTTCGTCATTGAGAAATTCACGCACCCATCTGCAAAACAAAAAACAAAACAAAAAAAACCCCAAATTGACTCCAAAATGTTATTATTCCAGATGTTTTCTGATGTGACTTACTGACTGTGTTCAAAGTCAAACTGGGGCACTTTTTAAGGTCTATCCTTCCAACCAGCTGTCCTCAACCTAATGGGACAGGGGTCTGCAACCTTAAACACTCAAAGAGCCATTTGGACCCGTTTCCCACAGAAAAGAAAACACCGGGAGCCACAAAATCCTTCCCGTAACTGACTATTTCTTGAGCGGCCACAAAACTAGTATATGTAGTTGAATTAAACATTCTGTTTTCTTCTGAAACTTTTCTTTTCCTGGACTTATCCATGGTTGGCCTACCGGGGGTTGAAAAGCTCAATAAATCACATGCCGGCGGGTGTCACACATTGGTGGTTGTGATGCATATTTTGAATGACAAGGAGCCACAGCAGAGGGGTGAAAGAGCCACATGTGGCTCCAGAGCTGCAGGTTGCTGACCCCTGTAATGGGACAACAATTTCCAGGATTTCCAGCTGATGGAGGATTACTTCTTTATACTTTCAAATAATATTTAAAGAAAGTCCCAAAGGTGCTTCCCCCCTGGATTGCTGGATTTAGAGAGGGGTTAAAGAGGCTATCTATGTCAAAATTGAACAGCCCTCTCTCAACAGAGGGGGAGGGACACAGACAACATCTACAGTATCTCCAATCTACAACACAGTCCTTTCAACAGTTCCAAGAAGGCTCCACACCAATTTTCACCACTCAGGTGACCCTGATGCCACAAATAAACCTCCAGGTGACCTTAACGACCCGTTAAAAGAATGCAAATGACCAGCTGTCTGCAAGGAGTATAAATCTTTCCATTCCCCACCGTCCAGTCAGAGCTGAAGAAGCTTCTTGGATGAGAAGTGAAACGTCTTCAAAGAAAAACCAGAAAGTCCAGTTGCCTCCTGAAAAAAGTACCTTTGGGACAACCATGACCTGGATGACTGAGAATCTCCATAGACATTTGTTTAAAGAAAGGTGTATCCATCCAATTCTGAAGCCATCTGACTTCTGGACCACTCTGGGCAGTCTACAGATAAAGTAAAAAATCCATGCAACAACGATGGCCTTCTTGACATTTAAGCATAGAGCTGTCCTAGAGATTAATTCGGATTCCTTCAATGGAGTCACATCCATGCCTTTTATTTCCTTGAATGGTGCCTGCTACCCAATGTAATTTTCTCCTCTTTCCTTCTCCTCAGTATCTTTAGTTCATAGGTTCACACTGCCATTTCATCCATTTGATTGTGCCAATTCAAGTAATTGCAACTCTCAGGAATGAGAATCTGAGTTTATATGCACACTGAAAATTGTAATATTTTGGCTAAAACTGATCTCATCCTCTTCCTCCTTATTGTTGGTTCTTCTGTTTCTATGTCTTTTAACCACTGTTTATGCTTGATTGTACTCAATCTTGTTTTATATTAAGTTTTCAGGGAGGGATTATGCCTAAAAAGGCAAGGTATTAATTAGTTATAAATTAGACCAGCGTTCCCCAACCTTTCCAGCTTTGGGTTAGGTGGGGATGGGGAGACGGGATGGTTCCATGTGAGTGGCGGGCAAACATGTGCGTGTGCACAGCTCCATTAGTGCGAGCGGTGGGCACACACACCTGCTGCTCACATAAATGGTGTGCACACATGCAGTTGCCCGCTGCTCATGCAGGCGCATGCTTGCCAACCACTTCAGGCAGTCCGCTTCTGAACAGCTCACGGCCCAATAATGGGCCGCAGCTTGAGAAGTGGGGATCCCTGAATTAGATGGATACTTTGGGCATATAGAATCTTGCACAAAAATCAAATTCATTGTCTCCTGCAAAGTGCTGAATTAATACTTAGAGCAGGCTTTCCAAAACTGTGAGGTATATCGTCTTCAGGGAGGTGGAACAGGCTGAGTTCAGGCCAGGGATGAAGAACTTTTTAGTTGTATATTGTTATAATAAATCCACATTTCCCATTAAATTATTTTCATTGTTCATTTAGTTATTTGGATTTTTAGGGGAGGTATGAGTATTAAGGTCACACTAAAGGGAGGTATGATGGCAAAAGGTTTAAGAACCCCTAATTTAGATACTTGAAAACTCACATAAATGACAACAGTTCTGGGAAGGCAACCTATTCAATGAAGCCCAGCTTGAAGATTCATGGAATTATAACTGGAATTGTGCATGGAAAGCAAACATGCTCCAATGGGATGTCCCTTCCCAATGGGAAATTCCCTCTGAAAGACTACATTTAAGCGAATGCCTATCTCCAGCCGAGACATCAGACATCAACACTTCTCATTCTCAAATAACCACTCAAACTCAGCTTATTTTTAGGACTATGTCCAGTCTGGAGTTTTGGACTGATGTATATAAACTGGACAGGGTTCAGAGAAGACAGAAGAACATGATAAATTTAGAAGGAAATCAGCAACTATGGCCCACCCAATGTGTGTTCGGGGAGATTGTGGTAGCCCCTAGTTGTTGTAAACAAAATATTGTAACTGGTACGGCTTTATCTTTCCATAGCAGGGAAGGGAGTGTTTGCTTAGGTTCCAAGACATCTGCTGGAGATCCCTCCCCCTCCTGTGGTCTTTGATGCAAGGAGGGAAAATGGCACGGGAAAAAAAATCTGACAAATCTGTAGGCAAAGAATCAAACTGTACTTTTTTGGGTAGTACCAAACGAAGCTGTGAATGTGTGTGACTTTGGAGATGTGCCAACCCAGGAACAAGTACTGTACATCACAAGAGAGAGAATGCCTGCAGCTAGTGGTTTCAGTATGTGCTGTTATTTCCTGAAGCAGCTTTGGCTGACTGCAATTTTGGCCATTAATCATCCGGACCCTGAAATGGTGCCTATGGTCTCTCTCTCTCTCCCTCCCTCTCTCTCTCTCCTCCTCCCTCCCTCCCTCCCTCCCTCTCTCTCTCCACCCGCCCATTTCCTGCCTGTCTGAACTTCAGCCTCCAACCCCAGTGTGTTTCCTGTCTGATTTCAGTGGCTGCACTACTAATTTAGAGTCTTCAATGCATTTGTTGAAGGCTAAAGGATGTGGAGGAAGGAGCAAAGGCTCTCTAAGGCAAATCCCATCCTGTAGTCAGGTAGGGAAGAGGAATTACGAGCGGGTGTGTGAGTTCCTAACAGAAGAGGAAGCCACACAATCTTTTTTTTTTTTTAGGGTGTGCTTATAGAGAGGCTTCTTCACAAATGCATCTGTTGCTGTGCCTATTTAACTACAGCTGATTGGCAAAGCACATGTTTTGTATATGGTGTCCCAAGGATTTACACCAAACATTTCTCAGTCTCTGACCTGGAGTGCCATTGTCAATTACAGCAAGTAGCAGACCAGATACACCAAGCCTTTGACAGTGCACAGTCGCTTTATGCCTTCATTGGAAGGAATAAATCCTCAAGAGCATGTGAGAGACAAGGCACAGATGTGAGCAAGCACCTGCATGCACTGGTATTCATTTATGTACGTGATGCAAACTGGGCTTAGGAAAGCTCCACAGACTGCTTCTAACCAGAAATATCACCAATACCGACGACGTTTCAACCCCATTTGTATTAAGAGCAGAGAAACAGGGAAATGAGACGCAGTTGCCTATAGGGAAAATATACTGTATCTCCAAGGGCTCAGACAAGTGGCCCAAGAAGGGAGGGAGGGAGGGAGGGAGGGAGGGAGGGAGGGAGGGAGGAAGGAAGGAAGGAAGGAAGGAAGGAAGGAAGGGCATGCTTGAGAAATTTTGGACAGATCCCTGCTGAGTTACATTATGGCATCTCTTTTCTCCTGTAAAATTATTTATTTGTTTGTTTATTTTTTTGTTTGTTAAAACAAAAATTACAACTTCGGATAAACAAAATGAAAAACCTAACATGTGACAGGGACAATAGGCACATTAGCACACTTACACATGCCCCCTTAGGAATCTCTTAAATATGGGGTGAGGTCCACAGAGGTTGTTAGAATTAAAACTGTAAAAGTTAGTAGCTGAGATAACTGAATTGGGAAGATATTTCAGACTTCGATAATTCTGTTACAAAAATCTATTTTTTAAAAAATCTGAATAGAGAAGCCTGATGTTTACATGAAAGCAAAAGAAAGCTTTAGAAAGATAGAGGAAATTTTATCAAGCGCATGTGGATTAATTGTAGCACTTGAAGATTGTCTACAAGAAGCTGGTTACCTTCCAAGATTGCATACATGAGCAAGGATTGTTTTATGTCCTTGTGTGCTTCCTTCTCCCCCAGAGAACCTGTTTTCCCTATACCTAACCCTGTCCCCCATCTCAATCATATCTTTCTAAAGTCTCTGCCAAAAATTCTGCTGTGTTCAAGTCAGGGACACACTCCAAATTATATTCTTATCATTGTTGTTCCTTTTCTTAAAACAAACAAAGCTAAGCCTTCTGTACCAAATTATCTCTCATTCTACTCCCAGAAATGTTGAGTTCTGCGGCAAATTCTGCCTATTGCAAATATATGCTTTTGATCATCACTGGGAGTAGCAAAAAGTAATAGCTGGGAATGATGGAAATTGTAGTCAACAATATCATGATGGCGTGATATTTGTTCTACATTAGTAAGCCTCACTGACAACCTCATCACCGCAATGAAACCAGGTTTTTATTGACACACACGTTCAATTCTATGTTTTGTAGACTTAAGACCAGAACATGTAGGAAAATAATTATGGGCAATTTCCAATTTAGTTTGCACCCAGTTCACTCCCAGTCACTTCCTTTATCCAGATGGGCGCAAGTGCAACTATCACTCAGCTCAACCAGCAGATTATATAAATGTATAAAGAACCTCGGCAAACATCAAAATAGGTACCAGGCAAAAGCAGGGGAAAAGAGAGAGATGAACCACAGGCAAAAATTTATATTAACTATATATCTATCTGTAACAATCAAAAGGCAACTTTCAAAACCATTAGAAGCTGCACTGTGGGTAACTAGCATGGACAATTCCAAAGGGAATGACCTTTGGGTATTCCAGCCTTAACTATTTTATGTACATAAGAGCAGCAAATTAGAGATAGAAAGGAAGACACTGAACAATCCCTCCATCATTCTGCACCAGAGGTGGTATTCAGCAGATTCTGACCAGTTCTGGAGAACTGGTAGCAGAAATTTTGAGTAGTTCGGAGAACCACTCAAGAGTAAATGGTGGTAAATACCACCTCTGACTGGCCCCGCCCCCATCTATTTTCTGCCTCCCGAGTCCCAGCTGATCGGGAGGAAATGGGGATTTTGCAGTAACCTTCCCCTGGAGTGGGGTGGGAATGGAGATTTTACAGTATCCTTCCCCTGCCATGCCCACCAACCCATGCCACGCCCACCAAGCCATGCCCACAGAACCGGTAGTAAAAATTTTTGAACTGCACCATAAAGGAAACAATTGGTGGATGGGAAGGAAGTATCCAATATAAAAACTGAAGCTTATTGACTGTTGTTCTACTCAGCCAACATAAATTTCTGAGTTTTGTCTTGCAGAAGAGATGCGGGCCCAGTTATTCATGTCTTTTCATTATAATGTTTGGTTCTTAGCATAAATGTTGTCCCATAAATAGCTTCCATGACTCACTAATTATGAAGCAGAAAAGATTTGCATGTAGTGATTTTCAGTAAAAGCTGCACATATATTTTTTTCTCATTCTTGTATAGGGTAACTAGAGAGTGAAATATTGTTTCAATAAATAATTATACAACACTTTGCCATTTTTCATGTCACATAGCAAAAACAATTACAGTTGTCATCATAATAGAACCTGAATCTTCATTGTTGCTAATAATAATAACAATTGAAAGTTGCCATTTATATTTGCTAATTGCTGGAATAATTCATATCTACTATGAAAATACTGTGTTACCCCGAAAATAAGACCCTGTCTTATATTTTTTTGAACCCTGAAATAAGCGCTTGGCCTTATTGCCATGCGCTCAAAAGCCCGATTGGGCTTATTATCAGGGGATGTCTTATTTTGGGGAAAACAGGGTGGAGGAGAGACTGCTTGGTAAACTCTTAAAAAAACCACTTTACATTTTCAGCGGTCTCGATACATTCCTTCACCTTGATCAGTGCTATGATTAGCAGAAGGAAGAGAATACCATTTGGTGACAGAAAATTATTTGTTAATAACATTCTGGTGCTTTGGGGGAGAAAACTGTGCTGTCCTTCCAGGTGGCTGGGAGAAAAAAGCACTCATAAATAATAGCACACCTACCTTTCTTATCCAGAACAAACAGTACTAGCAGAAGAGTCCAAACAAGATTTTTATAAAGGGCTGACTGATGCAACATTTTCAATTTTCATTGTTCATATCATAGACTGCATGGCAAATTTTCTATCCCATTAAATAAAATTAGTGGCTTTTAAATAGAATTAATATGCTGCTTAAGAGGCAGTTGGAGTGAAGTAAAGAGGTTGAAGTCTTGGATTAAGATCAGAAAATTCCAAATTCAACTTCCCATTTCGTCTGAATGACTTTGTGTAGGTTATTGTCTTTCAGCCCAATTCTACCTTTCAGAGTTGAGCTGAGGATAATATGGCTGAATCATACCTCTAGCAGTTTCTAAGGCTATGGAAAAGGATGTGTTTATTTTTAATGCGCTTCTAATGTTCTTTTTCCCTTACTCACACACATATGTACACATACATATAGACAATATTTATATCTGGATTTCCAGATTTTAATCCTTTGCACCCACAATTCACTGTCTACTGCAATTCAGCTTATGGGGTGGGGTGGAGAGGGGAATGCCCTTAACTCTGAACTCTATGCTGTGCAGGACAACTGAGTATTATATTAGTGAAGAATTCTGGATTAAAAAGGCTGAATGTTTTGAATGACACTGTATGCACTATGATTCTCTTTAGAAAGTCATATATGTACCTCATTCCACCTGACGTAAAACATTTGATTCTGCCCCACACTCTTAGCATTCGACCTTTTCTCATCTCTTTCAAATTTCTGAATCTCACACCTCATGTTACTGTTTGTTCAGACCTCACCAAAGGATACTGCTGACTAAGCATCACCCTTGGTATCAGTTCCAGCTGACCTGAGGAATTCCCACCCAACCAGGCCCAGAAGCCAAGGACAGGAACAGTTCAGCTTCCTGCTCTTGTTGGTGTTTCCCTTCCAGCTGGAACCAGGACAGGTGAGAGACAGGAACACATTTCTCAATTCTCCATAGCAGGCTTCCAAATCTTTTAGAAACAATAGGAATCTCTTTGCTAGGGTGTAGCAATCTAGATGTGAAATTTAGGGAGTAAGGAAGGCAGGGGATTAAATGTTTCCTTGTACAAAATACCACCATTGAATGGGAATTGGTTCCTATCTTAAATCCATCTTATTGTTAGACTGAAGGGCTGAATAGAAAGAGTTAAAGTGAGAAAAGACCCAGATCAACTTTCTTCCTTTTGACAAATCATTTCCTGGCCAGGTTCTCACAACACGCTAAACCCTAGACTGAAATGAACAGAACACAAATGTTGTGTTCGCACATAATGTTATGCCCTCTCCCCACCAAAATAATTCTTTTTATAAATGAATGCGAATTCACACAATATATTTCTCAGGAATACTGGCCCATAATCCATTTAGACTGATCTGATATGTTGTGCAAACCCCACAATTATATGATCCCTGGATAGATCTCAGTATTATAGTTTTGGCTTGACTACTAAGGATCAACCATTTACTGCTATTCTGTATTGGTTTAAAGACCAGCCTGACTATGTAAAAAATGGTGTGGATTACAGCATGAATTCATGCAATCCAGCAGCCAGAGAGAAAAGACCCCAGCCCTGTGAGACAACACACACCATCAAATGTAATGCCTGTTCAAGTGGCACTTTCTCAGACTTCAACATGACACATGATACACTTGTTCATGTGGTTGGTTAACAATAACTTACCCAATGTGATTGGTCCTTAAAGAGATCTCCAACTCCCTCAGCACTTTGGTGGATTCCTGCACCCTCCGACGGAACTTCTGTAAACATAAATAACTCCTTGTTCTAGCAGTATACAGCACAATCATTTTTTTACACAAATGAACCACAATTGCAGGGTCAGGATTGTCCATTGGGTTAAGTGTGTTGGCATTTCCTTTTCTATCACTCGTCATATCCCTCTACTTCCTTTTTGCTTATAAGAATAATAATTTTACCATTAGTTATAGATAATCATCAACAAGATGGATATTTCCATATGTTAGAAGGACCTGGGCTTGATTCAATGTTCACTGTATTTTTTTTTTTTGGGGTTGTTGTTGTTGTTGTTGTTACGTACAAATAAAATTTCTCTCCTGTAAAGCAGAGCCTGCACTGCAGATGTCCAGATATGCTTTTGAGTGGTATGAAGACTGTGTGTAGAAGTGCCCACAGAGTCTAGTTTGAGTGTTCAGCACTACCAAATTGCTGCCTGCCCAGTGAATTTATTTATTTGTTCAACTTGTATGCCATCTTTCTCCGAAGACTCAAGGTGGCTTACAATGCATTTAAAAACCATATATAAAAACATTAAAAATTAAAACATTAAAAACAATTAAAACCCATTCTCACCATTCATGGCCGGATCTCGCCAGATCGCAACAGCGAGATCAACGGCCCCAGGCCTGCCGGAAAAGCCAGGTCTTCACTGCTTTTCGGAAGGCCAATAGGGTGGGGATGGTCCGGATTAGTAGATAGATCACCACAACTTGTGGGGCTGTAGGGTATATTTATTTTTCACAACTACAATTGTGGTAGCTTCCACTCCAATGACTTATCCCTTATACAGGTAGTCCTTAACTTACAACCACAATTGGGACCAGAATTTCCATGGCTAAGCAAGGAGGTTGTTAAGTGAGTCACCCTTGATTTTAAGGCCTTCTTTTGCCACAATTGTTAAATGAATCACCACAGTTGTTAAATGAACCAGGCGGTCATTAAGATAATCCATTCCCCCCGCCCTGCCCCCCATTGACTTAGTTTACCGGAAGTTGGCTAGGAAGATCACAAAAGGTGATTGCATGACCCTGAGACCCTACAACTGTTGTGAAGTACATGCTGGTTGCCAAGTGCCAGAATTGATTGTGTGATTGTGGGGATGCTGCTACAGCCATAAGTGCATAGGCTGATCGTTGCATTTGCAGTGGATTGTAACTTTGAATAGCCACTTGATTGGTTTTAATTTGCTAACAGATAATATTCTGCTTGGGCCAATGCGTATCTTTGGTAGATATATTTTGGTATTCCAAAAAATGCTTTGATATATCATAAAGTGTGGGGGAGGAGGGGAGCTGTTTCTTTGGTCACCATTCTCCAAACATTGGAAGCCATTTTAGACTTAGAGTAACTTTATTGTCACTTTAAATGTACACTAATCGACATACATTACATTGAATTTTCATTGCATACAGCTGTCAAGGGTCGCCACCTCCAATATATGCCTCATAAACACGACAAGAAAAAAATTACGCATATACCCACATATATTATAGGATACAAAGAAACAAACCAGTCTAGTTTGCATATATATATATATATATATGTCTTTGGTTATTCGGGTCTTCTCCCACGTAAAATTGGAAGTGTCTTGGCGACGTTTCGACGAAGTCTCATTCGTCATCTTCAGGCTGGTGTTCTTCGGCTGTGTGCTTCCAGGAGCAATGTTGCCTTGCTGTGCATTTGAGTGGATACATAAAAAAAGAGTTCCTGGAAGAGTTCCTGAAAAAAAGGCTCCTGGAAGCACGAAGCCAAGAACACCAGCCTGAAGATGACGAATGAGACTTCGTCGAAACGTCGCCAAGACACTTCCAATTTTACGTGGGAGAAGACCCGAATAATCAAAGACCTACATACAAACACCCGCGAAAAAAACCTGAGAAAACACACACACACATATATATATATATATATTCTTATTTCTTATGTAGGGTTTATGTGTGTTTTTCTTCTAGCCAGGTTTTCCCTACGTAACCAAGGTTTTTCTGCAGCACCAGCTCTAGAGCTTGCTAGCTGTTAGAAAAGAAAAAAGCCCAGAATCAAGTGGATGTGATTCTACTGAGCTGGTGCTGCAGAAAAACCTTGGTTACGTAGGGAAAACTTGGCTAGAAGAAAAACACACATATATATATATATATATATATATATATATATATATATATATATGTATATGTATATTATATGTATATGTATATGTGTGTATGTATATGTATATGTGTATATATATATGTGTGTATATATATGTGTGTGTATATATAGTATATATATATATATATATATATGTATATATATATATATATATGTATATATATATATATATATATATATATATATATATATATATATCCTGTTTCCCCCAAAATAAGACATCCTCTGATAATAAGCCCAATCAGGCTTTTGAGCGCATGGCACTAAGGCCAAGCCCTTATTTCAGGGTTCAAAAAATATAAGACAGGGTCTTATTTTCAGAGAAACATGGTGTGTGTGTGTGTATCTCGTTGTGAAAAAAATGAATCTTGCGAGTTTACCAGCTGGATTAAAAAAATCTTTTAAGGCTTACCTTTCGGGTAACACCTGGATCGAGGAAGCTCTTCAATTTCTGTATATATGTATGGGGTGGATTCTTCACTTGAAACCTTTCCTGTTCCACATTGGGTAGGGAAAAAGAAATGGAGGGAAGAGGTAAAGGGAATTATTGTGCATGCAAGAAGTCTTTGAAAGCCAGCACTGAAATGCTGCATTGTGGATTTATTCATTCAAAAATTCTCCCTTCAGCATATAAAGGAGAGCCCTCACTTGCATTGAAAGCATGCCAGCCAGGGACTCAATTTAGCTACCTATTAATCCAAATAGCAGATGCTTCTTTGTGTCTGCTTTCCTAATAAACTTGAAAGGAAAGCCATTTTCATTTTGTGCTCCACCCAGATATTTTTTGCTCTGGCTCCTCAAGAGCCCTTTTCTTGTGCTCACATGTTAGAAAAGTCTGTCTCTTTAACTTCAAGATTGTAAGACTAAGCACAATTGCTCTGTTGAAGAGTTTTGCCTCTACACACAGGAATATAGGATCAGGTTGTAAATAATCAATCTGGAAACCATTTTCTTATCAAAGTGCCTGCCTACCCACAGACCTGCAAAAAGAATATTTTGAATCCATGAACAAATAAATTGATGGCGTTTGGGCATTTAAGTTGTGGCTACTACTGCAAGATCAAAGGCCTTTGTGTATGAGATTGGTGATTGTATTAATGTCCCACATTTGGCTTTGATCAAATATAGTTATCAGCCTGATCCAGCAGCCTCCTTTAATTCTCTGTAGCGTCCATTTGCATGCATATGTTTGGGTGTAGGAGTTTTTTACAGGAATTGTTTTCCCCCCCAGATGGTTTCTCCTGATAGTTCATCTCATAAAAGCAATTTTTCCTTTAAAATAATCCAAGCATTATCTCGGGGACTTTGTGCCCTTGAGTACTGCTCTTGAAAAAAATTTCTGGGCTGAAGCACACAATCACTTTTCTTGGCCAAACTTTTCCAGTTTGAGAGCGTCACTGATAGATGAGTTGCAATTGTTTTATACTTACATCCTGAATTACTCCAGGTTTGACACAGCCTTCAGCAAAAGGCTTTCTAATTAGCCATGTTCTATATTGGCACCGTCCTGTTTATTTGGCAGCTGGATCCAGGAACATGCTAAAATAAACCTTTGTAGGGTTGTTCTCTATACTAGTGTTCCTTAAACTGTTTTCTGGGACCCCTTCCCAGTTTTGAAGATTATAAATATAATAAATATTTATTGATATTTACCAAATTAAACATTAACATTGATACATTGATACAATTGCTGTCACTACACTTCTCGCAATCGTTTGGATTGGACTTTACTATTACAATACAATATATTACTGCAAATTCAAATCTCACCTGGCTCAAGATTGACTCAGCCTTCCATCCTTTCGAGGTCGGTAAAATGAGGACCCAGTTTGTGGGGGCAATAAGCTGACTTTGTATAAAAAAGAACACCGCTTGGGGGGAGGGGGGGCGAAAGCCCTACTAAGCAGGTATATACAAAAAGTATGAAGGCTATTGCTTAACGTATTGTAAGCCGCCCTGAGTCTCCGGAGAAGGGCAGCATATAAATCGAACCAATAAATAAATAAATAAATAAATAAATTTCTCAACATAAGCTGACAAATAATTTTGATTTTGCAGGCCCTTGAGAAGGTCTTGGAGGACTCCCAAGATCCTCAGACCATACTTTGAAAAAACACTGCTCTAAAGAATATCAAATTGACCAAAAATGTCCAGAAAATAAAAAGCACCAGAGCATTTTTTACTTCAGTTTGTAACGGAGCTTTACCTAGATCAAGTGTAGAAATTTCCCATTATTTACAGGGATAACAGGGACTATTCCTACCTAGATGCCAAAGATTTCAGCAACCATGTATAAAAAGAGCCTTCAGATAAGGAGATGTTGTCTGCTCTTTTAAAGGAAATCAAAGCCCTTAGATCAAGGGGACCACATGTTATTTCTGGCAATAGTTCTCTTGCCTGAGTCATAAGCTGATGTGCCCTGACATGTTATGTCTCTTTCATGTTGGCAAAGTCAGTCTCCCTCTCTCTCTCCATCTTAGCTCCTACAGCCCTCTTACCTGGTCACAAATTAGATCCCATTTCTTTTCATTGTCATATTGCCTCAGAAGACGGGCCTTGTCAGGAGGGAGATTCATGGAGCTCTGTGGAAAGAAGCAGAGGGACAAGTAGCAATGCATCTTCAGAACTGGGTGTGTGGTAGAATGTATGCATTATATGGCTTATATTCTGCAATGGACTGCTGGGCAGAAGGTAGGGTTTATTTTATTTTATTATTATTTGTATCCATCCCTTATTTAACTTTTAAGAGTAGCTCAAAGTGGCAAACATATCCAACATACCGTCCCCCTTCTATGTCCCCCACAACAATAACCCTGTGAGGTGGGTTGGGTTGAGAGTCAATGACTGGCCCAAAGTCACCCAGCTGGCCTTCGTGGTGAAGGCATGACTTGAACTCACAGCCTCCTGCCCTCCAGCCTGGTGCCCCAACCACTAGACCAAACTGGCTCTTTAAAAAAAAAAAAAAATTAATTCATTCATTCATTCATTCATAGCATTTATATAGCTTGTATCAAACTCTGGATGGATCTCAGGCAACAATTAAAACAACTTCAATAATAAAACAAAATAATACATACATTTATTAAAACCAACATCAATAAAAACCTGGCACCAAAATTAAGCCTCCACATGCATTCCTCATAAAATCCTCTCGTCCGCTTCTCCCTATCCCAGTACTTGGGGGGTAAAGCTGGATTTTAAGTCCTTTTTGGAAGGCTAAGAGGGCAGAGGCCTGCCAAACTGCAAGGAGAAGGGCATTCCATAGGGCAGGGGTTGCCACAGAAGCAGGCATGGTTCCTAGATCACATAAGATGGCAATGTTTACAAGAAGGTACCAGGAGCATGTGGGTTGGCAAACTTTCAAGACCAATGGAGACTGGATAGCAAAAGAATGTATTGGCTTGTCAAGAGTCCAGAATTTAAATCAAAACCATAGATCATCCAGGACATTGAAGCCTTCGACATCTTTGTGCAAGGACCAGCCTTTTGTTACAAGCTACAACTCTTAAGGTGCCATCCTGAGCATCTCTGTTAGGAAGCCAAGCACACTGAGTTTTGTGGGATGTCCCGGGTGACTGCATATTGGAGTGTAGTTCAAACATTTCATTTTGTGCAATTTGGGGGAAAGGGTATGTTTAAACACTTGTAAAGCTTGGGACGAACCTGTCTCTATCCTCACCCTCAAAATTAATTTCTCCTGTATGTCCCTAACCAAATGTTTTTCTGAGCCTTGCTCCAATGTCTACCATCCAACAAAGGGAGATTCTAATCCCTGGAGGGGGTTTTTGGGAGAAGAGGCAGCTTGGTTAAGGGACTATTTTCTCAGGCAGCTTTGCTAGTTCCCTTTTTCATATGTATTTTCTGGCGTTATAGGCCATTCCAATTCTGAATATATACTTATCTGACATCCATAAATCTGTAAATTTCTCAGCATCTGATGATGAATTCTTTATTACCCTCAGTTCCCTTAAACAAATTATGTCCTCTTAGATTTCTGTTTTAAAATCTGCATTTTTACTGTAAGACTGTTTTCTGGTTTGTTTTGGATATCTTTTATTATTGTTTATCTATTAAATTTATAGGCTGCCCATTTCACTCCACAAAGCAACCCTTTTACGTTTATGAGCTTTTTTTACGGCAGCCAGTTCAAGAAACTTGAACCCAACCATGGAGTTCAAGGGATTATTTTAGGCCAATCTTTCTCAGTCTCAGTCCAACCAACTTCACAGTGTTGTAAAAGGGATAAAATTAGGGAAGGCCTCATGTAAATTACCTTGAGCCCTGCCTGTGAAAAAAATGTGGGATACAAATGCAACAAAAATATAGTTGGACTTTTGTATTTTGTATTATTTTATTAAGTATTTATCATAAATTGCCTGAAGAACATTGTGTTATTGAGTTGCAAAACAAACATCTATAAATTGCCCTGTAAAAAGAATGGCTGATATTCAAATACTCTAAACAAACAAATATTTTGTCTTCCACTTCCTTTCTCCTGTTTGTTCTGATCTAAAAACACGGGGTTCCAACTTTGGAATATCTGTTAAGTTTGTCAAAGATAACTTAAGTGTTCCACCATCCAGACAGATCATCCCAACTTTACTAGAGTGATCTGACCACCCCATGGCAATTCAAACTGTGAAATGGAAGAATAGTACATGTCAAGATTAGATCACTTCCAATAAAATCAAACATTCCAATGCAGCAATGGATGGATGGTTAGAATAGGCAATGCTGAGATTATAACAGGTGGAGTTGCTGGGCTGGGTGGTAGAAAGTTTTGACCTTGAATGAGTCAGGCTGGCCCAATGTATCTGGAAGAAACCAGGTTAGGGAAGCCTGGCTCTCATTTCTCTTTCCCTTAAGAATGATATCTGCATCAAAGAACAACCTCATGGAACAGAAAATTCTGTTCTGTTCTGTTCTGTTCTGTTCTGTTCTGTTCTAATTCCTATTCCTATTCCTATTCCTATTCCTATTCCTATTCCTATTCCCATCCTATCCAGTGGTGGGTTCCTCCCGGTTCGGTCCGGCCAAGCTGGCAGCGGTGACGATATGACGTCACTGAACTGGTTCTCCCCCCCCACCCACGTTATTCTTACCTTTTATTTGGTCCCACCCCCAATCTATTGCTGCCTCCTGAGTCCCAGCTGATGACTAGAGGGGAAAAAAACTGTTTAAACTCTTGCCTCGGGGCTTCAAAGGGCCGTCCTACAGCTAATCAGTGTTAAAAGTAAACAAATGAGTCGGGTCGTAAGTGCGAGGACTGGTCATAAGTGTGAGGACCTTCCAGAAATGACTGACAGCTAGCCACGCCCACCTAGTCACATGACCTCCAAGCCACACCCACAAAATAAGCCACACCCACAGAACCGGTAGTAAAAAAAATTAGAACCCACCCCTGATCCCATCCCATCCCATCCCGTATTCATCTCTGATCTCAGTGTATAGAATAGATATGATAGCTTTAGGGCTTAGCAAGAAATAATAACTCAAATGAGAAAGTGAAATGAAAATGCCTTACTGTAAAGTATTCTGAATCACACCACTGGTTCACCTATCCATTAATTTGTGCTTTGGCTAGAAACACTTCTTCCCATCCTGAAAGCTTCAAGCAAGGTTTTCTCTTAACAATCTGAAATAATTATACATTAACTCAGAACTGCTACGGATGGATCCAACATGTGCCTTTATTATCCAGGTTTGTTTGTTTACATTATGGTAGGAAGTGAACTGAAGGTAGTTTGAAAAGAGAAGGATGTTTCTTACATCTGCACTCTTTCTATTCTTGTACTTTTTAGTTGCTATATAACACAGTAAGACAAAACTAGTTTACCTACATACAGTACTGGAGGAAGCTAATCATCTCTCAAACCATGTGTACCTTTTTAAAATTGCAACATGTCACAGTCGAATCCCAAAAAGGAGCCTCTGGTGTTATGGATATACTGTCCATGTAGGCATGAAAAATGTCTTACGTGCTGTCAATGCTTCTGGCTCTAATTTTCTCTAGATCTTAAAGCTGCTAGACTTAAGACTGATTTCTTCATGCTCAAAATAAGACCTAGAAGCTTTCCTCCAAAGGTCTGCAACTGGTGGCATACAGTACATCAAAACCATCTGTTTCTGAGATTAGGGCGGGTTAAAAATTTTTTTTCAATTCCTTGCCTCATTCAATGGTAGAAATTTCCAGTGTCTAAATCTGTGTCTGCATGTAAACTGCATGTAAGCCTTCAAGTTAGTTTTGATTCTTGCAAACTACAAGGACAAGTCCCTGCAACTTTCTAGGCAACATTTTCAGAAATGGTTTATCTTCGCCTCCTTCCGAGGATTAAAACGACTGGCTCAAAGTTACCCAGTTGGCTTCTATATAGATGCAGGACTAAAACTCAGGCCTTTCCACTCCAAGGTCAGCACTTTAACCACTATGCCAAATTGTCTTTTTTACGTGGATATTTGGCTAGTCTTTGACTTACAACAGTTTGCTCAGTGACCATTCAGAGTTACAATGGCACAGAAAAAAGTGACTTATGACCGTTTTTCAACCCAGGGGTGAAATCCAGCAGGTTCTGACAGGTTCTAGAGAACCGGTAGAGGAAATTTTGAGCAGTTTGGAGAACCGGCAAATGCCACCTCTGGCTGGCCCCAGAGTGGGGTGGGAATGGAGATTTTGCAATATTCTTCCCCTGCCACGCTCACCAAGCCACATCACGCCTGCCAAGCCACACTCACAGAACTGGTAGTAAAAAAATTTGGATTTCACCACTGTTACAACCGCTGTGGTACTCCCCTGGTCACACGATCAAAATTCAGATGCTTGGCAACTGAGTCATATTTATGACAATTGCAGTGTCCCCCGGTCCTCCGATCACCTTTTGTGACCTTCTGACAAGCCAAGTCAATGGGGAAACCAGATTCACTTAACAACCGTGTTACTAGTTTAACAACTGCAGTGATTCACTTAGCAGGTGTGGCAAGAAAGGTTGTAAAATGGGGCCAAACTCACTTAACGTTATGTCTCACTTAGCCAAAGAAATTTTGGGCCAAATCGTGGTTGTACGTCGAGGACCACCTGTATTGTACATCACAAGTTCTCACTGATCCAGGGTTTTACAAGTTTTGCAAGAGATTCAGGCATGCTTAATACTATACAGCTGTACAGGAATGATCCCCGAGTACATACTTCCCCTCTCATGTTCAGTCACATTTCTTCCCTCCCGCCTTCTCCAGTAAATAAGTAGAGAAAGTAGAACATAATGCTTTTAGCCAACAATACTTGCCAGAAGGAGCCTCTTTTATTTTTCCTAGGCAAAGAAGCATTTGCTTTCAGGAAATGAGAAAAAAAGACCCTAAAAATAAAATCAAACATGACTCATTGCAGTGCTGTCGTGCTCATGTGGTGGTCAGGCTATGATACACTCAGCAGTTGAAATAGTTCCAGAGTTTCATACTGACAATACAAGAAGTAGCTTCTGTAGATGCAAAAAGCTAAAAGTTGAAGACATATTCTGGGTTTAGGTTTTTCCTCTTGCTATCCAAAAAAACCCCTGAGTTTGAAACTGTACAAACTTTTAGATTGGTT